AGGACCACCACCCTCTTCCCAGCTGACGCCCAAAATGGAGACTTTCATAAAGAAAGAAACGGAAGACGAAGCCGGGTCATCCATCTCCTTCTACAAACAACGTATCTCTTGTCAGTTGTGTGGAAAAGAGTTTTCCCAGCTGGAGAAGCTGTCCTATCACATCTACAACAACTGTAAGGATGAACCGGAGGGCGACCTTCAGATTGACGAGTCGCCCAGACCTGACCGCTCACAACCGAGCATGGAATCCCCGGAAAAGGACGAGGCAGGTGAAGAGGATGATCCATCTCGGTCCCATGCATGTGATATATGTGGAAAACATTTCCCCAAACTGCAGAATTTACAGGTCCATGTGAGATCCCATACTGGTGAAAAGCCGTATAAATGTCAGTGGTGTGACAAGACCTTTTCCAGCTATGGCAACATGAAGGCTCACAGTCGCGTCCACACAGGGGTACGCCCTCATCAGTGTTCTCAGTGTGGCAAGGAATTTGGCACTGCCCAAAATCTACAAGTACATATTCGAACCCATACAGGTGAAAAACCCTATAAATGTGCGGAGTGCGGGAAGGGGTTTGCCGGTCAGGGAAACCTTAAGGTCCACCAACGCACCCACACTGGGGAAAAGCCGTATAAATGCCAAATGTGTGGGAAGGATTTTAGGAACTTGCAATCTCTTCATATTCATGTCCGTTCTCACACTGGAGAGAAGCCGTTTGAATGTTCATTTTGTCACAAAGCGTTCACAAGTCAAGGCAACATGCAGGCACACATGCGCATCCACACTGGAGAACGTCCTTTCAGCTGTGGCGAGTGCGACAAGAACTTCTCCAACATGCAGGCTCTGAAGATCCACATCCGCACCCACACTGGCGAGAAGCCCCATGTCTGCCATGTCTGCGGTAAAGACTTTGCGAGTGTTGGAAATTATCAAGTCCACATGAGGACGCATACCGGGGTGAGGCCATACTCCTGTCGAATGTGTGGCAAGGACTTCACCACTATGTCCAACATGCAGACCCATATGGTGAGAACACATGCTACAGAGCTCTATGCTGAGAATGCGCTACTATGGAGTCGGATGCAGGAACTTTCTAGGCAGTACATGCAGATGACGGCCATGCCAGGGGTGAGTGGAGATCAGGCCACCCCGACAGGGCCTCCTCCCTTGAACATGGCCTTTCCGATGGATCTGTCTCCAGGATTTGAACAATTAATTGCAGCCAATCAGAAGCTGTTCTCAGCATCTGCTGCTGCGATGAGTCTAAATGAATCTGATCTTGCCGAACAGGAACAATCTGAAAATGAAAACACAAATTCCACGAAAGATCCATTGACAAGTAATACTGGTTCCTCAGCAGGTAGTCCTAATGGTGAGGGCCCTGACTCTCCTGCGGGTACAGGGTCAGATAACAGTACCAGTAACCCGGGGACAAGTACAAATCCAAAGGACACAGCCCCTGAAGAACCCGCATATTCTTCAGCTTCAGTTGAAGCAAATCCTATTCAAACTGACAACAGTGTTACCGAGGGATCACCATCCCCAAGTCTTAACACAGCACCAATGGAAGTAAATCCAGCAAGCAGTGAATCACAACCTTCAAACAGTGATTTCAGACCAGCAAGCAGTGAATCACGACCTTCAAACAGTGATTTCAGACCAGCAAGCAGTGAATCTCTACCTTCAAACAGTGATTTCAGACCAGCAAGCAGTGAATCTCGACCTTCAAACAGTGATTTCAGACCAGCAAGCAGTGAATCACGACCTCCAGCCAGCGATTTCAGACCAGCAAGCAGTGAATCACGACCTTCAAACAGCGATTTCAGACCAGCAAGCAGTGAATCACGACCTTCAAACAGCGATTTCAGACCAGAAAGCAGTGAATCACGACCTTCAAACAGTGATTTCAGACCAGCAAGCAGTGAATCTCGACCTTCAAACAGTGATTTCAGACCAGAAAGCAGTGAATCACGACCTTCAAACAGTGATTTCAGACCAGCAAGCAGTGAATCACGACCTTCAAACAGCGAATTCAGACCAGCAAGCAGTGAATCACGACCTCCAGTCAGCAATTTCAGACCAGCAACCTTAGAATCCAGAGCTGCAGCCAATGAATCAAGAGCTGCAGCTAGTGCATCTAGACCAGTTGCCAACAATCCTGACATGACAATCTCTGGTCTGAGACTCATCAACTCTTCCTTAGCATCTTCCAGTCCAAGCCATGGGCCCCCAAACCCAAGCACCAGCACCCGTGACTTGGATAAGCCCACGTCTAATCACAACCTTATGGCCACTCATTCTAGTCACTTACTCAACCACAACAACTCTAACCCCACCCCAGGGGCAACTGGAGGGAATTATCTACTAAATCCAACACACAACCATTTCACTAGTCTCTCAATGAACATGAGGAGTGCCATTGACGCCTCAAGGACTGATCAGGTCCTGGCACACGACTCAACCAATCTAGGATTCGACCCTCAAATGCACGACCTCCTTGCGATGAACAGGAGCATGCAGTTGGGCTACCACTTCCCCCAAATGAACGCTCCCCTAGTACCAAATGATTATGCTATGAACATGTTCAAGAGACCAAGTATGTTTCAAGCCAAGCAAACGGGTAGTCTCAGTTCTACGGATAATATCATGAACATGTTTGGTTTCATGAACAACCCAACCTATCCATCTTCATCTGAACATATAACAGGCCAACTGCCGAACATGTTCACACAGTCCTCCATACACGGCCACAGCGCCGCAGCCGAGACCAGCTCAGGGAATCTGTTTCCGATGCCACCAAATCTGAAGTCGGACATATCCTCGGCAGATCTGAACAGTGTTGTTCAGACCGCGCTGAACATGTTCTCATGTGACAATGGACCAGATTCGGAGTATTCCGATGTGTTCAGCAAGAAGCCTGATCCAGGGGGGGACTGTTCCTTCACAGGGTCAGGTGGTCCAGTCTTTCCTACTAATATGTAATGCTGAGTCATCATTTAAGGGCATTAAAAACAATTTTCACCAGAATATAATTTTTTAAAATAGCCATGATGACTAGGTGAACAGGCTGTTTGGTTTTTTTTGTAACAAAAAAAAAGTGATTCAAAGTCAACATAAACAACCATGTTATGATAGTTGAGACAAGGAAAGAACTTTTCCATTCAATGCAGACAATATACTGACATTCAAAGAAGTGATTTTAATACCTGACAATACCGAAATTAATGCTTATCTTTTGTGCACAAGGATTTATCTAGTATTCCATACTGAGTACACCTACAGACAAATTGAGATCGTTTCATTAATGTGTTCAAAATTGGTATTTTTAAAAAGATCTTATTTTTCTAAATTTCAGGGGTATTTTCACATTGTTTTCTAATATTGCATTCAATGCAGTAATGTTAAGTTAAGCATTAAAGCCTTTGGCTTAAAAGAACTCTTTCACATTATATCAGAGAATAGCACTGGTGCCAAATGATATGTGTTTCTTGTTATGTCTGTATCATTTTATATCCATTCATGACCCAGTGATACAAAACATTGTATTGTGGCACCACAGAACCTTAAATTTCTTATTAAAATAACGAAATTGTATGCCGTTTTTCTACCCAAAATTCCCTCTCTCTATTCATATATAAATCCAAAGTTCAGATTGAAATAATGAAAGTATATGCCTTTTTACAACCAAACAACCCTATCCCAATATACCACTCAACTTTTGACAGGGATTATCAGATATGTCATTCTACTTAAGTATACACTTGACATTATGAGAATCAGTTTGGTGTAGCGTCGAAAAATATCCCTATCAGTGGTGGAGTAATATATATACATCCAAGTTATGATTTCGGTGATGAAATTGTATGCCATGTTGCTATCAAACGATGTTTATGTGTATGGAGTATGTGTTTGATAGCAAAAAGTTTGTTAGTTAAAGATGACTCGTTGCAGAGCAAGCCAGAGTTGGGACGACCTCATTCATGGGCCGCAATGTTGAAAGGCTGATTATAGAGTTATCTTGATACGACCCCCTGTGGCGGTGTCGTCAGATCTTCATGCAAAGAGGTGTGATATCGGAGTAAAAGATCTGATGTTCATGAGATTGGAGCCGGGAATGATGGTAGTTAAATGTGGGGAGGGTTAAGCAGTGTAGCGAGGAAATATAACAGACCCTTTCATTTGATATGTTAAAGACAAAGAAATACTTTTCTTTCAAATAACAGGATTAGGATTGGATGGGTCCGGTTGAGATGGGAGGGTCAAGGGGAGGTGGGATGGTCAAAGTTAGGTGGGATAGGTCCGGGTGAGGTGTTGGAGGTCAAGGTTAGGTGGGTTAGATCAAGGTGAGGTGTTGGAGGTCAAGGTTAGGTGGGTTAGATCAAGGTTAGGTGGGAGAGGTCAAGGTTAGGTGGGAGGTCAAGGTGATGTGGAAAAGGTCAGGGTGAGGTGGTAGGTCAAGGTGATTGGGAGAGGTCAAGGTGAGGTGAGGGAGGTCAGGGTGAGGTTGGACAGGTCAAGGTGAGATTTTAGGTAAAGGTGAGGGTCAGATTGGGGTGGGGGGGGGGATTAGGTGCCAATTTATTTTATATGTGTTGGTTAGAATGTGCCCTAGAGTGAGTCTGTAGTTGTGTTTCTCAATACCTCAATGTGTGTATGTTGAAATGGAATAAATAGGGAAAAGATGAAGTGACTTGATTTTGATTTGGGACATGTTTTATGGAAATCCATCCATAGTTGTGAAGATACTTTATGAAAGTCTTCAGCGAAGATTTATCTTGCAGATTCATATTTCTTTGGCGTAACATGTGATTTCACATAAATAAACCAGTTTTTTTTCAAATTTAGGTTGTACAAGCGTAAATATATTGTTAGCTCACCTGACCTGTAGGTTTAAGTGAGTCTATGTCGAAGACTATTGTCTGTCATTTGTTCTTCTTTTATCCACATATCTGTAGTTTTGTTTGTTTGTTTGTTTGTTCTTTAACGCTGCACTCAGCAATATAACAGCTATATGATGGCGGTCTGTAAATTATCGAATCTGGACCAGACAATCCAGTGATTGATATCATGAGCATCTATTCACGCAATTGGGATACGATGACATGCATCAACCAAGTCAGTGAGCCTGACCACCCGATCCCATTAGTCGCCTCTTACGACAAGCATAGTCAACTTTTACGACAAGCATGGGCTGTTGAAGACCTATTCTACCCTGGATCTTCATGGGACATATATCTGTAGCTGTACACACTGACACACGATTATTATGTCATAGAATTTATATATGATCTGTGGCGTCAATTCCAATCGTATCATTTGGTTTATATAAGATGTTGTTTGGTTCAATCAACATTGTTGTGAGTTATGTCTGCCTACCTACTATTCGTGGTGTTGTGGCGAAATGTAAAAGGCTATCTTGTCAGTATGTTGGTAACGTTGGTTTAGAAGAAATTGAATTTTGTTATCCACGTCTCCTCTGAAATTACAAGACCCTAGGACCTGAAACTTCAGATAGGCTAGTTCAATTTTCACATCACTTGAAATACCCATACAGTGCTTTGGGTACTGAAGACCCATTCTGTCCTGGAATCCCCACAGCGGGACAAGCATGGGATACTGGGGGCCTATTCTGACATTTATACCCCACAGGAAGACAAGTCTGGGATACTGGGGCCCTTTTCTTACATGGAAACCCCCCAGGGAGACAAGCATGCAGTAATGGGGATCTATTCTGACCTGAAATCTAACGGAAACAAGCATGGGATAGTGGGGACCTATTCTGATATGAAATCCCCACAGGGAGACAAGCATGGGGTACTGGGGATCTATTCTGCCCTGGAATCCCTACAGGAAGACAAGCATGGGGTATTGGGGACCTATTCTGACCTGAAATCTCCACAGGGAGACAGGCATCGGGTACTGGGGACCTATTCTGACCTGAAATCTAACAGGGTGACAAGCATGGGGTACTGGGGACCTATTCTGACCTGAAATCTCCACAGGGTGAAAAGCATGGGGTACTGGGGACCTATTCTGATATGGAATCTCCACAGGGAGACAAGCATGGGGTACTGGGGACCTATTCTGACCTGGAATCTCCACAGGGAGACAAGCATGGGGTATTGGGGACCTATTCTGACCTGGAATCTCCACAGGGAGACAAGCATGGGGTACTGGGGACCTATTCTGACCTGGAATCTCCACAGGGAGACAAGCATGGGGTATTGGGGACCTATTCCGATATGGAATCCCAACAGGGAGACAAGCATGGGGTATCGGGGACCTATTCTGATATGGAATCCCCACAGGGAGACAAGCATGGGGTACTGGGGACCTATTCTGACCTGGAATCTCCACAGGGAGACATGCATGGGGTACCGGGGAACTATTCTGACCTGGAATCCCCATGGGGAGACAAGCATGGGGTACTGGGGACCTATTCTGATATGGAATCCCCACGAGGAGACAAGCATGGGGTACTGGGGACCTATTCTGACCTGGAATCTCCACAGGGAGACAAGCATGGGGTACTGGGGACCTATTCTGACCTGGAATCCCCATGGGGAGACAAGCATGGGGTACTGGGGACCTATTCTGACCTGGAATCCCCACAGGGAGACAAGCATGGGGTACTGGGGACCTATTCTGACCTGAAATCTCCACAGGGTGACAAGCATGGGGTACTGGGGACCTATTCTGATATGAAATCTCCACAGGGAGACAAGCATGGGATACTGGGGACCTATTCTGACCTGAAATCTAACAGGGAGACAAGCATGGGGTACTGGGGATCTATTCTGACCTGGAATCTCCACAGGGAGACAAGCATGGGGTACTGGGAACTAATTCTGACCTGGAATCTCCACAGGGAGACGAGCATGGGGTATTTGGGACCTATTCTGACCTGGAATCTCCACAGGGAGACAAGCATGGGGTATTGGGGACCTATTCTGACCTGGAATCTCCACAGGGAGACAAGCATGGGGTACTGGGGACCTATTCTGCCCTCGAATCTCAAAAGGGAGACAAGCATGGGGTATTAGGGACCTATTCTGACCTGGAATCCCCACAGGGTGACAAGCATGGGGTACTGGGGACCTATTCTGACCTGGAATCCTCACAGGGAGACAAGCATGGCGTACTGGGGACCTATTCTGACCTGAAATCTCCACAGGGAGACAAGCATGGGGTACTGGGGACCTATTCTGCCCTCGAATCTCCACAGGGAGACAAGCATGAGGTACTGGGGACCTATTCAGCCCTAGAATCCCCACGGGGAGACAAGCATGGGATACTGGGGACCTATTCTGATATGAAATCCCCACAGGGAGACAAGCATGGGGTACTGGGGACCTATTCGGACCTGGAATCCCCACAGGGAGACAAGCATTGGATACTGGGGACCTATTCGGACCTGGAATCCCCACAGGGTGACAAGCATGGGGTACTGGGGACCTATTCTGATATGGAATCCCCACGAGGAGACAAGCATGGGGTACTGGGGACCTATTCTGATATGGAATCCCCACGAGGAGACAAGCATGGGGTACTGGGGACCTATTCTGATATGGAATCCCCACAGGGAGACAAGCATGGGGTACTGGGGACCTATTCTGATATGGAATCCCCACGAGGAGACAAGCATGAGGTACTGGGGACCTATTCTGATATGGAATCCCCACGAGGAGACAAACATGGGGTACTGGGGACCTATTCTGATATGGAATCCCCACGAGAAGACAAGCATGGGGTACTGGGGACCTATTCTGATATGGAATCCCCACAGGGAGACAAGCATGGGGTACTGGGGACCTATTCTGATATGGAATCCCCACAGGGAGACAAGCATGGGGTACTGGGGACCTATTCTGACCTGGAATCCCCACAGGGAGACAAGCATGGGGTACTGGGGACCTATTCTGACCTGGAATCTCCACAGGGAGACGAGCATGGGGTATTTGGGACCTATTCTGACCTGGAATCTCCACAGGGAGACAAGCATGGGGTATTGGGGACCTATTCTGACCTGGAATCTCCACAGGGAGACAAGCATGGGGTACTGGGGACCTATTCTGCCCTCGAATCTCAAAAGGGAGACAAGCATGGGGTATTAGGGACCTATTCTGACCTGGAATCCCCACAGGGTGACAAGCATGGGGTACTGGGGACCTATTCTGACCTGGAATCCTCACAGGGAGACAAGCATGGCGTACTGGGGACCTATTCTGACCTGAAATCTCCACAGGGAGACAAGCATGGGGTACTGGGGACCTATTCTGCCCTCGAATCTCCACAGGGAGACAAGCATGAGGTACTGGGGACCTATTCAGCCCTAGAATCCCCACGGGGAGACAAGCATGGGATACTGGGGACCTATTCTGATATGAAATCCCCACAGGGAGACAAGCATGGGGTACTGGGGACCTATTCGGACCTGGAATCCCCACAGGGAGACAAGCATTGGATACTGGGGACCTATTCGGACCTGGAATCCCCACAGGGTGACAAGCATGGGGTACTGGGGACCTATTCTGATATGGAATCCCCACGAGGAGACAAGCATGGGGTACTGGGGACCTATTCTGATATGGAATCCCCACGAGGAGACAAGCATGGGGTACTGGGGACCTATTCTGATATGGAATCCCCACAGGGAGACAAGCATGGGGTACTGGGGACCTATTCTGATATGGAATCCCCACGAGGAGACAAGCATGAGGTACTGGGGACCTATTCTGATATGGAATCCCCACGAGGAGACAAACATGGGGTACTGGGGACCTATTCTGATATGGAATCCCCACGAGAAGACAAGCATGGGGTACTGGGGACCTATTCTGATATGGAATCCCCACAGGGAGACAAGCATGGGGTACTGGGGACCTATTCTGATATGGAATCCCCACAGGGAGACAAGCATGGGGTACTGGGGACCTATTCTGACCTGGAATCCCCACAGGGAGACAAGCATGGGGTACTGGGGACCTATTCTGATATGGAATCCCCACAGGGAGACAAGCATGGAGTACTGGGGACCTATTCTGATATGGAATCCCCACAGGGAGACAAGCATGGGATACTGGGGACATAAAGTACTAATACTTTGCATTGATGATAACACCAGTGGTGTGTCTGAAAAAGACTTGCAATAGTCTGATCTGGAAATGATTTGAAGTGTTTTTACCTACAACACATTTTTTTCCAGGACATGCAGTGCACAATAGTATTTTTCATGTAAAACGTGAGGTAATATTATTTTTTCCAATGTGTTCCCGATTTTTTTTTATTATTAATAAAAAAAATATATATATTCAACTAGATACTCATGTAACTTATGTACTGTTGTACATGCTGGGAGGATACCTGTTGAAACATATGCCACTGGTTTGCATATTGTTGTGGACCCTTTAAGACCACTGACATAACATATTCCAAAAATGATCAGGTGAGCTACAAACAGGCTGTACATTGATTTTGTTGGTTTGTTTAATGCCGCAGTCACTTCAGCTTTATGACGGCGGTCAGTATATAATCAAGCCTGGACCAGACAATCCAGTGACATCATGAGCATCAATCTATGTAATTGGAATACAATAACATGCATCATGTCAGGAGCTAGACTAACATCTAGTCTCTGAAATGAACATATCGTACATTAAAAAAACAGTTGTTCAGTTATCTTAATAAAAATATAATAAAAAGGAGCCCAGTGACTCTCTTCATTTTCGGGTCTGCAGTGATCTAGACTTGCCAAACATTATAGACTTGCATGGGCTGTATTTGATATATATTTGTATCAGGGTCTGTAAGACAGACTAGTCAGGAGCCTGATTATCCGATCCTGTTTGTCACCTCTTCCGACAGGCATGGGTTGCTGAAGATCAAATCAAACCCTGATCTTCACAGGTAATGTACTTTGAACAGCGTCATATCTCACACAACTTTATGGACAAAGTACATGTAAAATTAGGTCATGAGATTTGACTGCAGTGGGCATATGCATCACATGATATGAAACTGTTATCTGTCCGGAAGTACCTGTATCTGCTGAAGCTGCTGTATGCAAGTGGGCATGTAAACTGAACCTGATAAGAATAAACAATGACGAAGGGCATCCTTGATGCAGGTGTGCAACAGATTACCCAGCTTCATCTTACTCAAGTTAATGTACAGAAATACCCATGAAGATCCGGGGTAGAATAGGTCTTCAGCAGCCCATGCTTTTCGTAAAAGGCGACTATGCTTGTCGTAAAAGGCGACTATGCTTGTCGTAAGAGGCGACTAATGGGATCGGGTGGTCAGGCTCACTGACTTGGTTGATGCATGTCATCGTATCCCTATTGCTTGGATCGATGCTCATGATGTCAATCACTGGATTGTCTGGTCCAGACTCGATTATTTACAGACCGCCGTCATATAGCTGGAATATTGCTGAGCGCGGCGTTAAACAGCAAACAAATTCTGCCAGATTACCTTCGTGATTTAGCAGCAGAGTTGCAGAGAATATGGCAAGCCATTCCACAAGCCTCCCATGCCCATTAGATAAACTGCGGCGATGCACTGCTGTTATCGCTGCTCACGGTGGGCGTACCCTTATTGAGTTCACGACATTGTTGCTTGATCACCGCCACGCATTTGGACTCGTAACGTCATTGTCATGGACATTAAACATGCTGTTCTGTCGTCTTCGTATGATCTCAAAATCCACCTATTAAGGTTTGCATGGGAACTTTTCATTGTTGTTATATTTTCAAACTTAGAAATAATTTTAACAATGCACAGTTTCATTTTGTGGCTGGTATATACTAATATACTGTTTAAATGTTTGTTGTTTTAGATCGCACTTGGCAATATCCAAGATTTATGACGGAGGAGTGTAAATAATCTCTTCTGGAAGAGCCAAACCAATTTTGAGCAAAGTTCGGTGTCGTCAGGATGCGATGACACAAAAAAACGAAAGTTTCGGAGCTTGACCACCCGATCCATTTGGTCGCTAGGTACCATTAGCATAGTTTCCCGTGGACCTTCTCTAACCCTGGACCGCGGTGAACGTATAGGTAGCATGGGTACCATAATTTCCTCAAAACCTTAGAGAAGTTAATTCCATCTGAGCAAAGACTGCGAATAGTGGTTTTTTTTAGAATCACATTGCGTTATCTGAAAGATCGGAGCTATACGTCCTGTTCGGCTTTTACTGTCCGAGTTCTACCAGTCGTTACCTAGCAACGATTTCGCATCTTATCATTACATTTTTTTAGTTTTCTAATTTAAAAGCTTATCCCGTTTGCATTATTATCATCGCCATACAATTTTAGTTTGTGAAGTCATGTGAGGTGAGGTGAAATTGGGTTTAACGTCGCGTCCAAGATTATTGCACTTATATAGCGACGTGCATGCACGTGTATGTGTGTGGCTGCTTGTACTAGTCCGGACTGATGCCGATTTATAGTGCTAGCCCACTGAGATACCATGCCGCAGTTTAACATGAATACCCCACTCAGACACAGTATACTGACTCCGAGCCGACCAGTCCTTGTTTTAGCCCCTTAATGCCGAGCGCCAGACAGGGTAACAACAAGTACAATCTTTTAACGTCTTTTTGTATGACGCGGCCCGGGATCGAACCCTGGACCTTCCGCTCTCCGGGCGGACGCTCTACCACAAGACCACGGAGGCGGTGTGAAGTCATGTAGATACGCCACCTTAAAGAATGTAATCGTCATCATCATCATCATCAACAACAACATCATCATCACCGTCGCAGAATAACTACTGCCATTGTCATCAGCGGTAAAATCATTAGCACAGCTCAGCGTCCACTGTCGTTACAGTCATCATCATTACCATCAATCATCATTAGCGTCCCTGGCTTCTCATTATCTTCACATCTGCAGAGCCGTAGTCAGCTCATCATCATCATCATCATCATCATCATCATCAGCCTTCTCCCTCTGTTCCAGAAAACATCTCACATGACGCTGCATGATTATTGCTAGCATCATGCCAGAAAATCGTTATATCATCATCATCAGTGTGTTTTTTGTCTCTGTGATGTAAAACAACGTTTTTAATCTGGCATGCAAATTGCGTTTCGTGCCAGAATGATATTTACTTCGGTTACTTTGACGTACATTTATGTGAAACAGGCGGGAAAATGTCACTTAGACTAACGCTTAGTTTCTGAAAATAGACACTTGATAGAAATTATTAACTCCATATAAATTTAAAAAGCGCCCCAGTGAGATGGAAGATGCAGAACAGAAAATCTAGACTTGCTTAATATAGGGCTTTTGCATTCAGGGACTGTGAGACGGACTAGCTGGTACTTAGAGGTAACGTTTATGAGAACTGGTCTAGCGAGATATGATCCTCGTGCTTTCAGTAACAACCACATGAGTCAAAACTATGGAGCACTATGTCACTCAGGTCCAAGAGAATAATTTAAAAACTTAATCTAAACCAAGTCTAGATTTCCTCAGCTCTTGTCTCATCCTGAAAATAAGTATGTTCTGGACTCCATTTGGATTTTACTTTTTATTTTCAACTCGTACCACGTGTGAGTCTCGTCAGGCCATAACTGAATAACGGACATGATTATTCATAACATGTCCGTTATTCAGTTATGGCCTGATGGCCGAGTTAAAAGCACTAGCCAATTAAAACTGTGTTCAATCTTACTCCACTTATCACCATAATGTGCCTGAGAGTTAGAACTTTACTGTGCTTCTCTCTCTCTCTCTCTCTCTCTCTCTCTCTCTCTCTCTCTCTCTGAGATCCAGAACCCCACTCAGACATATACCCAGACAGGGTAACAACAAATACCCTTTTAACGCCTTTAGGGGTGACGCGACCGGGGATCGAACCATCGGCCTTCCTCTCTCTGGGGAGACACTTTTTAGTGACTATCCACTAGACCACAGATACAGTCTTTTATCTGTGACCACCTGCTGAAACATCAGAGTTCTCGTACTATCGTTTCTCCAGGTATCAGTGACCCGTGAAGAACCTAGGTAGAGTAGGTCTTCAGCAACCCATACTTACCGTAAAAGACGACTATGCTTGTCGTAAGTGGCGACTAACGGGATCGGGTGGTCAGGCTCGCTGACTTGGTTGATGCATGTCATCGATCCCAATTTAGTGGATCGATGCTCATGACATTCATCACTGGATTGTCTTGTCCAGACTCGATTATTTGCAGACCGCTGATAGCTGGAATATTGCCGAGTGCGGCGTTAAACAACAAACAAATAACCAATCAACCAGGTATCAGAAGTAATTTATTAAAATTACACCAAAGACATATGTGGAGTTTGGGAGTATATGAACAAAGGGTGGCCTAACTTATTTCCAATTGTATCCATTCAGTAAACAACATTCTCGAGAAATGGAAATTATCAGTTTTTGTAACAATAAGACATCTATTATAATATCGATGACGATATTTAAGGATAACAAAAAGGTTAATATTAAGCATAAATACCGGCGTCAGTGTGCAGTAATATTTTGATCAGTGGAGTTGTGGAATAGAGGTAATAATACAAAACCTTAACATGATAAACATGATGTACGACATGGAAAGAGGAGTTGGGCTTGGCTCCGTCATCATTACTGAAGGCATTGTTCTATTGATAACTGCTCGAGAATATATCTGCTGATGCCGCTCTTTTTACATTTCGCCTTTTAGAAAAACCCAGTATTATTTTAACTTATGTGCGCGATCGGTGGCAAAATTGTTCTTAGACCTACGATTTAAAATATCGAGTAGCTTCTAATTATTTACACACAAAAAACCAACCAATTATGGGTAAGCTTTATGCCCGGGTCACAGCTAGGTCACGAGGTCGACCACGTGGTTTTCAGCTCTGCATGTGCAATTTGCGTGAGAGATAGATCGAGCTTAACTATATGTCAAGTCATGTAGGTCACGACCGTCTGACGCTACATGCAAAATTCTAATGACAAGGCGAAGTGATTATAGGTCAGTTGCACCTGTCTTGAATTTGAAAGTGGGACGTGTATTACCAGGCTTTGGGGGATCAAGACGCGGAACACTTGACAGGTGCTGACAGCAAACGCCATATAGTGATCTACTGACGGATTAATCTGTTCATATCTACAGCAACTATGAATACGGTATCCAGGCTAGTTCGTGCGATGCTGCCCTCGGCTAAGGCACGCTTGTACAGTTCCACATCGACTATGGACATCAGCGGAATTTTCCCACCTATCCCAACCCCTTTCAACGCAGACGAGACAATCGCATGGGATAAACTTAAATCGAATATCGAGAAATGGAACAAGATTCCCCTGCGTGGGTATGTCGTTCAAGGATCTACCGGGGAGTATACATTTCTCACCCCCGAGGAGAGACTTGAGATGGTAAGACGCGTGAAAGACATGGCTGGTCCGGGGAAAATGGTGATAGCTGGTTCAGGCTGCGAGTCGACGCGTGACACGGTCAATATGACCCGGGAAATGTCGTCTGCTGGAGCAGAGGCTGTTTTAGTCGTGACACCGTCCTACTACAAAGGCCGAATGACCTCGAACGCTTTCATCCAACACTACACTCGCGTAGCAGACGACAGTCCCGTTCCGGTGATTCTGTACAGCGTTCCTGCAAATACGGGCTTCGATCTACCCTTTGATGCCATTATCAAGCTAGCCAAACATCCAAATGTCATTGGCATGAAAGACAGTGGGGGTGACGTCGCAAGAATTGGCAATTTGGTGTACAAGACTGCCGAGGATGAGTTTCAGGTTATGTCTGGGTCTGCAGGTTTTCTGTACCCTGCTTTTTCAGTAGGGAGTGTCGGAGGTGTGTGTGCCCTGGCTAACGTACTGGGTGGCGAATTGTGTCAACTTGAGCGGCTTTTCAAGGAAGGGAAGGCGAACGAAGCGAAGCAACTCCAGCACAGGCTGATAGAGGTCAATGCCGCTATAACGAAGGTGTACGGTATAGCGGGGTTGAAGAAATCCATGGAATGGTTCGGGTTTTATGGTGGGCCTACACGATCCCCTCTTCAGCCGTTAACACAGTCCGAAGAAAAGGCCATGAGAGACACTTTCGCTAGTGCTGGCTTTTTGTGAGGGTCGAACTTCACGTTTGTAACTTAATCAGAAGGCTTATGTTGTGTTGACTGGTCTATTAATCAAGTGAACTTTAACCATGAACCTGAAGATATATTTGTTTATAGATTACAAATGCTTTCTATCTTGGTGACATTTTTATTTTTCCTCGTCTAGACCTTCGACTTGCATTAGACAGTCTCGGTGGTCTAGTCGAGTGAGTGAGTGAGTTTGGTTTAACGCTGCTTTTAACATTATTCCAGTTATATCGCGGCGTGTCAGCTTAATGTGGAAAGTCCGGAGGGATGCAGGCCTCAGAAGTTTACCACTTCGGTGAAACCCACGAGCACGGGTATGGTGCTGACAAACCTAGAAATATAATCGGGGCGAACCGGGATTCGAACCCACAACCATAGGTTTCTGGCGTACCTAAGGGACGCAACTCTGCACAGCGAATCGCAGCGCCTTAGACGACTGGGCCATCCGTGCCCCTGGTCTAGTGAAGGTCAGTGGTCGGACCCCCTGGTCGCGTCATACAAAATAGATGGTACTAGTTGTTGCCCTGCCAGATGATCGACACTACGGGGATAGAACAAGGACTGGTCGGCTCGGTGTCGGTATACTGTGTCTGAGTGGGTATTAATGTTAAGGCGATTATGTTTGTTTTAAGAGGCGACTAACGGGATCGGGTGGTCAGGCTCGCTGACTTGGTTGATACATGTCATCGTATCTCAATTGCGTGGATCGATGCTCATGATCACTAGATTGTCTGGTCCAGACCCGATTATTTTCAGACCGCAGTCATATAGCTGGAATATTTCTGAGTGCGGCGTTGAACAACAAACAAACAATCAATTAATGTTAAACTGTGGCATGGTATCTCTCTGAGCGTGCACTATGAAACAGGCTTTAGTCCGGACTGGTACACGCGCACGCACACGCACACACACACACACACACACACACACACACGCTGTTTGAGTGCAATAATCTTGAATTTCGCGTTAAACCCTTTTTCACCTCGCCTCAAAACGAACAAAGTAATATTGTAAGAAATCAAAAAGGAGTCATGCCTAAGTCTTTGTATCGAACACGACTATAGCTGACAGGGATAGGACTCTATTTCAGTGTGTTTTAGAGCAACATTTAAATACTGCGTCACGTGCCTGTATCATCGGGGACACATTGTCACGAAATGTCGACATATAGTAAGCTGTAGTCTATATGCATCAGGTGTATATGCAGGTCAGTAGTTGACAACACGCTGGCGTAACACGATGACGCATGATCAAACGACCCGCGGTTAGAATAGGTCTTCAGCAAGCCATACTTGTCTTAAGAGGCGACTAACGGGATTGGGTGGTCAGGATCGCTGACTTGGTTGATGCATGTCATCGTATCCCAACTGCGTAGATCGATGCTCATGATGTCACTCACTGGATTGTCTGGTCCAGAATCGATTATTTACAGACCACCGTCATATAGCTGGAATATTGCCGAGTGCGGCGTTAAACAACAAACAAATAACCAATGGATCCGTCTCCAAGTTCTCAGATTCCAGTTGTGTCGCACAATACACCATGCTAAAAGAGCAGCTTTGTGGTGATCTCTCAACAAGGGACGCTTTGTGACTCGTCCAGCCCTCAATCCTGCTGCTTTCTGGCGGTTCCTGGCGGTTCTGGTGCTGAAACGACGATTGGGCAACCACAGCTGTTTCAGACGAGTAATTGTTAAAAGGGGTTCAGGGCGTATGAGACGAAGACCAATGGCATTACAAGACATTCCTGCGTTATGCATGCCTATTATTTGCCAACTTGTGGCGTTTGATAATCGCCTTCGTGCCATGGTCACACAATGTCATGGAATAACTGTTTAAAACCGAACTTAAGAAAGCAATTTTAACGTTTGGATACACTGCTTTTAGAGATACTCGAGGGTAGCATGCTGCACGGGCATACCATGCGTGGCACGTGTGCTTTCGTCACGCATGACTGGTTACATCATCTCGAGAAAACATAATTCGAGTTATCCGAGGTTCGACACAACCTAAAATTGAACTTGGGATACATTTACCGATTGACATGAATAAGTAACACAAAACATACGACAAACAAACAACGAAAAATGAAATGAATGTTCAACATTATTTTTATTGTTGATCACTACTTGAACCATGATGACTGATGAGTCGAGGGGCGGGGTCGACTTATCAGAGTAAATGTCTGCTGGAAGTACATGTTTGGGACCAGAAAATGATTTCGAAACAACCGTATTTCGACACATCAGAGGTTAGATAATGATGAATAAAGAAGGAATACGCAGGGATCAAGTTGTGTTTGACTGTGTGTTCAGGGGTAGCTTTCAGGTTAAACCCGACAGTTACACGGGTGGTCGTGGTCTCCATAGAGTGTTGTTTTAGGTCACATCAGATTAGAGATCAGATCACACATCCTTAACGCAAGAATTACCAGGAACCAGTATCGGTAAGAAGAAAGGGCTCGCTATGTGTGTCTGTGTGTCTGTAATGGCAATGGGGCCAGTTTTTCATTTGTTCAGTAGTAGAAGATTTATAGATTTCTCGACTGCTTGGCAGTAAAATTGCTCCAATATGGATGTATGGTTCGGAATAATGGGGTATTAATTATCATGTCACATTTGAAGAGATACAAGTATTATATTTTAAACGTTTTCTTGGTGTGGGTAAATTTGCAGCAAAAAAAAAGCTATTTTTGGGTGAAGCTGGGGTCATTGTGTGTGTTTATAGATACGCAAGTAAGGATAACTAAGTACTGGATTCAGCTTTTGAGAATGAATGTACGTCGATACCCCGTCCAAAGTTATGTTATGCTTAAAGAATTAGATGAGAAAACTAGAATGTGAGACAAATGTTATTTAATAGCTGTTGTGCGTATGTGTGGTTATACCAAGATGTTGGTGATGAGAACGTGTTTTTGTCTACATTTAGAAGACTCTAAGCACATATTTATTTCCAAACATGGTACCACAGTTTAGAGTGTTCTACCATTTTAGTGAATGATGCTAATATAACATCCCTTATGCAACCTGAATTATATGTATACTGTAAACTACGTTTGTAACGAAAACGCTTATAACGAACTGACTCATATAACGAACTTTTTTTTTTTTGTCCAGACTATTTGCTGTAGTTATGCTGTATATATGCTTATAACGAACTACGGTTATAACGAACTAAAATTAGTGGTCCCTTTGAGTTCGTTATAACCGTAGTTTACTGTATAATTGTACTCAGAGACGATTAGTTGGAGCAATGTGTAAATTTCGAGTCAACATTATTCGTAAAAGGTTACTGTTAATTGTACCTCATACAGAATCTGTATGTACAAACTGTGACCTTTATTTAGAAGAAGATGAATACCATGTTTGGTTTGTATATAAGAAATATATTTACTTGAGAAATAATGTTGTTACCTCATTACAGAAATGATAAGGTAGAACTACGTTTACAAATTTATTTAACTCCTGTGCTATTAATTTACCACGCTTAATAGCTTTATATTTATGTAAATTATTTGAAATGAGATCGACAAAGATGTAACACTCTAGTCTCGTGACCTAGATATAATTTATCTTACAGCTGTACTGTAGCCTGAATTACGAAATAAACTGGATGTTTGCGCGCGCATCCAGCGTACCAATATGGGGGAAGTGATCTATATGGCTGAACCGTTGTCATGTAATTATTTGTAAAAGAAAAATCATCCAATCAATGCGTACAGGTGAGTGTGTGCGAGGTCGTTTTGTTAATTAGGTCCCTTGGAGATCAATTGTTCTCACATTCAGTTAGCAAATACAAGCATTAATTAGAGGTATTTTTGCATTAAAGAAGACTTGGATATATCTAACTGAAATTGAATTTAAAATATGCTGAGAATAAAACGTATATATAAATGGTTGATTCTTTATTTTTTGTATTAAAAAGTAGATCTGCCATGACAGTAATTATCAATTGATAATTTCCTTGTTCAGATGTGTAGTGTACGTTTTTCAATGTATCCTGAAATGTGGAAGAGGTGTGAAGTTAAGGTAGGAGGTACGACAACATTTCTTTTAACTCCTTTGTACTTTTGATAAGTCCCTCTAATGTAACTGTGCACTCTCCTACCCAGAGTTCCATGCGGCCGGCAGCCAGCTAGCATAGTACCTCTGCCACAGGCCAGCGCCATGTGACGATTCGTCACATCTTTCACAGTCCATTCAAGATATTGCATATGCTTTTCATCCGTTTCATGTTTGACAAGTCTACACATTTTCATAAACAAATGTCAAAGAATGGTTAACTTTCATTAAGAAAGTATGCAACTACGTAAAAATCTACTTGTTTTTGCGTAGTTATCCTATGTTTACATTGGTTGTACGGCTCCACGTGCTGTCATCGAAGCCCAACGGAGAGCTATAGCGACACGGTCACTTTGATGCATAAATATATATTGTCATGCAACTCACTGTCGCAGTTGTAGTAGCATATCTATATAGTTATGCAAAACAATATGTAAAGCGCCCCCAAATACTTGCATTAGTCCGTTCTATACTGATTTCTGAAAAAAGCGCGTTTGTTTACAAACAAGAGAAAAGTCCGGTCACGTGATATGCAAATTAGCCTGTGGCAGTGGTGTTATGCTGAGTCACCACTGCGACGGAGTGTGGTAACTGTGCACCGAGATCGATTCTGTGGTCAAGGGGAGATCACTCTCATTTCGCGTCCCCTTCCAGAAAGCTCGTGGAAGGCTCAAGGTCAGTTGCAGAAGCAGATCACGTTTCGCTTCAGGTTAGTTTCTCTGTGTGAGCACAACTGCTAATATAACCTGTCATGGCTTAAATATTACTGGAACTATTTATAACGCTTCAAATACCTCAATCCTCAACCCGAAGGACATGAATACTTTTAATGACAATTGTGTTTATGCTGATTAATTTAGCTGACGAAATATCACTGTGCAGGTCTTCTAGTGTCTTTCAGTATCAGTATCAACGCGAGGTGATATCGGTATGCATGACGTAGCATGTTAGTAGATTTCGTCAGTTGGGGATAACAAAGTCTTGGACTTTAGTCCGAACCTATCTTCAAATTGTTAGTGCCGTACCTGTCTTCATATTCGCTTATTGCACCCTGAAGAAGACTGACTGCTTGGGACAAACAGTTGGTGGTGATTACTGCAGTGTTGCTTGCTTCCCCTTAAAACAGTATGTGTTCTGTTCGGTTAAAATTTAATTCTTTTATTTACTAACAATTGGTGAGTTTTGTGCTACAATAGAAAGGAAAGATTCAAGTTGAAATAAGGAAATATGTAAGGATAAGCACAGGACCATGTAACAATAAAAATGAAAAAAGTCGCAAAAAAATCATAGACGAGGCAAAATTTGCGTATGATTTTTTTGCGACTTTTTTTTATTGTTACATGGTCCTGTGGGATAAGATATATGGATGAACAACATTATCAATTAAGATCGACATTTGGGTGTAGGATTAAACACTGCTATCAGGCAAGTGGTCCAATTTCAAACGCTGATACAAAACGTTGGCAAGGAGAGTTTATAGTGTAAGTTACAAAATATGTTATGTCTCACTTAAGATTTTACTGTGTCTGATACTGTAGATGTATACGAATTGTTTTGTTCAAGCACAGGACCATGTAACTAATAATAATTACAAACTCGCAGACAAGGCCTCGTCTGCAAGTTTCTTAATTATTATCATTACATGGTCCTGTGGTTAAAGTTAGAAGCTTTTGTTGCAATTTAGCTTATGTGAGGTCCATGCACTGTATCATGGTGGATGTGTTCATGAACATAATGAAGGATAAACATTGGGGCATACAGCATATTACAGTTTTCAGGTCGGTAGTATAAAGTGTGGACATGGTAGTGGTGGGATGATACACCGATGCATCGGAGAATCACAATTTTTTTACTTCTCTATACAAGTATCGATCACAATCGCACACTAAGTAAAAAGTATCTATTCTACCTTAAATGATTTCTTAAAATAAGTGTTACACCAAACACTACTTAGTAGTGAAAATGCGTAGTGAGAATGTAAATATTTTCATCCATTGCACCATCTGGCTTCAACAACTTAATGAGGAATGAATGGTAACATGTTGAGTTGCATACAGGAAGTGTTGCCTTATCTGATTTCAGCTGAGTCATGGTGATGTCCAAGTTCTTCGAGACGCTCCCTGAGGGGTATGGCTACGTGGTGCTCGCTGGCACTGGCAGCGTCTTCGTCAACATGTGGATGGCCATCAATGTTGGCAGAGCTAGGAAGAAGTTTGAAGTCCCAGTAAGTGTAAACAGGGATGGGCCATAAAGTGTTCAGTATATCTTTGTGAATCTTGACTGCCTCCATGGTCTAGTGGTAGAGCGTCCGCTCGGAGAGCGGAAGGTCCGAGGTTCGATCCCCGGCCGCGTCATACCAAAAGACGTTAAAAGATGGTACTTGTTGTTACCCTGTCTGGCGCTCGGCATTAAGGGGCTAAAACAAGGACTGGTCGGCTCGGAGTCAGTATACTGTGTCTGAGTGGGGTATTCATGTTAAACTGCGGCATGGTATCTCAGTGAGCTAGCACTATAAATCGGCATCAGTCGGGACTAGTACTGTACAAGCAGCCACACAAACACACACACGTGCATGCACGTTGCTATATAAGTGCAATAATCTTGGATGCGATGTTAAACCCAATTTCACCTCACCTCACCTTGTGAATCTTGTATACACATCAGACATGTGCTGAACTGGTGCCTTTTACAATTCAGAAGTTTCAGAAAATGTATTTTTGATGTTTCCAGGGCAACAAGTTGGACATGGGTTGAATGAGTGAAGGGATTGTTTCCAGTGCATAACTTATAATCTGTCCAATATTTCTTTGTGAAACTTTGTAGACACATCAGGTATACATTGAACTGATGCCTTTTCCTGTTGAAGGAGTTTTGAAATTTTGTGCTTACCTGACTCAAAATCAAGTGAGCGTTTTGTCTTAGCCTACTTGTCCAGCGTCAGTCGACCATCATAAACATCTCCTCAGAAACGACTGGAACCTTTAAGCTGAAACTTCGTTTCCTTCATCCCACCATTGATGACACCTCAATCTGCCAATTTGTTGCCATTACTCGGTCGGTTTCTGTTCAAATGACACAGAATTTGGTTGAAGTGTTACTGTGCAGTTAGTAGTGAGGCTCAATATGTATGTTCTGTTCTCGGTGATATTTTAAAGTTCGACCTTGACTTGACCTTTGCAGTGATGGAAATTTGCCAAGTAGATCTACTAGTCGAAAGTGATTACATACATAATATAGCATACCAAGGTGACTTACTATTTTTAGATACAGGGGCCTAGCTAGTAAATTTATAAATGGTTCAGAAACAGTGGATGATGGAAATACCAACAACATTCTGTAAGTTGTACTCTCATAGAGCTTGTGATGGTAGGTGCAAAATCGTCATCAGACTTGAGTAGACCGTTACGAAGGTGTGAATTGTAGCAATGTATTATCCACCAATGGATGTTGTATAGCTAAAGCGGAGCAATACATGGTCACAAGTTTGCAGCTAATATTTCCTTTTAGTTTGAGATGAGGTGTACAAGTGTTTGGTGACGTGTCTGTGTTCGTTGCAGTACCCTGAGATGTACAGCTCCTCGTCCAAAGAATTCAACTGTATCCAGCGGGCTCACCAGAATACGTAAGCAGCCTCCAAAATATATTTTTTAAGGCTAGTTCAGAGGATTAGTTGAAACCTCATTTCAAAAGTCCAAAGCGTTTGCAGCTAGTTCCGACTGAACAAGACAAAAATGTTTACCATGGTTACATTTTCTGCGGGTTTATTCAGTGCCAGTTTGAAGCAAAATGGAAGCCTTGAGAACTGGTGCAGAATAATAGCCCTCAAATGCTACCAGTCAATAAGGGGGGGCATGGGTGACCCAGTCGTCTACAGTGCCACAGTTCGCTGTGCAGAGTTGCGCCCCTTGGGCACACCAGAAACCTATGATTGTGGGTTCATTTCTTGGTTCACCCCGATTATGTTTCTAGGTTTGTCAGCACCATACCCGTGCTCGTGGGTTTTGCCGAAGTGGTCCAAGTCTGAGACCTGCATCACTTGGGGCTTTCCTCCCACATTAAGCTGACACGCTGTGATATAACTGGAATACTGTTAAAGCGGCGTTAAACCCAACTCACTCACTCACGAGTCAATGAGGACTGCAATTGTTGGATTTTTGTGTGTCCTTGGCACAATTTAGTAGTCTCTTGACTAGCGTGAATTTCAAACTCTGCATTAGTGTATCTGTTTTTCATATGATTAATAACAGGCAAGTTAGAAAGAATCCATACAACATCATACTGTGAAGTGATTTCACACACACTACAGACTTGACGGAGTGTAGATTGTTGACGTAACCATGGTTATGGAGAGCATTGTTGACGTAAAGTTTAACCTTGATGATGTCACAGTAATAATGAGGGGCGGTCGGGTAGCCTAGTGGTTAAAGCATTCACTCGTCACGCTGGAGACCCAGGTTCGATTCCCAACATGGGTACAATATGTGAAGCCCATTTCTGGTCTCCCCCGCCGTGATATTGCTGGAATATTGTTAAAAGCAGGGTAAAAACATACTCACTCACTCAGTAATAATGAGGTAGCGTATTGATGTCAATGTCATATTGACCCTGTTACCATTCTTGACAAGAATCATTACACCTCTTGAGACCTGCTTCAATTCAGGCTTTTCTCCCACATTAAGCTGACATGCTGTGATATAACTGGAATACTGTTCCAGTGGAGATAGAACCAACTAACTCACTATTATCTGAGCTTCAGATAACTTTTTGAGCAATTGAGTTTTTACTCTAGGGTTTCTATTTTAATTGGGTTATTACATTTTTCATTGGGTAGCCAATATTTTTTCACTCATCTATTCATCACTCTATTGGGTTTTCTCTAAAGAGTGATCATTTTAAGATTTTTAAAAAGTGAAATAATGTTTTAGATGCATATAACCATGATAACTGTTCTGAACATATATAGGCTTGACTCAGAAAGTAAATTAGCTCGTAATTGTGTTTCAGAAATTAGCTCCTTTGTACGCATGCTGAAAAAGCTTCATTGGGTATTTACGCGAGATGTTTTTATACATTTGAGTTTTTCATTTTATGCATGCATTTCTGTACGCAAGTTAATTGAAAGTAATTGGTTTTGAATATTTTTGGGGGGTATTTTACTCAAATACACTGCTAATGTGTAGCTCTGGTATTATGTGTGGAAACTAAAGAGATTATTAGGTATACACGTGTGACCTTGGTGATGTGTAGGTCATCGTACTCAAACAGTGTGATTGTTCCTCATGCTGTCAACCACTTGTTTGTATCATTGGTCTCTAAAGTGTCAGGGGGCACGGGTGGCCCAGTCGTCTGAGGCGCCGCAATTCGCTGTGCAGAGTTGCGTCCCTTGGGCACGCCAGAAACATATGATTGTGGGTTCGAACCCCGGTTCCCCCTATTATGTTTCTAGGTTTGTCAGCACCATACCCGTGCTCGTGGGTTTCACCGAAGTGGTAAACGTCTGAGACCTGCATCACTTAGGGCTTTCCTCCCACATTAAGCTGACACGCCGTAATATAACTGTAATACTGTTAAAAGCGGCGTTAAACCCAACTCACTCACTCACTCAAGGTGATGTTAAACTCACTCTAGCTTAGTTTGTCTCCATTTTGTATGTTTTGTTTCAGATTAGAAACGTATCCTCAGTTCCTCATGCTGTTGTTTGTCGGAGGGCTCCAATACCCTGTAAGTCTGCTCCATCTATACAAGTGTTTCAAATAATTGATTCTGTCAACATTTTGTTTGTAGAGAAGTACACATCTATGGTGTATTTTGGAAGAATTGAACACATGCAACTTCTTTGTTGTTTGGCACAGACTCTATTTAGCTATATAAAACATGCACAAGTGCAACTTATTATTAAGACATGCAGACTAATATTTATGTCTTCATGCAACAAATGCATGTAAAAAATTTCACATTTATTTCTGACTAACCTTTACTTGTCCCCACAAAATCAGTGTCAACATATCCCAGTTGTGTGAATTGATGCTCATGATATCAATCACTGGATTGTCTGGTCCAGACTGTAATATTTATAGACCGCTGGAATGTTTCTGAGCATGCTGAGTGCATTGTTTAACAACAAACCAACTCTATATATGTGTTTGATGGGCTGAACATGGACCCTGTTATGTTTTCCACTGATTTTAATCATTTTGCAAATTATTTTTTGTAAAAATGTCCTTGAACAATTTTTTAGTTTCTTGAGATTTAGCTTCAGTGAAATATCTGGATGTTTTATTCCTATATGAAATGAACAGCGTTTGAAAGGGAAACATCACTCATTCTCTAATCAAAATACTTGTTCAAATTGTTCATTCATTTATCCATACAAACATCTCTACAATTTGTGACTTGTAATTCTGATTTTCCTGTGCACTGTGTTCTTCTTTGGTACAGAAAATCAGTGCAGCGGCAGGAGCGGTGTATCTGGCCGGCAGGATCGCCTACGCTCTCGGCTACTACACTGGCGGTAAGGGGAGACAATCAGGAACAATATATCATGTGATATATCAAAATTCGAAATTAAGAATTGATCATTTTGAACACTGCTTATGATCACAGATCATTTTGCTGATTATTGAAATCCAGGGTGATATGTTTGATTTCAAGATGCTGTTCGTTGTGGGCATGGTACAGAACTCTTCAAATATTGAGAACCCTAAAATTGGTCCCCAGAAACCAATGCTTGTCTTAAAGGGCAGCAATATGGGTTGGGTGGTTGGGTGACTTAGTTGAATGCGTATCATCGTAGCCTTGACATTACTCATAATATCAATCACTATTTGTCGACCCGTGAAGATCCGGGGTAGAATAGATCTTCAGCAACCCATGCTTGCCGTAAAAGGCGACTAACGGGATCGGGTGGTCAGGGTTGCTTTCTTGGTTGATGCATGTCATCGATCCCAATTTCGTGGACCGATGCTCATGATGTCAATCACTGGATTGTCTGGTCCAGACTCGATTATTTGTCAAAAAGCTGGAATATTGCTGAGTGCACGTTAAAAAACAATCCAACCAACCACCATCTGTCAGGCCCAGTATCGGTTGTTTACAGACTGTTGTGATCTGGCTGGAATATTGCTTGCTTAGCACGAAAACAAACGAGTGTTCAAAATTAATTATTTAAATTAAGCCTTGCAGGACTAGCTACAAACTCTGAGATTGGAAACAGTTTTGCATGAGTTCTCTGTAAGGTCCAGTCTTAAAAAATCAATTCTTTCTGTGTGTTTGACTGTCTTATGAAGTAACGTGTTGCATTGCTATTTTGTTGAAATGCTGCTGCATCACTGCAATACCTTCTTGTTTAGCAGTCCGAAACAGATTGTTTATCTACTTAAATATGAGAGAAAAAGTCGTGTAAAGTACAAAGAAATGTTCTCATCTTTTTTCAAGGACAGTGCTGTAAGAATGGACAAAACGTTCATCTATGTTCATATCTGTTGAACCCTTAGTACTCTTGACTCGAGCGGAAGGTCCGGGGTTCGATCCCCGGCCGCGTCATACCAAAAGACGTTAAAAGATGGTACTTGTTGTTACCCTGTCTGGCGCTCGGCATTAAGGGGCTAAAACAAGGACTGGTCGGCTCGGAGTCAGTATACTGTGTCTGAGCGGGGTATTCATGTTAAACTGCGGCATGGTATCTCAGTGAGCTAGCACTATAATTCGGCATCAGTCGGGACTAGTACAAGCAGCCACACACACACACACGTGCATGCACGTCGCTATATAAGTGCAATAATCTTGGACGCGATGTTAAACCCAATTTCACCTCACCTCACCTCTTGACTCTCTTTTCTTAAACTAAGAAGTCAGAGTTTACTTGTGGTTATCGTGAACTGGTAAGACTCAGAAAGTTGATAAGTATTAATTCAAGTTTTTTTCCATTGCCAACTTTCACCTGCAGACCCTGAGAAGAGGAGATGGGGAGCGGTCGGCCATATTGCAGAGTTGGTGCTGCTTGGCAATGTGTTGTCCCTGGCCGCCCACCAGCTGGGCTGGGTCGGACACCGCCATTGTCGTATGAGATTTTGAATGTGGTAATAGTCCCATAATCTTCCGCCTGCTTGATGCTGTTGTTTTTGTTTTCTTTTCTTTGGGGAGATATTATGGACTCTACACTGACTTGCAGAAGTCAGCGCTACCAAAACATTAGTCAATAGTTTTGGATGACAGAAACATTCATTATCGGTCTTTTTAGTCAGCATTTTTAATGCATTTGAAATTTGCGTCATGGTTATGACTTGACAATGGTAGAGACTTGCTGCAAGGGTAGGTCCGTATTGTCGCCCGCTCTGCATGTTCCTGTGAGGGTGATTGGTCAGTGGTGCCTTGTTGCTGGCAGATCCCGAGAAGCGGAAACGGGGCGTGTTCGGGGCCTTCGCGATGCTCATCTTGTTGGGAAATACCATCTCCCTTGGAGCTCACCAGCTGCGATGGGTTCCCTTGAAGTAGCGCGATGTCGACAGGGTACTGTACTAATGCTTCTGCTGCATAACACTACAACTAATTATGCTGTTACTCATCCATTTAGATTCTCAGATTTGTTGCCATTTGCAGAGCTTAGAAGCATTGTAATGTGTCAGAAGTTACGTGTGCTAGATGTCGCAGTTATCTGTGTGGGGATAGGACCACAGTACTTTCTGCTTGTTGTAAGAGACGAGGCTTTAAAGCAGACACTACTTCACCACAGCTAGTTGTGATGTGTGGCCCAGTCGTCTTTAGGCGCTGTAGTTCTGAGTGACGTCCCTTGGGCACCCCTTTTCACCAAAGTGGTAAATGTCCGAAATGTGTATCACTTGGGCTTTCTTCCCACATCAAGCTGACACACCGTGATATAGCTGAAATACAGTTCAAAGTTGCATTAAACCCATATCAATCAATCGATCAATCAATCAATCGGCCAATCATTCAATTAACCAATCTTTTAATCGGCCAATCATTCAATTGACCAATCTTTCAATCGACCAATCATTCAGTTGACCAATCGATCCAAGCACAGCAATCAATCCAAGCAAAGCAAATGGTCGGGCTGTTTGACGTAGCTGATTGTGTGTCATCATAGCCCAGAGATGTGGATCATTGTTCTTTGTTTGGGCAAGCCTGGCTGTTAAGTCGACTAAGCTGCCCCTGTTAATTCCCTTGGTTGTGCCTGACACCTACAGTCATGGGTTGGAATCCCACATTGTTTTGGGTTTTCCTGGCCCAGACTCGATCTTCCAAGGCTGTGATCTGGCTGGAATACTGCTAACTTTCACTTACTGTTAAATCATATTACCATTTCTGAAGGGATTTTTTGGAAAACATATCATTTACGACTGATATTGGGGGTTGGGGTGGATGGGGGGTGGGGGGTACGGGGGGATGCACGGGTGGCCCAGTTGTCTAAGGTGCCATGATTTGCTTTGCAGTGTTGCGTCCCTTGGGCACGCCAGAAACCTATGATTGTGGGTTCGAATCCCGGTTCGACCCAATTATGTTTCTAGGTTTGTCAGCACCATACCTGTGCTCGTGGGTTTCACTGAAGTGGTAAACGTCTGAGACCTGCATCACTTTGGGCTTTCCTCCCCCAATGACTGAGAGTAGGCAATCCCAAGCAGGTCAGAAGCTTTATTAGAATGGAGGAGAATAAGCGAACGGAGGAAGCAGTCGCTTCACAATCAGGATGCATCTCATTAGCGAGGTTGCAATGTATGGTATTAGATGAGGCCTACTTTACAATCATAAAAGATGTCATCAATTAAGTGTGTATATTTGTCTTTTGACTATGAAGAAAATTGAAGTTGTTTGAGGCAAAGAAGCACATTACAAAAAAAAACATTTATGGATCACTGAAGTGGGGATTAGATGGTCAAAATGACCAATGACTATGGTATCAGATGGTGGGGTAGCCTTGTGGTTGAGGTGGTCGCTCGTCACACCAAAGACCCGGGTTCGATTCCCCACATGGGTACAGTATGTGAAGCCGATTGCTGATGTCCCCACTGGTGTAAAACCTCACTCACTCCACTCACACTCACTCACTCACTCACTGCTGTATACATGCATGGAAAGTTGCCCCAGCAGGTGCCCGGAGTCCTTCACACCTGAATCTTCCTTCCCTGTCTAGTTAGTTACACAATTTCCTTTTTCTGTTTTTGGCCGATTATTTTTGCTTTCATATTGTTTCATGTAGCATGGCTGGTGATTAATCAGGTCAACATTTTTCACATTTTCTGAGCGACACCTTCTCTACTTAGAATTTTGAAGATTTAGAATGTATTTTCTCTGTCAGATATTCTAATATAGGAAGATAAAGTTTTTAAAAATATCCGCAAAATATTGACTGTTGATTTGGAAGTTCCCTACCAGCATCGTAGTCCAGGATTTTTTTAAGGTCGTCTCTCCTTTGCTTTTTTTCAAGCATTATATGTTTGTTTTTTCATTCATTATTTTTTTTGATATTGTACGTTATTCTTGTATCCAAACCTCCAAACTAAACTTCCCAGTTGAGCTGTTTTTATTCCATTATTTTTGTGCAAGTGGTATTCAGTCTATTTGTATTTTGTCTTCAGATGGGGAATGTTTTTTCAGCATATTATTATAACATTACTTGATAGATTGTTGGTTTTATGCTCCAAATGTCTCGTTTGAAATCAACTGATCAATTCTCATGTCAGTCACTCGATTATTTACAGACAGCCGTCATATAGCTGGAATATTGCCGAGTGTGGCGTTAAACAACAAACAAACAAAAAACAATCCTGCCATTATGAACATGAATCCTAATCCCAGGGAACCTTCAACACGTTTCACTTCCTAAAACACTTGCCCTCAAATATGTGTACTCACATTTTGTCGATAATGCAACTTTCTATGTTTTTATCGGGTTGCAATCATTGAGAGGTTCCGGATGTTTGGGCCGCCATCGCAGAGCGCAATGGCAGATACAAAACCTTTACCATTACAGTTCCCAACTAAACAAGTAACTCACTCACTCACTCACTCACTCACTCCACTCACTCACTCACTCACTCACTCACTCACTCACTCACTCACTCACCCACCCACCCACCCACCCACTCACTCACTCACTCACCCACCCACCCACCCACCCACCCACCTCACAATAAGTAAATATATTGTTGCAGGATATAAGTACTCATATTTGAAGGCAAGTGTCTGAAGAAATGAAACATGTTGTATTTGAGGCTAGATCACGACACATGCACTTTGTTAAAGCACATAAAATGCTATGCAGATTTAGATTGGGGATCTATAGGAAAAAGACAGATACAGTTACCACAGTTAACTGGTGTCATGGTGTCTGGAGTCAACAGGTGCTTATTTCGTCAACCACGAACGTGCCTTGCCCATACACATTATTTAACACCACCATGGTATAGCTGAAATATTGGTGTTTGTGATGCTAAACAGTATTTACTCCTGCTATTCTGATGATTAGAAAACTGTTTTGTCCTATTCCAGATGCTGTGAAAAGCCACTGAACAGGAAGGGTGCCTTTTAGATAATAAGAACGGTGGTCGTCAATATCACGATCGTCAATAGCAGTGGCGTACATTGCCTAACCATAACACTGCACATCAGGATTCAAGAGAAGGCACAACAACTGGGTCATGAAATCCACGGGAAGACACCAATTCCCGGATTCTAAGCTTTATTAATTTCCAATGAAGAAAAATGCTCTATTTTGATAATGCTTTACTTTATTTTAATTCTTAAGGACATTTCCATGACATGAAATAACAATGCAGTGTAGAAATTAACCCATTGGATGTTATGAATCATGAACTTGAGTTGTTAATATTCAGATATGATATGTGTTCCATGTTAGAGCATATTCCAATTTAGGTCAATGAAAAACTGGTAGGTTTGGAATGTTTGGTATTTTATTGAAAGTCCCTGTAGGGCTAGTCTTGTGAATGTCTTTAGATGTGCCACCTGCTCGTGCACCTTCGTTGAATGTTAGGTGTGAGTGTCCTTTGTGTGTTTAGCTGCTGACAAGTCCCGTAAATTGGCTCCATTCAGGCTGTAGTAGTAGTTTGGCATCTGGTAACCTCTGTAGTTTCAGGCTTGTTTTCAAAAGAAATGATAAAAATAATTGTCAAGTATATATAGATATGTTTTCAAAAGAATCGGTAAAAATAATTTTCAAGTATATATATATATCTATCTATCTTTCGATTTCCAGTTGGTCATTTTATTTCAGTGACATTTGTCCTTTTTTAATGGAGGACCTACTGTTAGATTTTTGACTGTCAAAAAGGATGAAGATCAGGCTGGTTTCACTGTAGAACAGTACTTGTCATTTACACGCAGCATGGACCAATAAAGTGTCTGTATGCACAGCATGTTGTTTTTCTTCTGTTGAAGGGGGGCACGGGTGGCCCAGTCAGCCCAGTCGTCTAAGGTACCGCGATTCGCTGTGCAGAGTTGCATCCCTTGGGCACGCCAGAAACCTATGATTGTGGGTTCGAATCCCGGTTCGCCCCGATTATGTTTCTAGGCTTGTCAGCACCAAACCCGTAAACGTCTGAGACCTGCATCACTTCGGGCTTTCCTCCCACAGTAAGCTGACACGCCTTGATATAACTGGAATACTGTTAAAAGCGGCGTTAACCCAACTCACTCACTCTTCTGTTGAAGGGCTAAAAGTGTGTAGAGTTAATACCGCTATGAACTGTATTTCACTTCTCGGTTTAATTGCTAAACGTGTACGGTTAATGCTGCCCCACTCAGAATCCCGAGCCGACCAGTCCTTGTTTTAGCCCCTTAATGCCGAGCATCAGGCAGGGCAACAACAAGTACCATCTTTAAGCGTCTATTGGTATGACGTGGCCGGGGATCGTACCCCAAACCTTCGGGTCTCCGGGCAGACGCTCTACCACTAGACCACGGAGGCTGTCTTATGCCGCTATAAACTGTATTTCTGTTCTCTGTTGAATGGCTGAATGTGTGTAGGGTAAATACGGCCACGAACTATATTTTTGTTCTCCTGAATGCCGCCATGAACTATATTTCTGTTCTCTGTTGAATGGCTGAATGTGTGTAGGGTCAATGCAGCCATGAACTATATTTCTGTTCTCTGTTGAATGGCTGAATGTGTGTAGGGTAAATGCCGCTATGAACTTTATTTCTGTTCTCTGTTGAATGGCTGAATGTGTGTAGGGTCAATGCAGCCATGAACTATATTTCTGTTCTCTGTTGAATGGCTGAATGTGTGTAGGGTAAATGCCACCATGAACTATATTTCTGTTCTCTGTTGAATGTGTGTAGGGTTAATGCTGGTATTTCAGTTCATCACAGCATGTCAGACATTGAGGCTAACATCATCAGGGAATATTTTGGATTCGCAACCTAAAATCAGCAGATCGCATCACCACAAAGGGACACAACTCTGTTTAATTGTTGGCTGTTCAATGTTCCTTCATCTGCCACACAAAATGGTATTTAGGAACTTCCCTTTTTGCCCTAATCAGCTGTAAGCAAAACAAGTCACCACACAAAAAAACTCTTTAAAAAAGAATGTATTTATTTCATTGTACATATGCAAAGTAGTTTCACATCACGGATGTGGGTAATTTAGACGGTGCGTAAGAAACGCGTCAATGTACATGGCTACATGTGACAGGTGCCAGGCAATATATAAACACTGGATCTAGCACTAGCTGATAAACACCAGTAATTTTCCGACAGGGTTGGCAGCTTTCTAGAGTTGCCTGCACTTTAGTAAATACAGTAACTGAAATTTTGCACGTGTAAAGTTCTCAATATACCATCGACAGTTCTCCAAAGCCTTTATGAATCATTTCTGTACCTAAGTTATGATGAAAAGAATACTGGTAAGAAAATCACCATCCATAACCTACACCTACTTTGACCACCCAGTCCCCTGTTTTACGATCGGTACCCCAGCATTAGGAACTGATGACAATAAATAATCTGCAGACAGGTTATCCACCCCGTCCCATTGACGTGAATTGCCTGGCCTCTGTCCCACCAAGTAATACTCTGTTCATCAAGCCTAGCACGCACACGCCAACCACTAACAAAACAAACACAACACTCGCTCATAACTCCTTACTTAGCCTTGAGACAGTATATCTAAAATGTTAGACATGCCACTTTACAAATCGTCTTCAACATCTCAAATCAGAATGCCCTCTTGAACACAATCTCATTAAAATCAGATCTTAGTTTTCGCTACCGCTGAACAAAGATCTGAGGACATCCCATTACGGGTCACGTCAGAACGACCTTTCGTGAATTATGATCGACCAATAAAATGACCGACAAGAAATCGACATTAGCCAATCAGAAGGCAGCTTTCTTATGCTTTATGACACTAGTTTCAAACTTGCGACTACGCTTCGAAACATATTTTGACATATTCTCAATTAAAAAAATTAAAACTGATAAGAAGACTCTGGAATGGCTTATAGTTGACCTAAATTGTATGGATATCATCATAAAACCCGTAACTGTCGTTCGGAATACCCAGTGTTAATAATTTCTTGATTGCATGATTAGAAAACACATTCCGACTGTCACTTTAATGATCTGGTAAGCGACGTTCTGATTTGGTTGGATGAAAGGTCGTTCTGACGTGACCCTTAATGGTATGTCCTCAGATCTTGGTTTAGCGAAAGCGAGAACAAAGATCTGATTTTAATGAGATTGTCTTGAACACTTCCTACAGAAGTGGAAAAAAAAGATCTCTTTCCATATGGGTACAGGGTATGTATTATATATTAATACTGGGAAGTATACTACTAAAAAAAAGTTAAGGATCACCAGATCCTCTGATATGACTATAATTAATCTGCCATGGCATGTCAGATTTACAATAGCAATATGAAAGAATCAGGTGATCCTTAACTTTTTTAGAGTAGTATATTATTTTAGGTAACATGACACTAGCTCGGAATGGTAAGGCTACATACATGGCAACTCTGAAATGTTGCACAATGGTCTGAAAGTACAAAAATCCAGCCAGCCTGGCTCCGATCATTGCAAGACAATTTGAGCTACAAGGGAATAAGCCACTGTTTTAAGAATCTTTGAGATCACACCAAGCCAAACAGAGAGAGGAACAAGGGTTTGGATAACAATATTTTGCCCTATCATCGTGGGCATCAAATTAGAAATAAACAGTTTTCAGATTTAGTGGTGTTAGAGAGTATTTAAAAGCAGAAGCTTTCATTTGAAACTGGCAGTGTTAGCCAGAGGTTTCAAATGTTACAGTTTCTGTGCATCAAATACTCCCATGCCAAAATTGAAAACATGATATATGATATAAAAGTTATGTGTTGATATTCCCAGTTGTGAGACAGATATGTCACCCTGGAATACTTTGACATCAGGATACAATGGATGACGGCTGGTGTCTCCATGATAAGACCGTTCGCTCAGTCTCCAGTTGTTCCCCATGCTTGTGTGAGCCGAGTAGGATGTGGCCGAGATGCCAGCCCCAACTAGCGGCAATTAATAACATTGGTGTCAAATAGTGAGTGAGTGAGTACGGTTTTACGCCGCCTTTAGCAATATTCCAGCAATATCACGGCAGGGGACACCAGAAATGGGCTTCACACATTGTACCCATGTCGGGAATCGAACCCGGGTCTTCGGCGTGACGAGCGAACGCTTTAACCACTAGGCTACCCGACCGCCCCTTGGTGTCAAATAAGTCATTTAAAAAATATTGTAATCATTATTTGCATGACTGAATGGTTTTGATGAAAGTACATACGGAAGGAATCTCACCTGAGTGTCTTTCGATATCATATCTATTAACACAAGTCCTAAATTTTGAACTTTATTAAAGAGTCGATATATTTGATATCTAAAGAAACATGGGTGATATTTTTATTTATCTTCCAACTTTTTCAGTTTGTAAACAATAACATTAAGTGTATTGAGTAAAAAGTACCGCTAACAAGTTTGTGTTAAAGAGATTAGTGATGTCATTTGATTGTGATGTCATGGTAACTGATGACATCAAATGGCCCGCAAAGCATTGTGATGCAATTTCATCCTAGGGCATCTCCTGTGGAAGCCAGGTTTGGATGACATAGTGTCGTCTTTTAAAAAATATTACACTTTTCTGTATTAGCTGAACTTGAATCACCATCATAATGGTTGGCGCCTCTGGACAGGTGGAATGGATCATTTGTCATTGTACCACAATTGGTGTTCACTCTATCAACCACCGGTTTGTCAGGTCTAGACTCAATTTTTTTTTACAAGGAATCATGATTAAGCTGCAGTACTGCTGACTGTGGGAGCAGTCATTATGATCACACACACATATGAAAAACCAAGTTGTCTTTAGTGCAGAACTTGTAGTACAGAACCAAAGTCAAATCATCAACCTGAACGTAAGAGTGAGTGAGTGAGTTGGGTTTAACGCCGCTTTTAACAGCATTCCAGTTATATCGCGGCGTGTCACCTTAATGTGGGAGGAAAGCCCGAAGTGATGCAGGTCTCGGACGACTTGGATGTAAGTGAGATTTTCGCTAGGAAATTAACTTGAGTAAGTTAAAATAAAAATAAATGTATACCGGTAGTCAATATTTTCTTATTTATTTGAAATAACATTGAGTTGTAAAACATATATGCTAATATTGCTTAAGGGCAGGATTTTTAGTATTCTTATAGTAGCATCTAGATTTCTTTTTCATTCTCTTTACAAGAGGTTTACAGAGACCAGAGACAAAAATGCATTTGATCAATTATTTTTAAAAAAGTTCATAGTTACTTTAATTTCATAACAATTTTGAAGTAACAACATAATAAGTATTCTCAAGATAGAGAAGCTGGGCAAATAAAATAAAATTTAAACATTTAAAAAAAAAAAAATTACTGTGGATTTTAGTACTGGTCAGTTTAATTTGTAAACAGAAAAATCCCACTTTCAATAACTGGATGTGCATGCAGTAAACATAGAGGACCCAGTTTCTCGTGCAATCTTAGCGCCAAGTTTAAGTTGAAGTCAAAGTATACCTTTGTGAACCAGTGCCCCGAGTCCTATGATCGGGGATGCTGTTTAGCTTACCACGTGACCTTGTGAAGTGTTACATCGACACAAACCTTCATGATTGCAGGTTGGAAAGTTTTGCCTTCATCAGATCGGAGGGTACACTCCATAAGCAGATCTTGGTGGGGATTTCTTATTCCCTGTTATTATGATCTGAGAAATTAGTTTACACACCAGAACGCTATCCTGTACCTGTTTTTATTTCTCTTCACTCATAAAAGATGATGCTGTCATATCAAAACAGGCTTTGTATGTATGCTATTTCTCCTATAAACAATCTGTAAAACATTATGGCCTGTCCGATTATGTAAAACTACTCATCTGTAACTTCTATGTATCTGGGCCGGAGTCTTGAATGTATTCTGACGTATCACAAGACTATTACAATCACATCTGATGATTAGTTTTCAACATAAAGAATATTAATACGAAATGCAAACAGATAATCTGCACTGTATGTTAATATCTGATAACAAAATGCACTTATCTTTCCAAACACCTGAATCAGTGCATGCACTGTGTATATGAAACTGCCTTGTACTGCACAATGCATATTCAGGTGAAATGGTTCAGTGTTGGAGGGAAATGAAAGGAACCTGAATGAACTGACTTGAAGGTTCCAATAGGTTCGCTGTACCCCTGTTCTTGTTCCTTGTGCACGGTTCTGTGACTAAACGTAACACATTGATGAATCATGATAAGATACATCCCAACCCTGCCTTGTAGAAATATTGACAAAGCCCCTTTGGTTGAGAAATCGAACATTACTCTCACGCATGCATACACACGCACACTCACACGCACACGCACACGCACACGCACACGCACACGCACACAAACATGGTCACAAACGCTTACACAAATAAGCTCGTATTTTGATATGACCAACACGTCAGTTGTCACTTTGGTTTGAAAAAGGCATATGTAAACAGTGTGAAAACTCCTGTAGAAAATTGCAATGCAAAGTATAGGGTTCGAGGTTACTGTAAACAGCGTCTCAACAGACATGGGACTGCAACCACACACAAATCTGATTAGTACCGACATATTAATAGCGAAGGCTTGAATCCTTAACTCCCGCACTTCCCTGCATCCATCACACAAGTGATTAGTATCAACGTATTCACAGCAAAGGCTCGACTCCCACACCTCTGCGTTGTAGCATGTCAGGCACAGTGTTCAATCACGAGTCCTTGTAGGTCTAACCAATATGAAGAAAATGGCTTCATATGCAGAAAGTTACCATTTTGTCAGAAAACAAGATCCACAGGCAAGCACAGAAAAAGTCCTGCGTTCCAGGGTCTGGTGAGAGATATGGTTGAGTCGTATAGTCCCACAGATGAGCTCCACTGGGTACTCACAGGTCAGCTCCAAAGGTGTGTTCCACGGGCTACTTCCACAGGTGAGTTCCCAGGGCAAGTCCCACAGATGAGCTCAACTGGGTACTCACAGGTCAGCTCCAAAGGTGTGTTCCACGGGCTACTTCCACAGGTGAGTTCCCAGGGCAAGTACCACAGATGAGCTCCACTGGGTACTGACAAGTCAGCTCCAAAGGTGTGTTCCACGGGCTACTTCCAAAGGTGAGTTCCCAGGGCAAGTACCACAGATGAGCTCCACTGGGTACTGACAAGTCAGCTCCAAAGGTGTGTTCCACGGGCTACTTCCACAGGTGAGTTCCACAGTTCCCAAGAAAAGGTTCACTTAAGATGCCACTGGAGGGGCCCGCAGGTGATTTAGTTACTGATGAAGAGCCCTCGAAGCAGCATTACTGATGAAGGACATGCCGTGGTGAATCTCCTTCAAACTGTCCTAACCTGACAATCAGGTGAAATATTGCCAGATTTTTCTGCATGACGCTGAAGGAAACAAATATGTTTTCAAGTGGAGTTCCTCCTAAATGTCACACACAAAAAGGTCGAAGAACAGGAATTCCAAGCTTGACATATCCAATATATTAATAACAATATTTATGACCATATTCATTTTCCTCACCCACTGGTTTCCAACATCAATATTCACAAACACTGCCTCATGTGGAAAGCTGTTCGTTACTTTGGGTCAGAATGATGCTGACAGACAAGAAAATAACTCATGGTTTTGTTGAAGATTTGTGTCGCACAACAGGAATAAAGTTGAACTTGATGCAAGTAATCTTGTATAATATTATCATCACATCTCCCTTGAGAAGTATGTGCTGCCATTTGATGACTACACTGTTTCATATCCTCAGGAGGGGCTCTTTTTTTGTCCCTAGGAGCCCCAAACAGGAATTCATAGCGAAGTCTTTCTTCAGTTAATTTGGAAATTTAACAAACTAGTATGAACAAAGCGACACAGCTTCTTTTACAAGTACAAGCCCCAAATGTGGACTCTACCATTATTCGCTCCATAGTCTTGGTCCTTCTTTCATCAGTTCCAGCATCAAATGTGGATTGTCACCACAGCAAAGAACAGAATCAGCATTAGATGAAAGGTTGAACTGTCTGAGATGTCAGATAAATGTCGATAGAAGGTTCTTCCTCGCTAAATCGCACCCTTATAGTGTATAATAAATTACAAACTCTGCACACACGTCAATTTGTCTTGGAAACACTCCTGTCCAAGGTTGAAGAAATTGACCATTGTTAGAACATCTCAACTGGCCTACAAACAAAGAGATGACCTGAGGTCCATCTTGTCAGGTGTTACACATCCGGGTCAACACAATATGTAAGGTCTGACACATCAGGTCCAACAAGTCTGGTCCATCAAGTCTGGTCCAACGAGTCAGGTCCAACAAGTCAGGTCCATCAAGCCGGGTCCATCGAGTCGGGTCCATCAAGTCAGGTCCATCACTTCAGGTCCATCGAATCAGGTCCAACAAGTCAGGTCCAACAAGTCAGGTCCATCGAATCAGGTCCAACAAGTCAGGTCCATCAAGTTTGGTCCATCAGATCAAGTCCATCAAATCAGGTCCAACAAGTCTGGTCCATCACTTCAGGTCCAATAAGTCAGGTCCATCAAATCAGGTCCAACAAGTCTGGTCCATCACTTCAGGTCCAATAAGTCAGGTCCATCAAATCTGGTCTAACAAGTCGGGTCCATCGAATCAGGTCCAACAAGTCAGGTACATCAAGTCTGGTCCATCACTTCAGGTCCAACAAGTCAGGTCCATCGAATCAGGTCCATCAAGTCGGGTCCTACATGTCATGACCTACAACTCGGGTCCTACACTTCAGTTCCAACATGCAGAGTCCCAGAGAGTGAGCCAGGAGGTGAGCCAGGAGGTAAGACATGGAGGAGACACGGAGCTTCACAACTTGAGTGTATGGAGATACTGTAGTTTGAGATGAACGTGGTCGTGCACAGCTCGAGAAGACTGCTGGTAGCTACTCTCCACCTTCAACCATACTTCCTTCTCTATCTCCATCTCTTCCTGTGGGAAGAAATAAATATTCACAAGATAGAGAAGCTGGGCAAATAAAATTAAATTTAAACATTTAAAAAAAAAAAAATTACTGTGGATTTTAGTACTGGTCAGTTTAATTTGTAAACAGAAAAATGATGTAGACAGAACATGTACCAAACTTCACGACATATTTTCAACATGGCAGCCCAGATACTGATCAGTCCAGGCAATGGAGGGGAAGTGCTTATGTCATATGGCTGTCCCTGTGAGGTTGAGGGTGCTGAGACCGAGGGAGGAGATGGGGGTTACCAACCTGGCTGTCCAGGAGAGGTTGAGGGTGCTGAGACTGAGGGAGGATGAGATGGGGTTACCTACCTGGCTGTCTGTGAGGGTGTTGAGACTTAGGGAGGAGGAGATGGGGTTACCTACCTGGCTGTCTGTGAGGGTGCTGAGACTGAGGAAGGAGGAGATGGGGTTACCTACCTGGCTGTCTGTGAGGGTGCTGAGACTGAGGAAGGAGGAGATGGGGTTACCTACCTGGCTGTCTGTGAGGGTGCTGAGACTGAGGGAGGAGATGGGGTTACCTACCTGGCTGTCTGTGAGGGTGTTGAGACTGAGGGAGGAGATGGGGTTACCTACCTGGCTGTCTGTGAGGGTCCTGAGACTGAGGGAGGAGATGGGGTTACCTACCTGGCTGTCTGTGAGGGTGTTGAGACTGAGGGAGGAGATGGGGTTACCTACCTGGCTGTCTGTGAGGGTGCTGAGACTGAGGGAGGAGGAGATGGGGTTACCTACCTGGCTGTCTGTGAGGGTGCTGAGACTTAGGGAGGAGGAGATGGGGTTACCTACCTGGCTGTCTGTGAGGGTGCTGAGACTTAGGGAGGAGGAGATGGGGTTACCTACCTGGCTGTCTGTGAGGGTGTTGAGACTGAGGAAGGAGGAGATGGGGTTACCTACCTGGCTGTCTGTGAGGGTGCTGAGACTTAGGGAGGAGGAGATGGGGTTACCTACCTGGCTGTCTGTGAGGGTGCTGAGACTGAGGAAGGAGGAGATGGGGTTACCTACCTGGCTGTCTGTGAGGGTGCTGAGACTTAGGAAGGAGGAGATGGGGTTACCTACCTGGCTGTCTGTGAGGGTGCTGAGACTGAGGGAGGAGGAGATGGGGTTACCTAGCTGGCTGTCTGTGAGTGTGCTGAGACTGAGGGAGGAGATGGGGTTACCTAGCTGGCTGTCTGTGAGTGTGCTGAGACTGAGGGAGGAGGAGAAGGGTTACCTACCTGGCTGTCTGTGAGGGTGCTGAGACTTAGGGAGGAGGAGATGGGGTTACCTAGCTGGCTGTCTGTGAGTGTGTTGAGACTGAGGGAGGAGATGGGGTTACCTACCTGGCTGTCTGTGAGGGTGCTGAGACTGAGGGAGGAGATGGGGTTACCTACCTAGCTGTCTCTGAGAGTGCTGAGACTGAGGGAGGAGATGGGGTTACCTACCTAGCTGTCTCTGAGGGTACTGAGACTGAGGGAGGAGATGGGGTTACCTAGCTGGCTGTCTGTGAGGGTGTTGAGACTGAGGGAGGAGATGGGGTTACCTACCTGGCTGTCTGTGAGGGTGTTGAGACTGAGGGAGGAGATGGGGTTACCTACCTGGCTGTCTGTGAGGGTGCTGAGACTGAGGGAGGAGATGGGGTTACCTACCTGGCTGTCTGTGAGGGTGTTGAGACTGAGGGAGGAGATGGGGTTACCTACCTGGCTGTCTGTGAGGGTGCTGAGACTGAGGGAGGAGGAGATGGGGTTACCTACCTGGCTGTCTGTGAGGGTCCTGAGACTGAGGGAGGAGATGGGGTTACCTACCTGGCTGTCTGTGAGGGTGTTGAGACTGAGGGAGGAGATGGGGTTACCTACCTAACTGTCTGTGAGGGTGTTGAGACTGAGGGAGGAGATAGGGTTACCTACCTGGCTGTCTGTGAGGGTGTTGAGACTGAGGGAGGAGATGGGGTTACCTACCTAACTGTCTGTGAGGGTGTTGAGACTGAGGGAGGAGATGGGGTTACCTACCTGGCTGTCTGTGAGGGTGCTGAGACTGAGGGAGGAGGAGATGGGGTTACCTACCTAACTGTCTGTGAGGGTGTTGAGACAGGGAGGAGATGGGGTTACCTACCTGGCTGTCTGTGAGGGTGTTGAGACTGAAGGAGGAGATGGGGTTACCTACCTGGCTGTCTGTGAGGGGCCCAGAGAGGTTGAGGGTGCCGAGACTGAGGGAAAGGAAGACAGGGTCGACCTCCTTGACAGCCTGGTGGAGATCAGATGCCCCCTTTTCCAGGCCATCCACCATTGCATTAAAGTTGCTGAATGTACAGGGCTGGAAAAAACAAACACCTCTGATTAGGCCTCCACATCATCGTGTGTCTCATCCTAATGACCAGCTGATGAGGGTGCGGGCAGTGTTCGAAAAACTAGGGAGGGTAGATCTTGTGTCGGGCCCGTACTTTCAAATTTGTATTAGTCCTCATGGCTTGCAGTAAATTTATGTGTCGATTTATTTGTCACAACAAGCTGCAGTTTTTAAATGAGAGCCTTAAGAGTTTGGTCAGGACCTGCAGCTTCTAAAATCTGTGGGTCCTGATGGCAGCCTGGCAATATTTTTTATTTCAAACACTGGGTGAGGATAGTTGGAAGAAAATAACAAAAAATTATATTCGTTTGGGAATACAGCTGAAAAGCATATGTTTTCACATATGTATATTACGACAAGTTTAAAAAATATTGAATTACTTTCCTTTCCAGACAGAAAATATTTATGGTGACGATACATTTGTTCACAGTTTTCCTGAGTGGGATAATACAAAGCTAGGTGAGCTAGATAGTGGAAACAAAAAACGTTATTTAATTTTGGGCAGAATAGGAATTTGGGATGACAAACACACAAAACAAGACAGGAATAATAACACGGGAAATACTGCAGCTGCAAATCTCAAGGCCCCCAGGACCTCCCAGCAACTCAAGATGTATTGCAGCTGCAAATCTCAAGGCCCCCAGGACCTCCCAGCAACTCAAGATGTATTGCAGCTGCAAATCTCAAGGCCCCCAGGACCTCCCAGCAACTGAAGATCTATTGCAGCTGTAAATCTCAAGGCCCCCAGGACCTCCCAGCAACTCAAGATGTATTGCAGCTGCAAATTTCAAGGCCCCCAGGGCCTCCCAGCAACTCAAGATGCCTTGCAGCTGCATCATGGCAACTGAGGGAGTGATTGTCGTTTGACGCCACAGTCCGCAATATTCCAGCTGCATCATGCTTGTCGTAAGAGGTGATTAGCTAATGTATGTCATTGTATCCCAATCGCATAGATTGATGCTAATGATGTCAATCACTCGATTGCCGAGACTCCATTATTTTCAGATTGCCATCAAAAAGCTGAGTGAGGCGTTAAACAAACAAACAAACAAACAAACAACCATCCAGCTATAAGACGGTGGTAAAATAATCGAGTCTGGACAAGACAATCCAGTGATTGACATCATGAGCAGCGATCCAAGCAATTGGGATACGATGACATGCATCAAACAAGTCAGCAAGCCTGACCACCCGATCCCGTTAGTCGCCTCCTACGACAAGCATATTTGCTTTTTCGGAATCATGGGTTGCTGAAGACCTATTCTACCCCGGATCTTCACGGGTTTAAACAACAAACAAACTGTTACCTGTGTTGGTGCAGTGTCCTTCTTCTTACGTAACTTTTTTGTCCACGATGATTTTAGAGGCTTGAGAATTCTATTGCACACTCCAGCTAGGATAGTTGCATAAGATAATGTCTGCAATTACACAATCAGTCTTCAGTTGCAACACAAGGAAATCAACAAACATATCAGAAACAGTATAATTTTGACAAACTATCATCACTTTGATGATAAATAGTAACTGTCTGTGATATCTATACAAGTATTCGAATGATTTGGTTTGGTTTATTTGTTTAGCGCCGCACTCAGCAATATTCCAGCTATATGACGGCGGTCTGTACATATCGAGTCTGGACCAGACAATCCAGTGATTGATATCATAAGCATCAATCCACGCAATTGGGCTCGATGACATGCATCAACCAAGTCAGCAAGTCTGACCACCCGAACCCGTTAGTCGCCTCTTACGACAAGCATAGTCACCTTTTACGGCAAAAAAAGGTTGCTGAAGGCCTTAATCTACCCCGTATCTTCACGGGTCGTATTCGAATGAACAGGATCATTACTGTCAAATTGTTGACCAGGACCCAGTCATGACATACCAAGCTAGTACTCATCTCCATAGAATTGTGATACGCTACAATGACCTTGATGAAAGTTAGCGATATTGTTGACCTTGACCTTAGTTAACCTCCTACTGACCTCTGCACAGAGAACAAGATTTTCAAGCACTTCTGTGTTAAGGGCAGCCCCTCCCTCTGGACTGTTAATTAAGGGACACTTGTGTTGAGACACCGCCTCTGAAGAAAACAAATAAACAGAAAACATGAATACCGAGTGAGTGAGTGAGTGAATATGGTTTTACGCAGCTTTTAGCAATATTCCAGCAATATCACGACGGGGGACACCAGAAATGGGCTTCACACATTGTACCCATGTCGGGAATCGAACCCAGGTCTTCAGCGTGACGAGCGAACGCTTTAACCACTTGGCTACCCGACCGCCCCGAAAACATGATTACAAAATTCACAGAGCTAGTGTATGAGGGAGCATAGGTGAGCCAGTCATCTAAGGTGACATTCGCAGTGCAGAGTTATGTCCCTTGTGCTAACCAGTAACCTATGATTGTGGGTTTCAATCCTGGTTCGCCCCGATAATAATTCCAGGTTTGGCAGCACCATACCCGTGCTAATGCATTTCACCAAAGTGGTAAACGTCTAAGACATGCATCACTTCAGGCTTTCCTCCAACACCAAGCTGACATGCTGTGATATTACTGAATATTGTTCAAAGTGGCGTTAAACCCAACTCACGCACTCACTCGACTATGATGTCATGAAATCAGAAACCTCTCAAGATTACACTTTGTTGTGAGTGAGTTGGATTTAGCGCCACTTTGAACAGTATTTCAGTTATACCAAGCTGTGTCAGCTCGATATGGGAGGGGGAAATTGATGAAGATTTAGACTTAAGGTTGCAACTTTGTTGAAATTCAAAACATGTGTATGGTTCTGGTAAAACAAGAAACAAGCAGGGCTTGATAAGATTCAAAATGTAGGATTCAGACCCATGATCCTAGGTTCCTGGCACACCTAAGGGAAGCAACTCTGCACAGCAATCATAATCATAATCACGAAGTTAACTCGAACAAACCTTGCAGTAACTCAGGGACAACTGTTGTGAATCTCTTTTCTTCATTTTCTTCACTTTTACCTGAAACAGAAAAAATCCAAGTAAAGGACAACGTAGAATACTTCACTGTGAAATCCTGGGGCATTTGAAACCTATGAGTACTTGTACGGTGCTCACAAACCATTAATCACCATAAGGAAGAACCTGGGATTCAGACCCAGCACTCAGCAATATTCCAGCTGTATGACAACGGTTTGTAAACAAATAAAGTTTGGACTAGACAATCCAGTGATTGACATCATGAGCATTGATCTACGCAATGGTGATACGAAGACACGTATCAACCAATTCAGCAAGCCTGTCTTACCCAAGCCCTGTAGTCGCCTTTTACAACAAGCATAGTCACCTCTTACGACAAGCATTGGTTGCTGAAGACCAGTTCTTAACTGGATATTCTCGCGTCCACATTACATTAGATTGTGTGTTAGGCCTTACTTTTATTTCTTGGTTTATGGATCCGATGACCTTAAATATCGAAAATTCAGATGAAGAAAAATTGTTTTCTTATATGCCACTGGTGCTAACAAACACTTTGACAATAAAAATAATCCAAGTGGTTGATAATATCAGCAACGTCCCGTGTCATCAGGGTACAAGTGAGTGAGTGAGTGAGTGAGTGTGGTTTTACGCCACTTTTAGCAATCTTCCAGCAATATCAGGGCGGGGGACACCAGAATTGGGCTTCAAACATTGTACCCATGTCGGGAATCGAACCTAGGTCTTCGGCGTGACGAGCGAACGCTTTAACCACTAGGCTACCCGACCGCCCCCATCAGTGTACAATAACACGAATCAAGACACCAAGTCTGACCACCCGATCAGTCACCTCACATGACAAACAATTGTCTGAGGGTCCCCCTGCAAACACATGCACCACTAAGACAACATGAGATATACAAGATCCTACCCATGACATGAGACGGACGATGTGTATCTTACCTACACCTTTATCCTGTAGACTATTTGAATATAAAACACACTGCACCATTTCTTTGAACACTTTATGGTGACCGCTGGAGAGGAACGTTGAAAGTCTTGTCCGGTACGGGCCGTCAACCTGACACTGCAACATGTGAACCAGTCAGGGACCAGTGGTACTCACAGCCAGAAACATTTTTTTACACCATCTCATTAAAATCAGATCTTTTACTCCAATAAAATACCTGTCTGAGGGGAAATCTCACAATGGCACTCAGAAACAACAACGGGAGTCAAAAACAACAGGGTATATAACATATCCACAACAATATCATAGCAAGGCCTTTTTATACTCCATTCGGAACTGCCCATTTAGGCTTCATTTTAGAAGCTGCTCTGAAAGCTTTGCCCACTTGTACTGAGAATTTAGAAGCCTCAATTTTGATTGGTTGAGTAAAACGTTTACCTGGCACTCCTATCAATTTACATGATCACAGTCATGTTTCGTCTGAGCACACTTCCAGACATAATTAATGATGATATTTGTTAGATTCCTTTGTATTTTTGTTTCAAACTGAACCCCAAATGATCCCCGACATTTTGTATGTGCCTCAAGCATCTAGCTGCACTGAAAACCCATAAAGAAGAAATGAAACTGGGAACTAACCAGCATGCTGTTTGCGAACATATCCACAACAATATCATAGCAAGGCCTTTTTATACTCCATTCAGAAGTGCCCATTTAGGTTCATTTACAGGGGACAGAAATTTAGAAGCTGCTCTGAAAGCTTTGCCCACTTGTACCGAGAATTTAGAAGCCTCAATTTTGATTGGTTGAGTAGAAAGTTTACCTGCCTCCAGCACCTAGCTGCACTGAAAACCCATAAAAAAGAAATGAAACTGGGAACTGACCAGCATGCTGTTTGCGAATTTGTCGCAGTCCTCTAGATGGGAGGTGAGCTTCTGTAGCAAGTCCTGTATCACCTCGGACATGGGTTTCCTCTCCTCCGACACGCCGTTGTTGGTGTGATGGTTGACGTCAGGCTGCCGTCCCAACATCACCGCCGCTGCCAGCAGTCGCAACATCAGGTTCCGCAGCCGGAGCCATGCTTTCTGACAACAGCAGATCACACAGAGCTTCAAATGTGAACAATCTCACTGAGCTCAGGGCCCACTTGCACAAAGCGATCTTAGCGCTAAGACTATGTTAAAGTATGGGTGTTACGATCATCTTAGCGCTAAGATCGCTTTGTGCAAGTGGGCCCAGATCTTAGTTCTTACTATCGCTAGACAAGGATCTGAAGACATCCCTTTACAGGACACACCTGACAACTTCATCCGACAAATCAAGAGTGACAGTCGGAATGTGTTTTCTCATTAAGCTACCTTGAAAAGTTTAACACAAAGTACAGTAAACTACGGTTATAACGAACTCAAAAGGACCACTAATTTTAGTTTGTTATAACCATAGTTCGTTATAAGCATGTATACAGCTTTAATACAGCAAATGTTAGGGACAAAAAAGTAAGTTCATTATATCCGTCAGTTCATTATAAGCGTGTTTGTTATAAACGTAGTTTACTGTATTCCGAATGACAGTTACAGGCTGTATGATGGAATGCGTGAAAATCATCGTTTATGCCTTGCTTCAGAGGGATAAACATTTGGTGAGGTGAAATTGGGTTTAGCGTCGTGTCCAAGATTATTGCACTTATATAGCGACGTGCATGCACGTGTGTGTGTGTGTGTGTGGCTGCTTGTACTAGTCCGGAGTGATGCCGATTTATAGTGCTAGCCCACTGAGATACCATGCCGCAGTTTAACATGAATACCCCACTCAGACTCCAAGCCGACCAGTCCTTGCTTAATGCCGAGCGCAAGACAGGGTAACAAGTACCATCTTGTAACGTCTTTTGGTATGACGCGGCCGGGGATCGAACCCTGGACCTTCCGCTCTCCGGGCGGACGCTTTACTACTAGACCACGGAGGCGGTCGGATAAACATTTGGACACAAGAGACTTTCCATTGCACATGGGAAGTACTGGTCTGCCATACAATCTCAGCCATCTTTTTGACATTCCATAATGTTCTTTAGTTTAGTTTACAAATTTTAAATTGAGAACTCTGTCAAAAGTGTAGTCTGGAATGGAAGTCGCCAGTTTGAAACTTGTGCCGTATAGCTCAGGAAAGCTGCTTTCTGACTGGCTAATGTCGACTTCTTGTTAGCTGTTTCATTGGTCAGACAAAATTTGTGAAAGGTGGTTCTGATGGGACCTGTAATGGGTTGTCTTCAGATCTTTGTTTAGGGGTAGTGAAAACTAAGATCTCATTCTAATGTGAAATGTGAAAAAGAATTAATTAAGTAAGAGGTACCTTTTTGGTTGCATGAATAAGAGAGAATGGTTTCTTGTAGTTTTAATGCTTTGAGGAAAGTGTGATATATCAAAGTTACAGAGGACACATTTACCATGAGCCAAGGATCATCATGGAAGACTGACATTCAAACCCATGATCAGCGGATCCTGGAACAACCAAGGGATGTAACTAAGTAGTGAATTGCAGTTCCTGAAGCCATGGGGCTTGCCATGCCCCTGTGTACAATGGTGTAATATAAGTCTGCAGTGCACAACGTCAAGCTGAGTGATGAAACAAAACAAATCTCAAACAATGGCTGACATACCTCCTCTTCAAATGATTGTCTTTGTAATGTCTCAAGGTCAAACCTGAAAGAGAAACCAAATCATTCACGTTGCGGCAGGGGATAATAATAACCCAACAACGGCTCAAAAGCAGTCTAGATCAGACAAACCAGTGATTGATATGATGAGCAAAGGGGTTTATGTAGCCCTGCTCTGAGGCCAATATTCAGCCAAATCTGCAGCAAATGACACTCAAAATTCCAAATTTGAATTTCCAAAAATCCAAATTCCTCCGAATTTCCAAAAATATGAATATTAGTTTGCTGTTTGTATATGAATGCCTTAAACACCAAATTTATCAGCTCTGAAAAATGAAACATATCATTAATAGAAAGAATAGGCTGCGATGCACAGTGATGTGTGTATACTGGACAACAATTACCGTTTTTCAGCCTAGGGGGCACCTTTTTTATTTTTAGGTTTACAGATACACCGACGATGGAATGGAACGGCAACTTACAGTTCAGCAGGCTCCCAGCAACTCATCACTTGAAAGTCTCGGTTATCACACAGCTGGTTGATATCGGTCTTGTCTGGAAGGGAACAGTGGCAAATTCAGTATTGGATTAATATTTGTGATGAGGTTAATCCTTTGGCCCAACGCTGTTTGAAACACCTGATCCTGTGACACAGTGAGGTTTGTGACCATGTTTCACTGTTAGGGTCGTACAGTTATGGTGTCGAAAATCAGTATCGTGTTAAATTTTGAGTGAGTGAGTGAGTGAGTGAGTGAGTGAGTGAGTGAGTTGCATCAAACACAGCACTGAACAGTATTCTAATCATCTCCAGGGAAGCCTAGAAACATAATCAGGGCGAACCAGGATTCAAATCCACAATCATAGGTTTCTGGTTAGCCCAAGGGGCACAACTCTGCACAGCCAATTGTGGCATGTTAGATGTCTAACACCCATGCCCAGTTAAATGTTGAGAGATGACTGGTCAGGAGTAGTCATGGGTTACACATTATCTATCTACTCACAGGATCAATGGAAAAGTTACCTTTTTCAGGGTCAATCTCCATATACGTTATCATTTGTTCTGTACTATTGTGACTGAAACAGAAAAAAACAAAAATAAATACATCTTAAAATCATTTCTGAAAAGCAATCTAAACAGCAAGCAAGCGACTACAAGACAAAAGTACCATGAGTACAAGTTGTATAGATGTTATCATTACTGCTACAACTGGTACATTATTCTCAGGGCCACCTGTTAGTGACTGTTTGATTGGCATTCTAGAAGTTATTGGTAAATAAGAAAACGTATGGAGAACCACTTCTGGTTCATTGCGTTGGCGACGTTTCCATATAGATTCTTGCACCATTTTAATGATGGAATGACAGCTTCAAAATGGTGCAAGAATCTACATTAAAACGTCATTAACGACTTAAATGAGAAAGTTGTTCTCCATAAAGTTTTATGTTGTCTTAAACCTATAAGTGCCTCAATACTAGTGCCAGTAGTTGCTGGGGACCAATTCTAACCTGCAATCCCCATGGGGTCGCCTCTTATGACCAGCATAGGCTGGTAGGGACCAATTCTAAACCTGAATCTCCACAGAGTGATTATTACAAGGACAAGAGACAACTTGTCTGTTCTACAGGCCAGCGATGAGGTGGTAAATCTTTCTGTCTCCCTACAGATGAGCATGGGAACACCCCTCACCTTGCTGTTTCTAGGGTTAGGTCTAGCAGCAGCCTCTCCGATGTGGCGCTTGCATACTGCAAAGAGTTCTGTAGCTTTTCTCGAAAGTTAACGAATTCCCTGATCTGAAAAACAAAACAACAACATGACGTTTCCTGATTCTATTTCATTAGTGAATGTACCAGCTTTAACTGTCACACTGTCACATCATAAAAACTAGAAGCAAAAACATGGAGCAATGACTTTAACGTTTATTTGTTTTACCAGAGTAACCAAAACATTGACATTTCATAGACGAGAAATGAAGACATTTTGCTACATACCTTCCCAAAAGACCCATATTTGTAGGATGATATGAGGTATTCTGTGGTCTGAAAGGAACAGAAATAGCAGGCATGATACATACACACAAGTACAGTCGGCAATATTACAGTACAGTATGTCAAGGTGACCTGTGACGTAACAGTCCGGACCAGTGGTCGATAGTGTGAATGTCTGGATACAGTGTCACACATTCAGACAGGGCACTGACAAGTGAGTGAGTGAGTTGGGTTTTATGGTGCTATTCCCCTCTAGAGGTTTGTGTGTCTGTGTCTGTGTGTGTGTGTGTGTGTGTGTCCCTGTGCGTGTGTGTCTGTCTGTCCGTCTGTGTGTGTCTGCCTGTGTGTGTCTGCCTGTGTGTGTGTGTGTCTGTCTCTGTGCATGTCTGTCTGTCTGTGTGTGTGTCTGTGCGCGTATGTGTCTGTCTCTGTGCATGTCTGTCTGTGTGTGTGTCTGTGTGCGTGCATGTGTCTGTCTGTCTCTGTGCATGTGTGTGTGTCTGTGTGTGTTTTTGTGTGTTTTGTGTGTGTCTGTCTGTCTGTGTGTGTGTCTGTCTGTGTGTTTGTGTGTTTGTGTGTGTGTCTGTCTGTTTGTGTGTGTGCCTGTGTTTGTGTGTCTGTCTGTGTGTTTGTGTGTGTGCCTGTGTTTGTGTGTGTCTGTCTGTGTGTTTGTGTGTGCACATGTGTTTGTGTGTGTCTGTCTGTGTGTATGTCTGCCTGTGTGTGTCTGTGTCAAGGCCAAGGAAGGATACCATCTACGTCAATATCCTTAGCATAGTATACATGAACAAGTCAGTCAAAGCCCTTCAGCTATCCTGTTTCCCAAGGCTGATAAAGAATGACTTTGAGCATGAGAGCTGATAAATTAAATATGTGCAAACATCTGAACATTATCACAACCTGTAGAGATAACATTCTGTGGTATTTCCTCTTCAAACAATTCCAAAACAAAGGCTACAAAGCTGTCTTCAGCAACCCATGCTTGCCGTAAAAGGCGACTATGCTTGTCCTACGAGGCGACTAATGGGAGATCATGTAATCAGGCTTACTGACTTGGTAGATGCATCCCAATTGCGTAGATCTATGCTCATGATCGCATGAATCTTTGCTCACAATATCAATCACTGGATTGTTGGGTCCAGACTTGATTTATTACAGACCGCTGTCATATAGCTGGAATACTGCTGAGTGTGGCATAAAACAAACAAACAAACCTCTTTATGGTTGACTGTGAAGAACCGCAGCATGGTTCCGTACATCGCACAAGCTGCCACAAAATGCCCCAGTCGGCCCACGTGACTTGATACAATATGGCTGGACGTAGAAAGGAAAGAGTTGACAAACATTTACCAAATGAACAATTTTTCACTTGCAACATGTTGAAATAGCTCTGAAAGTAATCTTTCAATGACTTACATATGATGTACTCATGCAAAAAACATAATTTATTCATGAATGACAAATGGTCTACTCACGATTCACTCATGATTTAGAAATGATTCACTCATGATATACAAATAATTTACTCAGGAATTACACATTATATTTAAGTTGCTGAACTTCTTCAATATTTAGCACACACAGACAGGCTATATTTATTGAGCGTCTCATTAGTGTGAGAACCGGACCTACCCAAGAGTGTCGTTCATAATGTGTTTGATCTCCATACCATCATAGAGAGCTGGACACGGGCCGAAGGCTCCTGTAAACACACCGCCTTGTCAGTGAGTAAGGGTAAGATATATGGGTAACAACTTCTTTATTACAATTAGGATTCTAAGTTCATGTATTGTTGTTTAACGTCCCAGTCAGCAATATTCCAGCTATATGACGGCGGTCTGTAAAAAAAAAAAAAAAAAAAGAAAAATCGAGCCTGGACCAGACAATCCAGTGATTGACATCATGAGCATTAACCAAGTCAGCTAGCCTGACCATACGATCCCGTTATTCGACTCTTATGACAAGCATAGTCGCCTTTTACGGCAAGCATGGGTTGCTGATGACCTATTCTACCCCGGATCTTCACGGGTAGACAATCAGGAGCCAGGAGCCAACTTGTCAGTGGCTGTAAACATCTTGGTCTAATTTCCCCCGAAACTCAATACAGACCCTGAATGAATACTGTTTTATTCAAACCCACACATAGTGCAGATCCTGTGACAAAAAAGGGGCACAACTTGGTCATCCATCTCCCCACCCCCAGGTCCGACGGAAACAGATAATTACTGTGACATCACCTTCAGTTTTTAGTGGCCATGAACTACAATCTCATTAATGAAACTAGCGCGTTATGTACTGCACCACAACAAGGAACGCTTGGATTAGAGTGAGTGAGTGAGTTGGGTTTCACACCGCTTTTAACAGTATTACAGTTATATCATGGCGTGTCAGCTTAATGTAGGAGGAAAGCCCGAAGTGAAGCAGGTCTCAGACGTTTACCACTTCGGTGAAACCCACGAGCACACAATGGTGCTGACAAACCTAGAAACATAATCAAGACGAACTGCACTTGGATGAGAAGATGGACTCTTCTCTGACTTCTCACTGATGTCTCTTCCAGTCTTACCCATAATGCAGTAGAGTCTGACGAGGAGGAGTTTGATCTGGAAGTTGGAAGGGGACTTCCTCATGCCGAGCTCCAGCTGCGTCACCACCTGCCACACGTAGAGTTGTTTACCTGCACAGATCATGGTGTAAAATTAAAATAAAATAAAATAAAATAAAAGTCCAGCTATTTCACCTCAACTGACTGATAAGAAATAAATTTTGTTTGTTGTTTAACGTCACACTGAGCAATATTTCACCCAGTCAGCATATAGTGCTACGACCAATATCTAACCCCCAAACCCCACAGGTGCATGTCTGTATCTCTATGGGCCAGGCAACCTAGTGGTCAACAGCATGAGCATTTATCAATACATGACTACACAAAATCAGACACATTGTGTAACCAGCAATCTTCTTATGTCGGCGCCTGCATGCAAGAGGTACTATTCTATCTTCAAATGCCTCCAGCTGCCCAATATTCACAACAATAGCAGGGCTCACTCTAGGAATTTTCTGACATGGGACCTTTATGTGAAAATTTCAAATATTCCAGAGGTACACCCACACTTGCCCATATAGCACAATTTAAAAATGCCCCAATGTATTTGAAAATGTGGGCCTTTTTTCAAATTTAGGGGCTAAAAGCATAAGGCCCCACCCTAGAATTATCCCTGCAATAGATATTTCCATCTCATGTCAATTATGTCATTTTCCACCTGCCTACAGAAAGCAACTGTCTACATACAGCACCTACAGAGAACACCTGTCTACATACAGCACCTACAGAGAACACCTGTCTACAGACAGTAGGCTACAGAGAACACCTGTCTACATACAGCACCTACAGAGAACACCTGTCTACATACAGCACCTACAGAGAACACCTGTCTACATACAGCACCTACAGAGAACACCTGTCTACAGACAGTAGGCTACAGAGAACACCTGTCTACATACAGCACCTACAGAGAGCACCTGTCTACAGACAGCAGGCTACAGAGAACACCTTCCTACATACAGCACCTACATACAGAGAGCACCTGCCTACAGACAGCATCTACATACAGAGAGCACCTGCCTACAGACAGCATCTACATACAGAGAGCACCTACACAAAGCACCTTCCTACAGACAGCACCTGCCTACAGAGAGCACCTGCCTACAGACAGCATCTACATACAGAGAGCACCTGCCTACAGACATCATCTACATACAGAGAGCACCTGCCTACAGACAGCATCTACATACAGAGAGCACCTGCCTACAGACAGCACCTACATACAGACAGCACCTGCCTACAGACAGCATCTACATACAGAGAGCACCTGCCTACAGACATCATCTACATACAGAGAGCACCTGCCTACAGGCAGCACCTACATACAGTGAGCACCTGCCTACAGACAGCACCTACATACAGAGAGCACCTGCCTACAGACAGCATCTACATACAGAGAGCACCTGCCTACAGACAGCACCTACATACAGAGAGCACCTGCCTACAGACAGCACCTACATACAGAGAGCACCTGCCTACAGACAGCATCTACATACAGAGAGCACCTGCCTACAGACAGCATCTACATACAGAGAGCACCTGCCTACAGACAGCACCTACATACAGAGAGCACCTGCCTACAGACAGCATCTACATAGAGAGAGCACCTGCCTACAGACAGCACCTGCCTACAGACAGTGCGTGCCTGCTGACAGCACTTGCCTACAGACAGAACCTGCCTAAAGACAGACAGAACCTGCCTAAAGACAGACAGCACCTGCCTGCAGACACCGCCTACATAGAGAGAGCATCTGTCTACAGACAGCACCTACACAGCACCTGCCTGCAGACAGCACCTGCCTACAGACCACACCTACATACAGAGAGCACCTGCCTACAGACAGCACCTGCCTGCAGACAGCACTTGCCTACAGACAGCACTTGCCTACAGACAGCACCTGCCTGCAGACAGTGCCTACATACAGAGAACACCTGCCTACAGACAGCATCTACATACAGAGAGCACCTGCCTACAGACAGCACCTACATACAGAGAGCACCTGCCTGCAGACAGCACCTACATACAGAGAGCACCTGCTTGCAGACAGCACCTACACAGCACCTGCCTACAGACAGCACCTACAGACAGCACCTGTCCACGCACCTGACTGCCTCCATGCATCCAGGAGGAGGTGAGCTGCCAGAATGAGATAGTTGTCGCTGTATTGTAAATCTGTTGGGAGGAGTTCCGTACCTGAAACAGCGAGAGAAAATCAGTGTATCATTGTGCCCTGACCTTTGTTTAACTGCAAACAGAAATATAAACAAAAAACAAAAATACCACCAGACAGAAATGTCACAGACTGAGTGGAATCGTTGTTTCATGCCTAAAACCGCAACATCACATATCCTATATATCCAGGCCAGTGATTGATAGCATGAGCATCAAGACCCAGCGATTAGCTACAATGACACACACTCATCTATCACATCTTTACTTGACCAGTGAAGATCTGGGGTGGAATAGGTCTACCATGCGACAATGCTTGTCGTAAGAGGCGACTAACAGGATCAGGTGGTCAAACATCTATGATGCATGTCATCAATCTCAATTTCGTGGATTGATGCTCATGACATGAATCACTGGATTGTCTGGTCCAGACTCAATTATTTACAGACTGCCGTCATATAGCTGAAATATTGCTGAGTGCGGCGTTAAACAACAAACAAACAACATCTTTACTTGACTATTGTATGTTTACTGATGAATGAAATACAAAATGACCAACTTACCAAATTCAAGTCCTTTTTTATGCCTATCTAAGAGATCTTTGGCTAGAGTGACTTTATCCGAGTCAGTCATCGCCCTGTGTTGTCCTATGTAACGACTAAGTTGTAATACTGATATATGACGCTGCATGTGCTTGATCTGTAGCAAACAAAAAGCATCAGGAAAATAACTCATTATTTTATCTGACAGTTGTTTGAAGCAACGTTCGGCCAGTTTATTTATCTCCCCAAACTGGTTTCCATAGGAGATATCGCTTGGGTGAAATCAAGGGATATCTCATGGAGATATTGCTACAATGAAATAGCATCACAATGCTTTGCAGGCCATTGTGATGTCATTGGTTTTACCATGACATCACAATCAAATGACATCACTAATCTAAAGCAGATTAGTTTTACTTTTTACACTCAAGACATTGTTATTATACTATTTACAAGCTATAAAAGTTGGCAGAATGACATTGCATGAAAAACATGATATAAAGAATCTCGCCCTTTATCTTTTGGTATCAAACATATCAACTCAAGTCGAAAAAGGGTTAAAACTCCTTGGCAAGCCTTATAGTCTGATACATGTACTTTAGTTGACTCGAGGTGATATGTCTAAAGAAACACAACACTTGGATGTTACTCTCCTTCACAAATATTTAAGAAGAAAGAAGCAATTTTGGAAACCATGTAGAGGATCATAGTTGATGCAATCTTGGACAACACCCATAACCAGCAGATACTGGCACTTATAAGGGAGGCTACTCTGCTATGAACACTGAGACAGCCATCCTCACATCCTCCAGAAATAAATTGAATAAATATTGGGATGAAAATCTCCAGAAAATAAATGCAAAAATAATAATCTTGTAGAAAATGCTTCAAACTTATATGCAATTCTAATCTAGTTTGGTTATTTTCAGGAGACAATCAGTGACTTACATCTTGAGCATAGATGGTGGGTTCCCCTGGCTTGTTAAGTTTGAGTGACTCAGTCATGTACACCAGCAGCTGCAAGACAGTGGATAACACAGTTAGTAGGTGAGGTGAAATGGATAATTAGACTTATATAGCGACGTGCATGCACGTGTTATGTGTGTGTGGCTGCTTGTACTAGTCCGGACTGATGCCGATTTATAGTGCTAGCACACTGAGATACCATGCCGCAGGTTAACATGAATACCCCACTCAGACACAGTATACTGACTCCAAGCCGACCAGTCCTTGTTTTAGCCCCTTGATGCCGAGCGCCAGACAGCGTAACGAGTACCATCTTTTAACGTGTTTTGGTATGACGCGGCTTGGGATCGAACCCCGGACCATCCACTCTCTGGAGGCGGTCAACACAGTTAGTAAATGATGCTGGACATAACAAGGCCACATATACGGGAATACTTGGAAAACGTACAGTGGATTTAGACTCTTGTAACTGGAAGCCTATTTCCATGAATGACAACGAGAATGAGGTTCAAACTTGGTTGGTTGGTTGGTTGGTTTAATGCCACACTCAGCAATATTCCAGCTATATGACAGCGGTCTGTAAATAATCAAGTCTGGACAAGACAATCCAGTGATTAATATCATGAGCATCGATCAATGCAATTGGGATCGATGACATGCATCAAACAAGTCAGTGAGCCTGACCACTCAATCCCGTTAGTCGCCTATTGCGACAAGCAAAGTCGCCTTTTACGGCAAGCATGGGTTGCTGAAGACCTATTCTACCCCGGACAACATTACTGCAAAGTTGCATGCCTTCAGACCTCACTCCCACATCCCAATTGCTTCGTTTTCTGTCTGCTGAAAATTATTTCCCAAATTCCACTATGCGTTTTCATAGTGTGTCAGTATATATACCATCATACAAGATTCATGTTGACTAACATTAAGTCTCTGAAATGAAAATATGATATCAAGGAACCCACATTGGACCCATGTGGGGAAAGAACCCGGGCCTTCGGTTTAACCACTAGGCCACCCCACTGCCCCACAAAGAAAAGAGCTTTATAATTGCTACAAAAACAGTGTATCAGTAATATCACACAAAGCATAGGAATAGTCCTCACTAAGCATGCTACTGACAATAATCAGCACATACCGTATTCGACATAATAAGCGCCCAGGGCGCTCTCAAAATTAGAAATAGGGGGCTCTTATTAGAATATTATTTTGTCGAAAAAAACAGAGTTGAAAGATAAATTCCGTGGTTTATGCTGACAGCCTGAAATGTTTATATACGAGAGATATATTTTTCCAGAATTTAATTGCCCATAATTAAGGGTGCATATAACACACGAGTGCGTATTATACACGAATAAATAAGTCTTGTGATCAATCGGAAAGGGTGCTAATTGGGATTGTTGACGAGCCAATATATTAGCAAATATCGCTGCGGGCGCTTATTATGTCGAATACGGTAACTGAGATTCGAACCCAGGACATGGGGATCTGGGCAAGCTTAGGGAATAGCATTCTGTAGAACTAGACACCACTCTGGGCATTAGGGCCGGCAGTGCCTATTAACCGTGGGAAGTCCACCACATACCTCCTCCTTCTCCTTGACGCTGAGGATGCGAACAAACAGCTTCATGTCCCCGAAGTAGGTGCTTCTGTCACTGTACTTGTCGAAGTACTGCTTGAGGAGGGTCAGGGGACAGCCTGGAAAACAGGAGCAAATATTACACAAGTGGGTTTTTCTGTCATTAATATCATGTGTTAGGAGTAAAAATTGTGTTATGCAGGTCTTTTACGATATGGAAACAAATGATGGTGATCCCTTTAATCATGATGACAGTCTTAAAATATTTGAAGCTTATTTATTTGTTTGTTCCTTGTTTAACGCTGCACTCAGCAATATTCCAGCTATGTGATGGCAGTCTGTTAATAACAGAGTCTGGACCAGACAATCAAGTGATCGATTCATGAGCATCGACCTACACATGATACGATGACATGCACCAACCAAGTCAGCAAGCTTGACCACCTGATCCCGTAAGTGGCCTCTCACACAGCATTAGAAACTGGCACTAGTCCTCCAGTCCTTGCCACACTACCCAATAGTTAAGGTATCATAAGGACTAGTAGAAGTCTGCCATTTTTTAGGGTTTTGCTTATATGTTATCATTAGAAGGACTAGTGGACTAAAAATGTTAGTTTCTACCGCCGTTACAACAAGGATGGGTTCTTAAGACCAACTATAATCTTGATCTTAAGACCTATTTTCATTCATGATAGTAACTTTAGAAATAGCGCAGGAATACAATATATGAGAAAACCGCCACTCTCATTCCCTATAGTGCCAAGTACTTGCAGCCATGTTTGTTAACATAAGCACATCGGGAATGTAAATAAACTTTTGGGGAACATTATGCAAAAGCTGTAGAGCAAGATGGAGTATATAAAGGTAGTTCCTGCCAGATGACCTCATTTGCATATTTATTGGATCATGATACGAAGCTTATCAGATTGGCTTACTGCATCAATAACATCATCCATTATATGAAAATACTCAGCATTCCTCATGTCCTAAGTAATACTTATCCATTCAAATTCTTTATCATGTTTTTTTCGTACTTCACATTGTGAGGATGCAAAAATAAGGACCACCATTTGCAATATGGATCCTAATAGCTGACCAATCACTTTCATAGATAACACAAGGTCACTGGACCTAAAAGTACTGTGCTTGCTTGAATCAAATCAGGACTACAGATACACGTGGTTGATAGAATCATTAAATATCCAACCTGTAGGTGACAATGACACACAAATAATCCAGTCACACATTGCATTGTTTCTTATGTTACACTTCAAGTCAGCAATATTTCAGCAAGGTCACTGCAGTCTGGTTCAGCCTGACCAATTAACTATAGTTGCTTCTTACAACAAGCAATAGAGAACTGGGGCCTTGTTCTAAACTGGGGCCCTATTCTAAACAGGGGCCCTAAACTAAACTGGGGCCCTATTCTAAACTGGGCCTGATTCTAAAATGGGCCTTATTCTAAAATGGGCCTTATTCTAAACAGGGGCCCTATTCTTAACTGGGGCCCTATTCTAAACCGGGGCCCTATTCTAAACTGGGGCCCTATTCTAAACCGGGGCCCTATTCTAAACTGGGGCCTTATTCTAAAATGGGCCTTATTCTAAACAGGGGCCCCATTCTAAATTGGGCCTTATTCTAAACTGGGGCCTTATTCTAAAATGGGCCTTATTCTAAACTGGGGCCTTATTCTAAACTGGGTCCCCACAGGAATACACACTGTAACCACCCAAGTTGGCCCTTTTTGACAACCAAAGTATGCTGGAACCTATTTTACACAGAATTGTACAGAACTTGCATGGAATTGACATGGAATTGCACAGAAATTAAAGGGAATTTAACGGGGATTGGATAGACTTTGCATAGAATTTACCTTGGATTGCACGGACTTGCATGGAATTTGCTTAGACTAGCACCGAACTTGCATCAAATTTACCCATGATAGCACCAAGCTCTGCATGGAACTTCCCCGCAACTGTCACAACATATCCACTGACCTACAATGCTGACACTTTCCTCGCCTCTGGTCTGCAGTAGTCGTATAAGTTCAAGTCGAGCCAGGTAAGGGCCGCGAAACAATCTTCCGTTCTCGCATCCCTTGATCTGCTCAGTGATGAAAGACAGGGCCTTCTCAACAGAGTAGTCTATCTCAGCGCTGAAAATAATACCACCATTACCGTCACTGTCAGATGGTGTTCAACAGTTTCGAACAGAATCTTTCATTGTTTCAGATCTATCCCAGAATGCACCCTGGTGTCCATCTGTGTGTTTGTGACCAGACTGTGCACACGCACCTACTCACTAGAACCACAGCATATCACATGCATTCTTTCACCTGTAATTCGTTATGAACCTGAACAAAAATAACCAAAATAACTAGATTTTTTTTTAATGGCACACTTTTGTAATTTTATGTTTCACAGATATAATCCAGCCTTTCCACACAGGGTCGGTCGAAATAAAAATAAAAATACATAGCTACGTCAATCTTTATTTATTTATATGAAAGTCATTCTGCCATGGAGTTTTTTAAAACTGCAGCTGGCTTCTTGAATCAATTTATCAATAACATTTTATATTGTATTAGAGGGTCTATATAACTAGGGGGAGACATAATTAAATAATATTTTTTATGTGTTATTTTTTTTCTTTTCCAGCTGACTTTTCAGTAGGGGCAGCGGGCCTGTGAAATGAAAAACAAAAAATGTGTGACCTAAGTCCAAAATGGGCCCATACATTGAACTTCCCACACACATTTCTGAGAACTCCGTAGTTGTCTGCCATGTTCTTGGACGTTGATGATGCATAATGGACACAATATATACAGAAAGCTGGTCACAGGAATCGGTTCCTAATTTCTGAATTTCATAATTTCAATTCAACTTGTCACTTACCGGTATGTAAACTTCCAAACGTGCATATAAGTATTCATTAGCATTTCAAAACGTGGAGTAACTGTCTACTGGTAATACCGCGCACCTCTAACACCGAGCACCAGGCACGGTAACATAAAGTACCTCTCTCAACATTTCTCGTATGATGTGGCATGTAATGAATGGTAACAGCTGTGCAAATCCCTAACCATACGACAACACCCCTTCCCCAACTGCTGTTAATCCTTCAGTTGCCATGGTTACACTGACCTCTGGTCACCTTCCTCAGGCACCCACTGACAGTCCACCAGGTGGAAAACTGTGTCGATGTAAACCGACCAGAACTGCCACTGGTCAGGGCTGCAACATAAAAAGTTTACATTTAAATACACATATTCATTTAAATTTGGGAAATTTTTAGTTCCAGTTTTAGAATTTTTACTGACATTAGCTGTACTTCTGCCAACTATCCACCTCTGAACAGGTGTAGATAACCCCTGTATCAACTGACTTCTGCCAACTATCGACCTCTGAACAGGTGTGGATAACCCCTGTATCAACTGACTTCTGCCGACTATCCACCTCTGAACAGGTGTAGATAACCCCTGTATCAACTTACTTCTGACGACTATCCACCTCTGAACAGGTGTAGATAACCCCTGTATCAACCTACTTCTGCCGACTATCGACCTCTGAACAGGTGTAGATAACCCCTGTATCAACTTACTTCTGCCGACTATCGACCTCCGAACAGGTGTAGATAACCCCTGTATCAACTGACTTCTGCCGACTATCCACCTCTGAACAGGTGTAGATAACCCCTGTATCAACTGACTTCTGCCGACTATCCACCTCTGAACAGGTGTAGATAACCCCTGTATCAACTTACTTCTGACGACTATCCACCTCTGAACAGGTGTAGATAACCCCTGTATCAACTTACTTCTGACGACTATCCACCTCTGAACAGGTGTAGATAACCCCTGTATCAACCTACTTCTGCCGACTATCGACCTCTGAACAGGTGTAGATAACCCCTGTATCAACTTACTTCTGCCGACTATCGACCTCTGAACAGGTGTAGATAACCCCTGTATCAACTTACTTCTGCCGACTATCCACCTCTGAACAGGTGTAGATAACCCCTGTATCAACTGACTTCTGCCGACTATCCACCTCTGAACAGGTGTAGATAACCCCTGTATCAACTTACTTCTGCCGACTATCCACCTCTGAACAGGTGTAGATAACCCCTGTATCAACTTACTTCTGCCGACTATCCACCTCTGAACAGGTGTAGATAACCCCTGTATCAACTTACTTCTGCCGACTATCGACCTCTGAACAGGTGTAGATAACCCCTGTATCAACTTACTTCTGCCGACTATCCACCTCTGAACAGGTGTAGATAACCCCTGTATCAACTTACTTCTGCCGACTATCCACCTCTGAACAGGTGTAGATAACCCCTGCAGCTGTATCAACTTACTTCTGCACCAGCAGCTGGCGGTACTCAGCGTTGGCCTTGGGCCACTTCTCCAGCTTCCTGTACAGTTCAGCCAGCTTGGTGGCACGGAAGTTCAGCTCACTCACAAACTTCTCTGAAATAACAAGAAGACAATGAAAGCTGAACACTGAGCATGCTGAGAGATGGGAAAAAATGCCTGCAAACACGACATTGGTTTAAACAGATTCAGTGTATTACGGTTTTTTGATTGTCATGAAACTTAAAGGTTACCAGATACACTCAACCCCAAGAGGCACCCCAAGAGGCCCCCCAAGAGGCCCTTCCAACACACATACACTCACCCCAAAGAGGCCCCTCCAACACACATATACTCACCCCAAAGAGGCCCCTCCAACACACATACACTCACCCCCAAGAGGCCCTTCCAACACACATACAGTCACCCCCAAGAGGCCCTTCCAACACACATACAGTCACCCTCAAGAGGCCCTTCCAACACACCTACAGTCACCCCAAAGAGGCCCTTCCAACACACATACATTCACCCCAAAGAGGCCCCTCCAGCACACATACACTCACATCCAAAAGGCCCCTCCAGCACACATGCACTCACCCCAAAGAGGCCTCCAACACACATACACTCACATCCAAAAGGCCCCTCCAGGACACATGCACTCACCCCCAAGAGGCCTCCAACACACATACACTCACATCCAAAAGGCCCCTCCAGGACACATGCACTCATCCCCAAGAGGCCTCCAACACACATACACTCACCCCAAAGAGGCCCATCCAGCACACATACAACTCACATCCAAAAGGCCCCTCCAGCACACATGCACTCACCCCCAAGAGGCCTCCAACACACATACACTCACATCCAAAAGGCCCCTCCAGGACACATGCACTCACCCCCAAGAGGCCTCCAACACACATACACTCACCCCCAAGAGGCCCCTTCAGCACATATACACTCACCCCCAAGAGGCCCCTCAAGCAGCTGAGCTGCGTCCTCCCATCTGTCCATCTGTTCCAGGATCATCAGGTACAGCAGTACTTCTGAAGGAGACACAAAGTCATCATTATTGTTCAAATACAGAAATACAATGTCAATTTCCTGTTGGTTCTGACCAGTTAACATGCACTGCACAAAGTCCTGTATAAAGTGAACAGATTACACTAACAGCACTTTCACATTCCACACAAGGCCCGCAAACCCATTGCCTAGGTGTCCCCTAGTTGGGAGTACATTGTAGGAATATGATTGCCACAAAATCCCTGTAATGGTAAATACTGTCTACAAAAAGCATCTTGCTCACTAGATGTTGTTTGTTGTTTAACACTGTACTCCAATATTCTAGCTATATGACAGCGGTCTGTAAACAATCAAGTCTGGACCAGACAATCCATTTTTTTTTATATCATGAGCATCGATCCACGATCGGACACTATGACATGCATCAACCAAGGCAGCGTGCCTGACCCCCCTGATCCTGTTCTTATGAAAAGAATGGGTTGCTGAAGACCTATTCTAACCTGGATCTTCACAGATTTAGCTCACTTGACCGGAATGCAAATAATGCCTTAGAAACAAGCAAACAAAAGAAATCCAACAACAAAATCTTCCTAAAGAATGGTGTCTTTTATGCACTGGGAACACAGCAGTGACAAGGAAAATATGTACCTTAGATTTCTTATATAATTTATATCAGATTTTATTTGCTTGCAGACATGCTGACCTGCTTCAGCTTCCACCTTGCCCTCGGTGACATACTTCTTGGTCATCCTCTCAGCCAGTGGCAGGTACATGCTGGTGGCTAGCTTCTTGTCTGTGGCACTGTGAGCCTGCAATAGATGTGTGTATGTACGACACTCCTGCAATATACACATGTACATATCACACCCCTGAAATATACACGTGTACGTATCACACCCCTGCAATATACACATGTATGTATCACACCCCTGCAATATACATGTGTACGTATCACACCCCTGCAATATACACATGTACATATCACACCCCTGCAATATACACGTGTACATATCACACCCCTGCTGTATACACATGTACATATCATCCCCCTGCAATATACACATGTACATATCACACCCCTGAAATATACACATTTACATATCACATCCCCGCAAAATACACATGTACATATCACACTGGCTGACACACACAGAGAGGGGACACTACTCTACGTGTACATGCTTGTCTGCAACATACATGTCTTCATTTCACAGAACAGAGACTCAGCATTATTTTGGCATGTCAGCAGCTTATTGTAACAGAGACTAGACCAGGAAAACCAGTGGTTGATAGCAGCCCATGATAGAAACAGTACAATCAGCCAGATCATGCATTGTAACCATGGTAACCACAGAATACTCAGTGTGTCAGCTCATACAAAACATAGGGAACGGGAGACCTTGACCTTCACCTCTAACCTCTCACCTGCATGATGATGCTCATCACAGCCCAGAAGTAGTAGGGGTTCTTCTGTGGCCGCAGCTTATGCAGCAACATGGCCGTCTGTTGCTGTTTTTTGTAGTCGCCGAGGCGCACGTGGGCCATGAACAACGCTGACAGGATTTCCTCGTTGTCAGGCCGGGACTTGTGGGCGTTCTCGTACAGGTCGGCAATCAGCTCCACTGTGCCACACAAACAAGAGGATCAATATGGATTGTGTTTGTTGTTTAACACCACTCACAAATATTCCAGCTATATGACTTATACCATCAAGCCTAGACAATGCAAACTAGTGATTGATATTATGAGGAACCAAATGACACACAATCAACCAAGTCTTACAATCTGACCCATAAAGTCGTCTCTTATAGGTTGCTTGGGACCTATTCTACCCAGGAATCTCTATGGAGTATTTATGTTCTACCACAGAAAATAACATTCAACCCAGGATTATAACTTAGGGCTAGTTAGGTCCTGTTCCCCTTTCCACTGGTCAATATATACAAGTAGCTACAAGTCACTCCACCATGACTTTGTTAAGTAAGGATAAGATGAATGGATGAACAACTTTTTTATTACAATTAAGAGTGACGTTTCAGTGTAGGTGTCTCCTACCTGTATATATACTTGTCAACCATACACTGTATATCACTTGCTTGATAACGGTGTTAGAACCTACACAGAAACATCACTCTTAATTGCAATCAAGAAGTTGTTCATCCATATAGTCAAGTCCCCTTAATCCGACATGGTTGGTTGCATATGATTATGTCGGAATAATGAGTATGTCGGATAAACAAAATTAAGTATCAACATTCGTGATAGAAAATTGGACAACTACACGATAGATAACGATACAAACACTAATTGTTCATTAATCAGCAAGTTTATCTCTACAGCCATTGTAATATGCAGCTACCAGCCGACTTGTCTCGCATCAAAACACGGGCAGATGACCATGGAGTACGCTGATCACTGTGTCGGATTGACGAGACTGATTTATGAGTAATTTCGGTAATTATATGCAAATTAGGTGTCAGAGTCCGAGTGCAAGACTGTCGGATAAACGGGTCTTAATAGCACTGATTTAATCGGTTCCCAGCATTAGTGTCGGATAAAGCAGATTGTCGGATTAACGAGACTTGACTTTATCTTATCCTTACTTAGTACTCCAACTTCTAAATGCCTGTCAAAGAAGTTATGACTTTGTTAAAATCCTCAATTATCCTGTGTACAAAACCACCAAATCCTTATTTTAAACCGTAATTGAAAGACAAAAGTTAAAAATAGCTGTCCAATCAAATGAACACGAGATAGTGAGGTCACTTCCGAAATGAGCCGAGGGTATTTATCATTATAGAATGAAGATAGAATACACTAAGTAACGTATAGTGGCTCAGACTATAATGACTATACTATTGTTTGTTTAATGCAACACTATCTGTTGTATCTGCTATAATTGCTTCATGTCTGCAAAATGACATACCATCTGAGACCAGCCTAGGAACTTGTTTGTTTGTTGTTTAACGTCGCACTCAGCAATATTCAAGCTATATGACAGCAGTCTGTAAATAATCTAGTCTGGAGCAGACAATCCAGTGATCGACACCATGAGCATCGATCTACGCATTTGGGACCGATGACATGCATCAACCAAGTCAGTGAGCCTGACCACCCAATCCCGTTAGTTGTCTCTTACGACAAGCATAGTCGCCTTGTACGGCAAGCATGGGTTGCTGCAAACCTATTCTACTCCGGATCTTCAAGGGTTCGGCGGTCTATGAATAATCAAGTCTGGACCAGACAATCCAGTGACTGACATCATGAGAATCGATTTACGCAATTGGGATACGATGACATGCATCAACCATGTAAGTGAGCCTGACCACCCGATCCCGTTAGTGGTCTGAGATTCCACTTGCCTGATACTGGTGCTAAACCTGATACCAGTGCTTGACACTTACTCTTGTGGACTTCCCGGTAGCATATCGACATTGCCTGTAGTGTAGCCTCATTGTGGGGATGCTGGGCATGGACTTCCTGCAGGATTGCCGAACTGTCGTCATGACGACCCAGTCGCAACATCGCCAGTGCTTTGAGAACCTAAAAAACATTTGTCATTAAATACACATTTTTCTGAATATTAAATCATGGCCACAGGAATTAATGTCATCATTCTACAATTTCTTGTTATGTAACCATGGTTACTATGATTCCTAAGTATCCCCACTGTAATAGGAGACAGGCCATGACAAAAGGTCACTTGGTCACATGACACTGCTGAGCTAAACATACTCAATATACACATGTTATCAGACAACTTTGTGAATTCAGTTCAAACAGTGAAATAGCATTAAAATTGTCAAGTCTTAGATGACAGATTTCAAGCATGCATGAAAAATAACATAAGTCTGCTCATCTGAAACTGGTAAATTTAGGGAAGGACAGTTCACATATTGTCGTGGATCACCACTCTTACCATTAAATAATAGATGGCAATTCCATAGCAGATCATTTATCATGTTCATCATGTTCATGTGGACTTGAGAAAACAAACAATATCATCAAACAAGAAACTTCATATCCAGAATTGGGATGGTTGGGGGGGGGGGGGGGGGGGGGGGGGGAGAGAGCATACATCCCTTTTTCAGAAGGATACTTTTCAAGTACATGTAAATATACTTAAAGTTAAACTATTCTTATAATGTAAATTTATATTCTGAAAAATAAATTGATTACTTAATTCTTAGTGACCAAACAATCGCCATCCATACACCCATCCCCACACCTGAATTAAGTGGTCATCTAGCATCTTGCATGTTAAATGCACCCCCACTTTCCAATCAGAAGTATCTGTGCTAGTCATTTACCTTGGCACACTGGAAATCTTTCTGTTTCTTGAGGACCTTGTCCGCCTCCTGGATTGCCTTCTTGTTGTTGCCATTGTCCAAGCAGTCTGCAACAACAAATACACTAAGATCAGAGATTTATCTGGCATTCAAAACTAAGTACCCTTGTTGGCCATCTTCCTGAGACAAGGGAGTTAACTGACTGTAAAAGTCCAGTTTCCACCACTAGGCTGGAATTTTGTGGCTCGATCATAGCGCCACCAGTGGCGATTACGAATTATGTCCCTTCTATTGACCAATCGGATTCCACCTCTCATATCACCTGCATTTGCTTCAAACACTCAAGACGATCTGATTAATAAATCTGGGACACCAGAAATGGGCTTCGAAATAAGGGGAATCGAACCCAGATCTTTGGCTTGGCGAGTGAACACTTTAACCACTAAGGCTTCTCGAGCACCCTACAGAGAGTAGGGATGTATCCTGGATTTTCATGTGATACATCATACGCCTACCCTGTATCGATTCATGATTTAATTCTGTAAATTTTCCAAATGAAATATTTACGAAGTTCAACAATAACCATGATAAAGTGGCCTGATAACTACCATAGCTACTGGGGGAAGTATTACCCTACTGCTGAAACAAATGGTACGTCTGACTGCATTATGCCATTAGCATTACTAGAACTCATCACAAACTTAAGCATAAATTGGTTGATAGCCAAAACCTCTAGTTAGTAGACCCGTGAAGATCCGGGGTAGAATAGGTCTTCAGCAACCCATGCTTGCCGCAAATAGCGACTATGCTTGTCGTAAGAGGCCACTAACGAGATTGGGTGGTCAGGCTTGCTGACTTGGTTGATGCATGTCATCGTATCGTAATTGCTTAGATCGATGCTCATGATGTAAATCACTGGATCGTCTGGTCCAGACTCGATTATTTACAGACCACCGTCATATAGCTGAGTGCGGCGTTAAACAACAAACAATCCAATCTAGTTAGCATGGTGATATATCAAGGCCACTTTTCAATTGAAAACATTCATGCAAAAACATCACAAATTATTTGCGAAATGTATGCCATATTGCAATATGAAACAAAACGTGAGGTAGGCAAACCATGACACCTCTAATAACGAGAGCCAGAGGATTTGGAGTGAGCCAATGAACAATGCCTGAGTGAGACAATGCATGTTGTTAAACACTGCAGTCGGCTATATTCCAGCTATATCAAGCAGCCTGTAAATAATCAAGCTTAGACAAGGCAAACCAGTGGTTGATAGCATGAGCATGAAATAAATGAAAATAAGTTGTATCAACGTTTGTAATCGAAAATCGGACAACTACACGATAGATAACTACACAAACACATTGTAATTAAAAAAGTTAAAAATATGATTTTTTTAAATCTTTTTTGTTTATTGAAAGCATTACCCGGGTAATTTTTTATTGTGAAGTTATCTTATCTCTGTGACCATTGTGATATGCAGGTATAATAGCCGACTCGTCTTACATCAAAACACGAGCCTGTGTACTCCCAGGCAGATGACCATGGAGTACGCAATCACTGTGTCAGAGTAACAAGACTGATTAATGTGGTGAATTTGGTAATTCTTTGCAAATTAGATATCTCATAGTCGGAATGCGAGCCTGTCAGATTGATGAGTATAAATAGCACTGATTTTATTGGTTCCTATCATTTGTGTCGGATAAAGCTGATTATCAGAATAACCTATAACTAAAATATCCCCTACTTTTTATTCATAATATATACATATGAAACTTGTTACCATGGAAACTCGAAAAAAAATATTTAAAATCCCACAAATTCAAAAGGTAATAGTTAACCCCTTGATCTATTTTTGTTGCCAAGTTTGGGGAAGAAATAGTGTACGCTTTTCAAGTTCTGCTCCAGAATTGAGCACTACCACCATTTTCAATCTAAGTCAAGGTTGTTGCCATGGAAACTTGACAAAATATAAAAAAAATAAAATCCCAAACTATCAAAAGGCACCAATTCACCACTAGACCTATCTGTATGCCAAGTTTGGTAAAATGTAATAGTGAACAGTTTTTAAGATCTGCTCCCGAAACGAGCACAACTGACATTTCCAGCCTAAGTCAAAGACTTGTTGCCAGGGAAATTCGAAAAATATGTATTTTTTTTAGAAATCCCAAACTATTGACCATCTACCACTACATTTATCTCAACACCATGAAGCTGTGCTGAATACAAATTACAAGTAGTAGCTAGTGGGACGATGCATCATTGCGTCGATAGATCTCGATTTTTTACTTCTCGATACAAGTATCGATCACAGTAGCACAGTAAGACAAACATATTGATTCTGATCGCACTGTTGGTGTATTGTCCCAGCCCCATATATAGTACAAGACATAATGCCCCGCTGGGCATGAAGACCTCATGAAAATCCGAACTTTCACTCAGATTTAACATCTCTCTCTGCCATAAGAATTATCATCATTATAGCTCGTAGCTCAACATTAATATAATTTACATTCAAATCAGTAGAGTGAGTGAGTGAGTTGGGTTTAACACCGCTTTTAACAGTACTCCAGTTATATCACGGTGTGTCAGCTTAATGTGGGAGGAAAGCCTGAAGTGATGCAGGTCTCAGACGTGTACCTCTTCGGTGAAACCCACGAGCATGGGTATGGTGCTGACAAACCTAGAAACATAATCAGGGCGAACTGGGATTCGAACCCACAATCATAGGTTTCTGGCGTGCCCAAGGGATGCAACTCTGCACAGCAAATCGCGGCGCCTTAGACCACTGGGCCCCTCAAATCAGTATAACATTAATATAATTTACATTCAAATCAGTAGAGGTGTGGTGGGGTTCTGATGATGATTTGTGTCCTAATGCTATGGCTGCAACATGATTTGTACTTTTATTTCCTGAGTTGATATTCTCACTTTTTTTCAGGTGAATCACAACCTTGAATGATTTGTATTTTTAATTTTGGGAGAGATCAAACATGTCAAATATGCGGGCAAAATATAGGCTAGAGGGCACTGTGAATGTAATGCTATTCAGATTCTTTATTACAGTATAAAGGCCAAAGGCCCATAAAAAACGCTTGATTTTATTAACATGTACTGCGCTTACGCTAATATAAAGGCAGATGTACAATCATATGCAAGAAAGTGTGGTACATGTTTCAAATGTTGACAACAGTTGTTTAACATTGAGACATTATGTTTCATTGAACTATAAATATCACTCATCATTTAAGAGTGCAATTCCGTGTTCATAAACTTTATGTAAATACTGACAAGTATTATGAATAACATAATTATCTGATGACCTAATACTTTTGCAAGAAAGTGTGGTACATGTTGTTTAACATTATAAATAGTGTGTTTGAATGAACTATATATATCACACATCCTTTAAAAGTGCAGTTCCGTGTTCATAAACTTTATGTAAATACTGACAAGTATCATGAATAACATAATTATCTGATGACCTAATACTTTTGCAAGAAAATGTGGTACATGTTTCAAATATTGCCAACAGTTGTTTAACATTATAAATAGTATGTTTGAGTGAACTATGAATATCACACATCCTTTAAGAGTGCAGCTCTGTTTATAAACGTTATGTAAATACTGACAGGTATAATGATGACAGAATACTTATGCAAGAAGGAACCATAACCAACAGGGAACTAGAGAATCTGTGTAAGCTGGTGGTTGAACTGTTTCTGTGTTTATACCAATATAACCTGAATGTAATGTACCACATGGATCGTGATACAGGGGTTGTAAATTTATGTATTATACCGTGTGTTGTGTATTGGGAAACAATACTGTATTGCCATATTGTTACACCTCTACAAATCAGCCAATCCACATGGGGGCTTCTAATTTCTCTGTATGAGCTAATGAAGCATTCTGAGCATCCTTTAGATCACTATGGCTAGCATTACGAAAACCGACACTAACCTACAGACCTATCCCCATGGTCCTCGCAATCTTGAATTATCTGCCTTTGATTTTCTTTAACACTCTACTGACCAATCAAACGTTGTGATAAGGAAAAAGATCATGGGTAAGGGAGGCAACTTGTATTGCCTAGAAACCAAAGCTACAGCCTGTTTTGATGGACACAATGACATCCTTGCCATCAAAAAGATTTTTGAGGGTTTTCTTTTACGTGTCAGTCAGTTTTTCACTGTTACATTTCTTGCACAATCGTAATCAGTTGGATTGGCAGCTATGCTGTAATCGCCAACCCATCATTGAGGCTAATTTGTAACTCGCATTCTGATCGGTACATTGGACCTTGTAGAGTAGCCAATCAGATTGGATGGGTCCAGGGTGAGGTGAGGTGATATGGGGTTTAACGTCGTGTCCAAGATTATTGCACTTATATAGCGACGTGCATGCACGTGTATGTGTGGCTGCTTGTACTAGTCCGGACTGATGCCGATTTATAGTGCTAGCACACTGAGATACCATGCCGCAGTTTAACATGAATACCCCACTCAGACACAGTATACTGACTCCGAGCCGACCAGTCCTTGTTTTAGCCCCTTAATGCCGAGCGCCAGACAGGGTAACAACAAGTACCATCTTTTAACGTCTTTTGGTATGACGCGACTGGGGATCGAACCCCGGACCTTCCGCTCTACCATTAGACAGCGAAGGCGGTCCCGGATGGGTCCAGGGGTTTGTGTAGGTTTATCGAAATGCTAGCCCGGGAGACAAAGGAACTGCATTCAGAGAAGCATAATACAGATTAGAACCCAGGTGTCTGTAATTAGCATAACCATTAGCTCACAGACTGACCATCACGCTAACATAACCCATAAAGACCTTGAGTGAGTGAGTTGGTCTTAACGCCTCTTTACACAGTATTCCAGTTATTCCACGGCGTGTCAGCTTGAAGTGGGAGGAAAGGCCTCAGAAATTTACCATTTTGGTGAAACCCAGGAGTGTGGGAATTGTGCTGACAAACCTAGAAACATAATCGGGGCGAACCGGGATTCGAACCCACAATGAAAGGTTTCATGAATAACCAAGGGATGCAACTCTGTATACAGCAAACTGCAGTGCCTAAGACGACTGGGCCATTTGTGCCCCTTCAGGACCTTGAATCAAATTTGCTAAGACTGTCAGTTTACAATAAGTCAAGTGTTACCACAGTGTCTTTAGTCTTATCACGACATGCTGCACGTGATTTCAGAAAACTTTATCTTGCACGAGACAAAGGGTGCATCTTGAGTCATGGATCTATGACGTGATGTGATGCGTTCATAAGCATCTGTTCACACAACATACCAGTATGTTCCTTTGTGCATCGAACCAATCTAATATATCTAGAATACGAGTAATTCTTCATATGGCCCAGTCGTCTAAGGCGCCGCAATCTCATTAAAATCCATTAGGGGTCATGTCAGGGCGACCTTTCATCAGACCAATCAGTATGTTTACCAGATTATGAAAGTGACAGTCGTAATGTAATTTCTAATCATGCAATCTCAAAAACTTTAACATGGGGTATTCCGAACGATAGTTAAAGGTTAATCCTTGCAATCTAGACCATCTATTAGTCATTCCAGAATGTTTTTTTGTTCAGGTTTCAAATTTGTCAAAATATGTTTCGAAGTGTAGTCGCCAATTTGAAATTTGTGCCGTAAAGCTCGAGAAAGCTGCCTTCTGATTGGTCATTCCATTGGTCGGTCAAAGTTCGCGCAAGGTCGGTCTGACGTGACCCGTAATGGGATGTCCTCAGATCTTTGTTTAGCGGCAGCGAGAACTAAGATCTGATTTTAATGAGATTCAAGGCGCCGTGATTTGCGTCCCTTGGGCATGCCAGAAACCTATGATTGTGGGTCCGAATCCCAGTTCGCCCCGATTATGTTTCTAGGTTTGTCAGCACCATATCCGTGCTCGTGAGTTTCACCCAAGTGGTAAACGCCTGGGACCTGCATCACTTCAGGCTTTCCTCCCACATTAAGCTGACACGTCGTGATATAACTGGAATACTGTTAAAAGCGGTGTTAAACCTAACTCACTCGCTCATCCTATCTGGTAGACGAGGAGACATGTCAACCATGGTAAAGTAGTATTTGAATCCTGTGATACATACACATGTGTTAGAACTGATGATAGCCCAATTGGAAAGAGGTTAGGAGAGGATGAGTGGATGCAATCCCTTTTATCATCTATGTGATGCTTCTAACATGTATAAGGTTCTTTTATGGGTTATAGCTAAAACAGCACCTCAGAAAAACGTCACCGAGTGAAAACAGCACTGATTGGCGAAAACACAACCTTTCCTAAAACGAAGACAACAACTATTGCCTGGCGATACAGCACCATATTTTTTTTAACCTTGGTACTGAAAAAAATGACATTTCACATGGTCAAATGCAAATGGTCAAATAATTGTGAAATGTTAAAACAAGATTACATTAGAAATTAGCCTCTACTCAATTTACTCGTCCACTCTAATTGGGAGGTGCAACTAAACTTATAGTGAAAACATTACATGCTTTGAAGTTTTAAGTACCTTTACTCAAATTTCAAATTAACTCAATGTCAAGCTGAAACTGTATTTGTGGAAGACAAGACAATGACAATGTAAATGTAGCATAAATACTACAATATAACATAATAAAGCATGTAAATATAGCATAGAGTCTACATACTACTACATAAATCGTTATCATTATTAAAAAAAGAGGTGGCATTTTCGCCTGACAATTAGTAGACGTTTCCACTTGAGGTCCTGTTTTCACTTGAGAAATCGGTGCCAATTTAGCCTGCAGCCCTCTTTTACCATGTTTACAGCTTCCATGGTTCAAGATACCTGGTGTTATTGTTATGAACATCTGTGACAAAATAGCAGAAGGCATATCTTCAACAACAGGTCACACAAACACTATCCCGCCATAACAACTACCTAACATGCTACAATCGTAGAAAGGAACAATCATTATCTTGTAACCATGATAATAACCTATGCAAGTGTCAACATTCGGACGTCTTGTGGTACCAGCATTCAAAGAAAGTCCAGAAACTATGGCCCGAAAGTAGCCTTCCTTTGAGGCCAATAGCATATCATGGCACCATAAACGGTGATACACAGTAACGTTATGCACACGAAATAACATGCGAAACATGGAATAAAGGATCAGTTCATGTCGAATGTATAGTAACTGGTATGACTTCGCAGTACACAATTTGGGACTCAGTAACCTCCGAGGAAATCGCCATAGTCATTGAAATCGCTCAGAGAAAATCACACAGAAACACCCCCTGGGCATTCGGACAGTGTGTTTCCATCCAACCGTTTACATAAGTGATAAGCTTCACGTGTCTTACCATATATAAGCCGCAGTCTCCTTTCGTTCACTTCCACATGGCTACGAGACGCCATTTTGGATAATCGTCTCGCCGGATCTCGCAAACGTGCCGAGACTTTATATACAATTCTCTTTTTTTAATTATCATTTACATTTGACAATTGATAATAGGGAAAGGTCCGAAAAGACATTATAAAACACACACCGTTACATATTTTGAAACGCTACGCCATTCTGAATAGAGGCTAGTCTATTTATAGTATCGCGGATTTTTTAAAAAGTGAGCCCTCTCTTTCCTTGGGAGTCATGACTGCGCCGAAGTGAGAGTGAGTGAGGGACTTGGTATGACTCTGGGAGAAACGGCCAAAGACCTCCTTTTATCCAAGTTATGCCAAGCGCCACGCGCGATCAAAACTATCATATAAATCCTCCAAAACTGGCTCCTACAGTAGATATCGCTTGGGTGAGAAGAAGCCATATTGACCACCAAGGAGATACTGCTACAATGAAATTGCATCACAGTGCTGAACATTGTGACTTCATCGGTTACCATGACGTCACAATTAAATGTCATCAATAACCCCCCTGCCTCCGAAGCTGGTTAGCCGTACCTTTCACACTGGTAAAGCCACCGTTACACCCTTGAAAACTTGGATAACAAAATTTGGTCAAAGAAAACTTGAGAAGGCAGCGTCCGGGTAGGCAAAGGAAAATGTGGTCACGGGATTGGCTACAGAGGAGGCACCAGCCTAGTGCCTATTCGGTACTCTTTTCCAAGAGAGGATTCCAGTGCCTGTGTCAACTTTCTAAGAATGAACAGGTTTCGTTTTAAGTCTTTTACGGTATGATACTCTATCAAACACTTGGTCAAAAAGGACTTTGACCAAAATATTTTTTTTTTATCAAAGGTTTTGATAATGTAACTGGGGCTTAATAACACCCGTGTCTTCTGATATCGAATGTATCAACACTCATATCATCGACTCGTTTTGAGATATATTGATATGTATAGTCACATGGGTGAGATTCTCTTCATAATGTCTAGGTTTCTGGGCAGGACAAAGCCAGTGGATAAAGACGGTATCTTGTGGGGGTCATTGACGGATAAATATGCAAATATAAAGGTCAGGGTGCCATTGTACAAAACAACATTAGCGCTTTGACTGTCGTAAGTCTATGTCAGGGTATGGGAGTTACGATCACTTTAGCTCTAAGATCGCTCTGTACAGCGGCACGGTACCCTAGTATGGGTACTGCTTTCAGTGCTTACAAACATATATTTTTATATCAAACTCATTAAAATCAGATCTTAGTTAGCGTATAGCGAGAACTTAGGTCTGATTTTAATGAGATTGATTTTATATCGGCTGTCGATGAATTCAGAATTAAGTACTATGGTTCTTAACAAATTACTCTGGTAATTGTAATCATTATAATAAATATTATTTTAAAAGACATTCACACTTAACAACTGTCGTGTGCAACTAACTGCACGAAATAAAGTTGTATACAATTCGACAGTCACAGGGAGATCTTCCGACTAAAATTTCGCCGCTGAATCCTGGTGGCCGAGTTAAATTTCAGACGTACATATTTATACCCCATGGTGTAAAATTAAGATTTGAAAAGCAGAAAGTGCTTAAAGTTGTTCAAGTTTCTGTTTTGCTAACGAAAAAAACTCTAAATACACCGATAACGATCAGTGCTACGAAAAGTTTTATTTGGAAACTTCATGTAAAATGCGAGCGAACAAAATACTGAACGACATGTATATTTGAGTTGTAGGGCTATGTTTAACGTGACACATTCGATACGAAAACTTCCTTTTTGTAGTAGTGAAAATGCCGAAAATCAATTTTCCGCAATCATGCTATAGAGCCAAAACAGGGCGGCGAGGTCAACGCGTGTACAAATTAAAAGGGGCATAACTCCGCTATGCTTAACTGTAAGCGATTGTATCCGTGACCCGTGAAGATCCGGGGTAGAATAGGTCTTCAGCAACCCATGCTTGCCGTAAAAGGCGACTATGCTTGTCGTAAAAGGCGACTAACGGGATCGGGTGGTCAGGCTCGCTGACTTGGTTGATGCATGTCATCGATCCCAATTGCGTGGATCGATATTCATGATGTCAATCACTGGATTGTCTGGTCCAGACTCGATTATTTACAGACCGCCGTCATATAGCTGGAATATTGCTGAGTGCGGCGTTAAACAACAAACAAACCGTGGTACATAGTATACATTCTATGGTGTTTCTTTGTTCGGGAGTAATCCAAATGTTCCCCCAGAGCTATCGACATTGATACCCAGGGTTAACATCGGTTCCGTTTCTGGGATATTCAATGATTGTCACAAAAATGTCCTGAAGATATTTCAAATGTTGTAATACTATTGAAGGATGCCCGATAAGAAAACATGAAAATGTCCTGTGTTCAGTTGCCTCCAGCAGAATCGATGAAATCAGATACTTTTTGGTGTTTTTTTAAAACTATTTCCTGGAAACGACGAAATCAGTACCTTACTTATTACTTTGGAGATTTAACGTGCGCTTTCCGACTGATGCGTATTTCGCACACGGTAAATCAGTACCACAAATACTAGAGTAACATTATAATAGATTTCCCCTACTATTCGTTCATGATATAGAAACTCTTCTGTTGAAAGAACAGAGTGTTAGGCTTTATCGACACCAGCAAACACACACCCGCCTCCACCAAAGAACCTCAGATGGTCGGCCCCTACAAATCCAACCTGGTGCAACCTCAGACATCAATATTCTGTCAATCAATCTATCAAAAAAAAACTGTAACACAAATGCATACTTTGTCCATACTTTTGTATATATTGATAAAAAGAAAGTTAGATGAATTCCTTCAGATATATATTTACTTCTTTTAATAAAGTTGAATGATGTAGCTTTTTTAATTAACCTATTTATATAAATTTGTCATAAAGATTATTTCACTATTCGCCAAAGGAAATATGCAGTGTGATACAATGACAAAAGAGATGCATTACACGATGGATGTCAATTTCTATGTTCAAACAAACAAAAGATTATCAGACGTTTAATAAATATTGGCATTTATATCATATTAAACCGTAATAGATACATCTACCTACACTGGGACAACAAATATTTAAGAGATATTCTAATTATAATTCAAGACTGAAACTATACTTAGAGTAAACGTACAACTTTATGGATTAGAACTTCTGGTATATTGCGTGCAACGTGAAGGATAAGATCTCCTGGTATATTGCGTGCAACTTAAAGGATAAGAACTCCTGGTATATTGCGTGCAACTTGAAGGATAATAACTTCTGGTATATTGCGTGCAACTTGAAGGATAAGAACTTCTGGTATATTGCGTGTAACGTTATGAATAAGAACTCCTGGTATATTGCGTTCAACTTGAAGGATAATAACTTCTGGTATATTGCGTGCAACTTAAAGGATAAGAACTTCTGGTATATTGCGTGCAACTTTATGGATGAGAACTTCTGGTATATTGCGTGTAACGTTATGGATAAGAACTTCTGGTATATTGCGTTCAACTTGAAGGATAAGAACTTCTGGTATATTGCGTGTAACGTTAAGGATAAGAACTTCTGGTATATTGCGTGCAACTTTATGGATGAGAACTTCTGGTATATTGCGTGTAACGTTATGGATAAGAACTTCTGGTATACTGCGTTCAACTTGAAGGATAAGAACTTCTGGTATATTGCGTGCAACTTTATGGATGAGAACCTCTGGTATACTGCGTGCAACTTTATCTATAAGAACTTCTGGTATATTGCGTGCAACTTTATAGATAAAAACTTCTTGTATATTGCGTGCAACTTTATGGATGAGAAGTTCTGGTATATTGCATTCAGCAATAAACCAGGAGTTGTTATGCATTAATTTGTACGTTTTCTTATTTACTCAACAACGTCTATAGAATGTCAATCTAATAGCACCTCAGAGAAGATACCAAATATGTACTACAATAATCCGTACTCAGCAATACCCCAGCTGTATGATGGCGATTTGTAAATAATCGAGTCTGGACCAGACAAACCATTGATTGGCATCATGAACATCGATCTACTCGACTGGGAGTCCAGAAGTATGTTGTAGACGCCTCACCACACACGCACACACACACACGCACGCGCGCACGCACACACACAGGTATTTATTGGACTCATCCCTTTTGAAAATACTGGCTCCGCCCTTGCCATCAATAATCAATAACGTCAATCAAAAACGAAAAAAATGCATGTTTAGATGTGAGGGTTATCAAAGTTGGTACTGCAATTAAGACAGATATGTTTACAAGTCTACAGACACTCATCAGTATCTAGCTTCAAACGTCTCATCCACGCCATGTAAAAATGTTTACATTCCGTATAGTATGGCTATGAAGGATATGATGTATTGTGTCAGACGCATATACGCGCGATTCACGACTGGCGGAACTAACTTCCTACCTCCTTCCTAAGACTTTGGGAATACCAAGAAAAGAAGTGATAAAAAAACAAAAACATCTCAGACCCAGAACTACAGAACTATTCTGTGTGTGATATACCTGTAGCCCTAGAAATTGCAACTTAATGCCCGTTGTTCGCTCTAATACCCCAGTACTAGAGCAAAGTGAAAAGATGAAAGCTTGTTTAATAAGTTTAATATATTCACAGCACAAGGCAGCCAAAGAATCTAACAAGATCGTTGTTTCCATAAAATTATAATTTTCGTAAATTAGAAAAGACTGTTAGCCAGTATCTCGAGAAGTAAGTGTTTAAAAACTATTGCTTAGTCCCAATTCTACATTTCCTTTCCGTTTGAGCGGCTCGACTGAACAAACACATGCACGACAACATTCTCGCAATCGGCTTACATGACACAGCACAGAAACAGCATTGAGCACTACGTGTGCAAAATGACCTCCTTCACGTTGTTGATTCAAAGCGAGCAGCAATTCTTGTCATCTTGGATCTATCAGCAGCATGTGACACAATAGATCACTCAACTCATCTCAAGACGCTGGAGTCAGAGGCGGGCGTTACTGGTGAGACGCTATCATGGATTATTCACATCTCATCTCACAGGACGCCATAAGTCGAGGCGAACTGAAATTTGGAGTGCCACAGGGATCTGTTCTTGGCCAAATACTTTTCACTATATACACCCAACGAGATGGAAGAATTGCAAGATCTAATGATCTCAGTTTCACCTGGATGCTGATGATACACAGCTCTATCTAGGATTCAAACTATTAATTGCCATCATCATCACCCCTAATGGGATGTCCTCAGATCTTTGTTTGGCGGTAGCGAGAACTAAGATCTGATTTTAATGAGATTGTAACAGAGCTGGTGTTGCTCTACATGATGAGTCTCCAGTGGACATCATATCAGGAAATCCTAGGATATAAGCTGCTGCCGGTCAACACTCAAGACCATCTTCTTCAAAGACCATATGGCTGACCGCTCTTGAGCTGGGAGTATCTGAAAAAGATGCGCCGTATAAATCTATAATTTATAAGTTTGATATTCGGCGTGGCGGAACATTTCCCTCTATAATTGAGCGAGTGAGTGAGTATGGTTTTACGCCGCTTTTAGCAATATTCCAGCAATATCACGGCGGGGGACACCAGAAATGGGCTTCACACATTGTGCCCATGTCGGGAATCGAACCCGGGTCTTCGGCGTGACGAGCGAACGCTTTAACCACTAGGCTACCCGACCGCCCTTCTATAATTGAGGCAGTAACATTTCATTCCAAAACAGACAAAATGTTTTCAGGTTAAAGGTAATATGACATGTCGCAATAAATATGTGATTTATGTCACAGAATGTGACGGTTGTGGTGCCAATTACATTGGCGAAACTGGAGTGGAATTAAAAGACCGTGTTATTGTTCACCAACAACAGATAAAAGATCCGAATAATACAGTGATTAAAAATGATTTGATCGGTGTTGAAATGGAATTTGTAAATTATGAACAGATCAAAAATCAATTCGCCAAGAGAGACACTGTTCATGAATATATACTGAACAACAAAAGTTCCTGTGACTTTGAATAGGATTTAATGCAAAGTAATGTTTTTTACCAAATCTGAAACAATTCGGTTTGCAACAGATAAAAGACTCCTGTAAGTGTTCAAATGGTTTAATTTGCCATACTGACTTCAGAAAATGCGTGATTTCATTAAAAAAACATGAACATGTCAAAATGTCAATTTACAAATCAATAGCGTGTGTGTCCACCTCTGGTTGCGATGCCAGCAGCACATCTTCGTCTCATGGAATGGACCAAGCGTCGCACAAAGTCCTGTGGGATATCTGTCCATATCTGCTAGCATGTTCCGAGGTTCCTGGAGTGTCTGTGGAACACGTGGTTGACGTCGAAGGCGCCGATCCATCTCATCCCACATGTGCTCGATTGGTGAGAGATCAGGGGAGCGAGCCGGCCAGGGGATGACATTCACGTTGTTTTGTTGAAAAGATTCCTGAACAAGTCGAGCAATATGAGGTCGGGCGTTGTCATGTTGGAAGGTAATGCCTGGGCCTTGACGACGCAAAAACGGTAGAACAACAGGGCTGATGATCTCGTCGCGGTAGCGCTGTTCATTGAGATTTCCCTCTACCACTATCAAACGGGTCCTCTGTCTTGCTGTAATTCCACCCCATACCATAACGCTGTCCAGTTGTCTTGTCGATTATTGGTTACGCGTGGCCTGCCACTCAGAGGATACATGGTCTCTTACTGCATTCGTCTGTTGCCAACGTTGCCATAAACACCAAATGGTGTTTCTGTGGACGTTAAATTGTCTTGCAACATCACGTTGACTCGATCCTGCTTCAAGCATACCAATAGCTCGCAGACGATCATTTTCGGACAAGCTAGGCATTTCGTAATGTTTAATTTTTGCGTAATTTTGTTGTTTTTCTGAGTGGTTGTTGTCAGCACGATGCTAAACAATGTATATGGAATCCCGTTAACGCACATGTTTTTATACCAATTCTTGGCTAGTGAAATGCATGGGGCTTGCATAAAAGTAAACTTTTGCTTGGAAGCATGCTTTTCTGAAGCAGTTGCGTTTTTTTGACTTGATTCCATACATGTACTACAATATTGAAACCCAAACTTTACTTGTTTGAAAAATACACTAAAACATTGGTGTCACAGGAACTTTTGTTGTTGAGTTTATTTCAACCAATCCTAAACTCTGTTAAACAATTAATGAACGTATCTCACGAACGCCTATAAAAGGAACTTATTGTTCATATGCGTACATAGTGTACATTTCACGCCCATGCGTCATGCTTGGTCATGACGTCACATTGCAATGGCTATGACGTCATACTATGCTGACATCACATTTTATCATCCAAAACTGGCTCCCACAGGAGATATCGCTTTGGTGAGATCAAGCGATATTATGGCAAGCCGTTTTCACTCGTTGATAAAAGTGGAAAAATCCTCGGCAAGCCTCAGAGTTTTCCCACTTTTATCAACTCGTGTTGATATATTTGATATCAAAAGACACTCTGTTGAGATTCTCTATGTAACAGTTATGCGAAGGTACTTTGCACATCAGTATGACACACATGGAAGTGTGGTAATTTCTTTATTACCAAATACTTCTTATTGAGCTCCCTTTTAGAAAAAAACGATCACGACCGCCGTCTCAGAAAACCACAATTGTCGAATGACGTCAACAATCTTCAGGTATGACGTCTTTTCTAGTATAACGTCATTACGACCAGATGACGCAAACAATACATTGGTGCTCGTAATGTGATATTTGAATTTGTGCACATAAGATGTTTATGAACTCGGTTATTTCTAACCCCATTGGTAATAAGTCGCAGAATATTCTTGAAAAAAATGTTTATGCCTGAAATACATTTTTGCAAGTTGTGTTTTTAAAAAAAAAAAAAAATGTTAGCTGCAGCCTAAATAAATATCCAGTCTCCATACAAAATCCAAGTGTATCATATATCCTTTCTATTTAATTATCATAACAGAATGGATATATAATGCTCTGAATAGTTATCAGAAATCGAGGATAATTATTTATAGACATAGTTTGAATATTTCTGACGTTAAACAATATTCACTCACTAGTGATATTTCGGGTATAAAGCGAAATGTTAAAAGATTCCCGGGAAAAAAGCAAAAATCTCTCTCTCTCTATATATATATATATTTAATACATGAATTTTTGAAGCACGCTGTGCATGTTTGGTGGATTCGTTACCAAGTAATTGATGTTAACATCTATTTATAGTATCAAAACGGGAAGTTGCATGTGCTTCGGCAACAACGCATACTCCACGCAGTGCGTCCAATTTATGTGAACCCAATCGCCTGATACGAAGAGCGCGGCAAGGAGCTGTTACTCTCTCTGCATGCATTTGACGTATGGGTCGTCGCTATTTTACACAGGTAGATTTGCTTCTTGTTCATGGTCTTGCACAATATATTGCACAAACGGTTGACATTCGGTACTCGTACATATGTTTGTTGTCAGCTGGCTATTCGTGCACTTAACACAGGACTATCTTTCGGAATGGCGTGTGCTACCCCTTCTGTTAAGAAACAACTGACAACTGAGCCATACGCCGATCAAAAACAACACTGGCCAAAAAGCGGCCGTCACATTGTGGCCCAGTACGACGAGAATTCAGTGGTTGTGTATCAAGCTTTCAACCCGTCTATCGCCAGTTATGCAGTGGAGCACCAGGAGTAAGTGTACATCTTTATCACCAACGTATAATCTAAGACCACATGAACTCATTATTGGTCGGTAAATAAAAATGTATACCGTATTCGACGTAATAAGCGCTCGTTGTTTATTCTGACAGCCTGAAGTGATACAAAAGAAAAGTATGTGCGTATCATACACGACAGATATATTTTCCAGAATTTAATTTCCCATAATTAAGGGTGCATATAACACACGAGTGCATATTATACACGGACAAATAAGTCTTGTGTACATTGATCAATCGGAAGGGGTGCTAACTGGGATTGTTCACTAGCCAATATATTACTATTTTATTAGCAAATATCGCCGTGGGCGCTTATTACATGACCCACGTCTTGACTCTCCGACCCCGTCCCGGCTCTCAGCAAGGCTGGATTCTAGTCAGGTCTGACAGCCATTTGGGCGGACTATGTAGAAAGGTAAACAAATCATTTTGATTTATCTGTATAACAATACAACATGAGTTATTGAACAAGCAAAACAATTAATTCCAACTTGCTTTGGTTCACAACAAACCCAAACATAGCTGCAAAATTGTAGGAATGTACTGCTATCCTTTAGTCTGTCTTACAGACCCTGATACAAATATATATCAAATACAGCCCATGCAAGTCTATAATGTTTGGCAAGTCTAGATCACTGCAGTATCCGAAAATGAAGAGAGTCACTGGGCTCCTTTTTATTATATTTTTATTAAGATAACTAAACAACTGTTTTTTTATGTACGATATGTTCATTTCAGAGACTAGATTTTAGTCTATGCTATCCTTTTATTGTCCAACATAGTGAGTGAGTGAGTGAGTATGGTTTTACGCCGCTTTTAGCAATATTCCAGCAATATCACGGCGGGGGACACCAGAAATGGGCTTCACACATTGTACCCATGTCGGGAATCGAACCCGGGTCTTCGGCGTGACGAGCGCCACACTCAGCAATATTCCAGCTATATTGCGGCAGTCTGTAAATAATCAAGTCTGGACAAGACAATCCAGTGATTGACATCCACGTGATTGGGATCAATGACATGAATCAACCAAAACAGCGAGCCTGACCTGACCCTTACGACAAGCATAGTCCCCTTTTACGGTAAGTATGAGTTGCTGAAGACCTATTTGACCCTGGATCTCACATGTGACTACTGTTTCAGGTTTGGTGGTGACAGCTTCAGTTACACGCGCATGTCATGGATCAAGACCAACTTCCTGTGGATGATGTATCGATGCGGGTGGGTCGCGAAGAAGAACCAGGAGAGAGTGCTTGCCGTCACCTTAACACGCGACGGCTTTGAGGAGATACTCGCAAATGCCTACACAGTCCATGTAAGAACACATAAGTAGAATGTTTGAAGGGTGTGGACATTTTTCATAATTAATAGAGAAATCCTTGATTATCCCAGATCAGTGCACTACCCTAGCTTCGTTTCAAGACTGATAATTGTTAAAAATAGCCATCCGGTGAACCTTAACACGTAAGGTGAGTGAGTGAGTTGGGTTTAACGCCGCTTTTAACACTATTCCAGTTATATCATGGCATGTCAGCTTAATGTGGGAGGAAAGCCCGAAGTGATGCAGGCCTTAGACGTTTACCACTTCGGTGAAACCCCCGAGCACGGGTATGGTGCTGACAAATCTCGAAACATAATCGGGGCGAACTGGGATTCGAACCCAAAATCACAGGTTTCTGGCGTGCCCAAGGGACGCAACTCTGTACAGCAAATCACAGCTCCTTAGACGACTGGACCACCCGTCCCCCCTACAGCTATTAGAAACAGTATTGCCATGACAATCTAAGATATGTTCTATTGCCTTTGCAGCGTTTGTTTTTTTATTTGGGAGCCAAGTGGCTCTTAAAATGTTTAGGAGCTAAACCTAATTTTTATACGCTAACCTTTAAAATTTTCCAAGAAACCAGACTGAGAATCTTAGATAGGAGTGAATGAGTATGTTTTTTTACGCCTCTTTTAGCAGTATTCCAGCAATATCACAGCAGGGGACACCAGAAATGGGCTTCACACATTGTACCCATGTCGGGAATTGAACCAGAGTCTTCGGCATGACGAGTGAACGCTTTGACCACTACGCCCCCTGAGAAAGAACAAAGGTTCTCATGGGTTTTGTAGTGAGAAATCTAAACATCTTCTGTTTTTTTCAAAATATTGCATCCCAAGTTTGGTATGCACTTTATGCATGAGTGTGCAATAGGTAGATATAGTCGCCAGTTACATATATTTTAGGTAGCCAAAGTGGCGAGCAGTAGATGAAATTCAGTCACCAATCATAGATTTAAGTCGTATTAGCAACCAACATGGTCCCTACTTAGAGGGCTTTGAGTATACATGTACTTACAAAATCTGGGCGGTCGAGTAGCCTAGTGGTTAAAGCGTTCGCTCGTCACGCCGAAGACCCGGGTTCGATTCCCGACATGGGTACAATGTGTGAAGCCCATTTCTGGTGTCCCCTGCCGTGATATTACTGGAATATTGCTAAAAGCGGCGTAAAACCATACTCACTCACTCACTCGCTTACAAAATCTCAGAAGAAAATTTTGCAATCAGTTTCAGAAGTCACGCAATGTAAGGACAGAAGACATTGAAGTACGACTACAGTGGGACCCTGATCACACTCCTTCAGGAGGGAAGGTGGAGCGAAGGGCTATTCAGCTTGGCCTCAAAGGAAATGTAATTATTTTGTCTTTGGTTTGGGCTGTATCAATTTATATATTAAAATACGGCATATCCATTTACGAATTATATTTGGTTATATCATTTTATTTTTGAGCATGATGAGGTTATATGCATATATATCTTATGTTAGGTTATATCGATTTATTTATTAGATAATATGTATTTATATATCATATTGGGTTATATCCATTTGTAGTACAGTCAAGTCCCATTGATCTTACATGGTTGGTTGCATATGATCATGTTGGATTAACGGGTAAATGAAATTAAGTAGTATCAACATTCGTGATCGAAAATCGGACAACTACACGATAGATAACGATTGAAACATGTAATAAAAAAATAATATAAAAAAATATTCATATTGTTATATTACGTTGTTGGCGGAATATGTTTTCTAATCATGCAACCTCTAAAGCTTAACACAAAACTACTGTTACGGACCCTATGACTTATTCAACATAATTTTAAAAGCATACTTTCTAAGTAGCTAACGTTGACTTCCTGTTAGTAATTTCATTGGTCGGTCATAGTTTGCGAAAGGTTGTTCTGACGTGACCTGTAATGGGATGTCCTCGGAGTTAGCGAGAACTTGTATCTGATTTTAATGAGATTGAGGTAATCTAAGCATGTGATTAAACCTGCTTTCTTTATTTAAAGCACTAATTGTTGAATGTTAAGCAAGTTTATCTCTGCAGCCGTTGTAATATGCAGCTACCAGCCGACTTGTTTTGCATCACAGACTGATTAAGGAGTGATTTTGGTAATTCATTGCAAATTAGATGTGTCTGAGTCCGAGTGCGAGACTGTCGGATTAACAGGTCTAAATAGCACTGATTTAATCAGTTCCCATCATTAGTGTCGGATAAAGCTGATTGTCGGATTAACGAGACTTGACTGTGTATATGTATTGATAGGTTATTTCCTTTTATATACCCCCTTGGGGAATTCAGGACAGAATAGGTCCTCTTTACTAATGCTTGTCCTGAGAGTTGACTTAAATGAGGAGGGGGCACGGGTGGCCCAGCCCACTTGTCTAAGGCGCCGCGATTTGCTGTGCAGAGTTGCATCCCTTGGACACACCAGAAACCTATGATTGTGGGTTCGAATCCCGGTTCGCTCGACTTATGTTTCTAGGTTTGTCAGCCCCACACCTGTGCTCGTGGGTTTCACCGAAGTGGTAAACGTCTTAGACCTGCATCACTTCAGGCTTTCCTCCCACATTAAGCTGACACGCTGCAATATAACTGGAATAATGTTAAAAGCGAGGTTAAACCCAACTCACTCACTCACTCACTTATATGAGGATCAGATGGTTACACCAGGTGACCTGGCTGATTGTGTGTCTTCATATCCTGATGATGTGGGAAGCTGCTCATGACATCAACCACTGGTTTGATTCATCAGTTCTTGATTCTCTACCAGTTGCCATAATTTAACAAGAATATTTATAGCTGCCGTGTAAACCAACACATTCACCCTCTCACTTCTACAGGGAGGAAGCTTGACGTGTTTCCCTGTACTTGTATGAAGCTGTGGGTAGTTTAGTTCCTAGTTCCTCCATGAAGGTCCAGGTCGAATTGGTCTTTAGCAACCCTTGCTTTTTGTACAAGGTGCCTAATGGCATCGGATGATCAGACTCTCTGACTTGGTTGAAGGGTGACATGAAATCCCAATGATCGATGCGCATTATGTCAATCACTGGATTGGCTGGTCCAGATTTGATTATTTATAGACTGCTGTGATATTGCTGGAATATTGCTGAGTGCAGCGTTAAACAACAACCATGCAAGCCAGTAATACGTATCACATATTTTAAGCACGGGCAAACAAAGAAAGAAAGAAACCGTAACACGGTTTATTGTGAAAGAGTGAGTTGGGTTTTACACCGCTTTTAACATTATTCCAGTTATATCACGGTGTGTAAGCTTAATGTTGGAGGAATGCACAAAGTGATGCAGGTCTCAGATGTTTACCACTTCGGTGAAACCCACGAACACGGGTATGGTGCTGACAAACCTCAAAACAAAATTGGGGCGAACTAGCATTCGAACCCACAATCATAGGTTTCTGGCGTGCCCAAGGGATGCAACTCTGCACAGCGAATCGTGGCGCCTTAGACGACTGGGCCACCAGTGCCTCCCTTATTGTGAGAGAAGGTTAGGCCTATTAGATGGTGCGTCATTATGCAGACATTAAGGAATTATACCATATACATGTTTATATTTTTAATCCAGATGCTAAAGAAGTATGGAAAGCAATTCATTGTGAAAATTGAAGACATTACACCATTTGTGAAGGAGCAACATCAGGTATTGAACGAGAAGGGTCAGTGGGAGATCCACACCCCTAGTGAAAGAGTCTACAACGTCACCGACCAGGCCGTGGCACAGAGGATTGCCCTGGACTTCCATGAAACTGGGCCAACTCTGGTCTCCTCAACATCATGAAACTGGGCCAACTCTGGTCTCCTCAACATCATGAAACTGGGCCAACTCTGGTCTCCTCAACATCATGAAACTGGGCCAACTCTGGTCTCCTCAACATCATGAAACTGGCCTAACAACTCTCTCCTGTAGATGCAGAAACTTGTCCAAGTATTGTCCCCTGGAGGTAACGAAACTGGTCCAAATATTGTCCCCTGGAGGTGACGAAACTGGGCCAAGTATTGTTTCCTGGAGGTGACGAAACTGGGCCAAGTATTGTTTCCTGGAGGTGACGAAACTGGGCCAAGTATTGTTTCCTGGAGGTGACGAAACTGGGCCAAGTATTGTTTCCTGGAGGTGACGAAACTGGGCCAAGTATTGTTTCCTGGAGGTGAAGAAACTGGTCCATGACCTTCTCCTGAAATTAATTTAAGTTGGCTGAATATTGACTCCCAGTGGTGATGACATATTAGATCTGGTTTATTTTCTCATTGTTGAAAAGCATTTTATATATACATTTTTAGCAGTATACATTTTTAATAAAAACTGTGAAAACTCTAAAAAGAAGTTTTAAGTGTGAATTTGTTATGTGATATTTCTCATGTGCAAGGAGTAATGTGTTTTTCATCTGTATTATGCAGAAAATATTTGAATATAAAATTTCAGCAGTTCTTTTTATGAAGTGACTTTCTTTGACATCTTAAACTGTTGACTACATACCCAGGTGAGCTACAGCCGATTCCAGGGGCAATACATACTTTTGTATGAAATAAACACAAATATACCAATTATTGTGACAAACTGAATTTTTCAGTTTCTACTTTCACATTTCTGTGCATTAGGCTACCTTAAAACTGAAGAAGACATTTTGTTGTTGAACTTATGAACAAATAGCATTTTTGGATGGATACATGTCATTGTGTTGAAAAGTTTATTGTTATTACACATGATTTTGTTGATATTCATATGCAATAAATGTATCAGAAAGTGATGTCTTCATTATTTTCTTAGAGACATTTTTTCATGAGCAGTCCAAACAGAATGACATACAAAATAATTTATGTTCTTCTTGCAATCGCCCAAAACAGTGATAATGTTTAAAAATGTTTTACTGTTTATATTTTCGTGTTAACTATTTATTATCTTCTTTCTCTGAAACAGATCAAACGTTCTTTTGATTTAGAAGTTCCAATTGTTTCCATGGGAAAAAATATCCAAATATATATTTTAAAATTACCATGTTTATATAAAAGTACCACACCTCTTGGTTGATGTGTGTGCAAAAGAGAGGGCGAGTTCTATTTATAGTATCAAACAGGAGGTTCCATGTGTGTGCAACACACATGCAATACCCTATAAGAGGGCACAGAAAGGAGCTGTTATGTCTATGTCCTTGTTCGTTGGTCTAGTGGATACAGTGTCTGCCTGGAGAGCAGATTGTCTGTGGTCTGATCCCTGGCCATGTCTTACTAAAACACGTTAGGAGATACCTCATCCGCATCATACCAAGACGTTAAAAGATGGTACTTGTTGTTACCCTGTCTGGCGCTCGGCATTAAGGGGCTAAAACAAGGACTGGTCAGCTCGGAGTCAGTATACTGTGTCTGGGTGGAGTATTCATGTTAAACTGCGGCATGGTATCTCAGTGAGCTAGCACTATAAATCGGCATCAGTCCGGACAAGTATAAGCAGCCACACACACGTGCATGCACGTCGCTATATAAGTGTTATAATCTTGGACGCGATGTTAAACCCAATTTCACCTCACCGTTAGGAGATAGTACTTTTTGTTACCCTGCCTAGTGTCGGTATACTGTGTTGGGTATCCATGTTAAACTGCAGCATGGTATCTCTGTGGGCTAGCACTATAAAATCGACAGAAGTCTGGATTAGTACAAGCAGCCACACACACGAGAACACAAACTACAGTTTCAATCTTTTTATTATTGCGCAGTTGTACAAACAGCATCAGATTGTGAAGTGGAAAACAGTATGAATGCACTGGTCAAAATATGTTATGGAATGACAGCATTATATATCTACATAACAACAGGGAAATCACACTTTTCTGTAATATTATATAAATTAATATTTCACGTCTGGTATGTCTAGAATTCATAACTACATTCCAAATCTATATATATCTCTAGATTTACATAGAATCTGCATAAACTTTATCTGCTTCTGTATACCACCATGAATATTAGTCATTCCTTCAGTACATTCACAACCTGGGAAGTGTCATATGCAACTCTGAAGAAGTTACAATCTCATTAAAATCAGATCTTTGTTCTCGCTATCGCTGAACAAAGATCTGAGGACATCCCATTAAGGTTCACGTCAGAATGACCTTTCATCCAACCAATCAGAGTGTCGCTTACCAGATCATGAAAGTGACAAGTCGGAATGTGTTTTCTAATCATGCAACCACGAAATATTTTACACGGGGTATTCCGAACGACAGTTACAGCTTTTATGATTATGTCCATACAATCAAGGCAATCTATAAGCCATTCCAGAATGTTCATCTTATCAGTTTTAATTTTTTTTAATACGTCAAAATATGTTTTGAAGCGTACTCGCCAGTTTGAAACTAGTGTCGTAAAGCTCGAGAAAGCTGCCTTCTGACTGGCTAATGTCAATTTCTTGTCAATCATTTCATTGGTCGGTCAAAATTCGCGAAAGTTCGTTCTGACGTGACCCGTAATGGGATGTCCTTAGATCTTTGTTTAGCGGTAGCGAAAACTAAGATCTGATTTTAATGAGATTGAAGAAGTTAAGTACCACGCGACTCATTCATATTACTATGGTACTATAGTTCATCTATTTTGACATAACAGATTAACTATAGTAATATGAAAGTAAAGAGGGTCCTTAACTTCTTTTGAGTAATATACGAATTGATCATGTTTCTAAGATGCTACAGTTGAACAACAGGTAGGGATGGCTGCTGAATTCAGATGGAGGGATGGAGTCCAATGCTGCAGTCAAACAGGAGAGGCTGGTTCTGAGTTATAACACTGCATTAGCAAAACAGTGGTCCCCGTGTTTGCGCTTCTGCCGTTTTGGTCGAGCCAGGTGATGTCTGTGCCCGTTTCTGCACATCTGCTGTTCAAGCCAGGTGATAGCAGTCCTCCTGTCTCCGAGCATCTACCGTGTGTTCCAGCCAGGTGATAGCAGTCCTCCTGTCTCCGAACATCTACCCTGTGTTCCAGCCAGGTGATAGCAGTCCTCCTGTCTCCGAACATCTACCCTGTGTTCCAGCCAGGTGATAGCAGTCCTCCTGTCTCCGAGCATCTACCGTGTGTTCCAGCCAGGTGATAGCAGTCCTGTCTCCGAGCATCTACCGTGTGTTCCAGCCAGGTGATAGCAGTCCTCCTGTCTCCGAGCATCTACCGTGTGTTCCAGCCAGGTGATAGCAGTCCTCCTGTCTCCGAGCATCTACCGTGTGTTCCAGCCAGGTGATAGCAGTCCTCCTGTCTCCGAGCATCTACCATGTGTTCCAGCCAGGTGATAGCAGTCCTCCTGTCTCCGAGCATCTACCGTGTGTTCCAGCCAGGTGATAGCAGTCCTCCTGTCTCCGAGCATCTACCGTGTGTTCCAGCCAGGTGATAGCAGTCCTCCTGTCTCCGAGCATCTACCATGTGTTCCAGCCAGGTGATAGCAGTCCTCCTGTCTCCGAGCATCTACCGTGTGTTCCAGCCAGGTGATAGCATGAGAAATAGGGGAGCACAAACCCTGAATTGCATCCCCCTCTGAAGTCAGCCTATGTATGAGGACGTATGGCTTAAAGCAACACAAACTATTACCAAAATTAATACAGAAATATGCACAATGAGCTGAAGGAACACCTCTATCGCTGGCCACAACATGATGTACATTGAGATACCATGGTAGATCCCTAATGCACCCAGCACCACTAAAATTGTGAAATAAGAGCAACATAATGAGAGTGTTTTTTATTATCAAGCACAGGGGGGCATGGGTGACCCAGTCGTCTAAAGCGCCGCGATTTGCTGTGCAGAGTTGCATCCCTTGGGCACGCCAGAAACCTATGATTGTGGGTTCGGCGGTCGGGTAGCCTAGTGGTTAGAGCGAAGACCCGGGTTCGATTCCCGACATGGGTACAATGTGTGAAGCCCATTTCTGGTGTCCCCCGCCGTGATATTGCTGGAATATTGCTAAAAGCGGCGTAAAACCATACTCACTCACTCATTTATACAAAACAGAAATGTGTACAGTACTTAAACTGTATATGATGTTTATTTCAAAACATGTAATGTGATAGGGACACTAACAATTATACCAGGATAAGTTTTCTTCTTTTCATAAATACTCTGACTAAGTTCTAAGTAATGATCAATGCCGTTCTCCAACCACACACTGAGTGACAGGACGACGGTGTGATGCTACAGTATACTACTTGACTTCACATGCATCTATCAACATCGGTTTCATATGTGACCACCACATTCTGACCCTCTGTGATTTGCCACAACAGCAAGACATGTTTGATTGACATAAATGTCACACTTCTACTTTTCACATAAAATGTATTCTATTCAAATGCATTCAATCATCAACGATCCTGCGTAGCCATGACAACATTTTTACATGTATATCATTTCAGGATGTGGTTCTATGCCCCTACATCCCCATATGTTGTCAGTGTCAATTTCTACTTCCAACTGTAAATCACTCATCTCAAATACTGTAATTTCTTGTGTGTTTCACGCACCTGCATTCCCCATTGTTTCAAGAAAAATTGCTGTGTCAGCAATAAATGCACAGCTTTAATTTGGAGAAGGGGGAGTGTGAAATATACACAGGAAATGTAGCATGATGTATGACATTTGATTGACAGCTTCTCTTTTTACTAACAACATCTATCTCTCTGATGAAAACCAACATCTGGCTACACACATCACCACACGTACATGCATCACATGAAACTCATATATACACCATGGACAATGTCTATTTCATGTCTATTTCGTTGCTAGGATTGATTTTGCATTTGTGATTGAAGTTTCTTCATCGTGGCCTCATCTTGCTGTGACAAGGACGTCAATTTCTTGCCAATTCGGTCGTGGATTTCCAGATACTTCGCGACGCATCTGTCGATACACACGGCTTCTCCTTTCGTCAAGTCAGGATCTCGGTACTTGGCGGGAATGCATTTCTTCTGACACGCGTTCGTCATCCTGAAAAACACAGGGAGACATGTACACCTTTGCTGTGTGGATAGGGTGCAGTTTACAAGTTTGATGTTGGACAACAAACTTAATTCCTTAAGTTTTGAGACATACCTCCTTACCGCCTAAAAGCCATGAGTGCATAAACGTTGACATCCTCGTAGTTAAACCACTGATGACATCATGCTATTGTTGTTGCATTTGATTCTGAGCCAGGAATTCACAGGCCATTTATACTGGCCAAATAAAACTGATGCAACTATAGATCATTATAGAAAATTATAGAAAATTAAAGAGAAATTATACACCAATCATCACATGGTTTATGTTGGAGAAATCGCTTGAATCTGTTGATTCTGATAGTATAATCAATGAGCACCAGTATTTTCTGGATTCTACAAGTGGAATCAATAGATTTTCACGATTGCTCCAGTTCAGATTATTGTGTCATGCAAATCCAATCCAATTAAAATCAGATCTTAGTCCTCGCTACTGCTAGACAAAGATCTGAAGACATCCCATTAGGGGTCAGGTCAGAATGACCTTTCATCCGACCAATCAGAGCCTCGCTTACCAGATCATGAAAGTGACAGTCGGAATGTGATTTTGAACCATGTAACCTCGAAAACTTTAACACGGGATATTCTGAACGATAGTTACGGGCTTAACGACTGAATCAATACTATCTAGAACATCTATTAACCATTCGAAAATGTTCTTTTGTTCAGGTTTCAAATTTTTAATCATGAATTTGTCAAAATATGTTTTGAAGCCCAGTCGCCAATCTGAAATGACTGCCGTTAAGCACGAGAAAGCTGCCTTCTGATTGGCTAATGTCGAATTCTTGTCAGTCATTCCATTGGTCAGTCAAAGTTCGCGCAAGGTCTGACGTGACCCATAATGGCATGTCCTCAGATCTTTGTTTAGCGGTAGCGAGAACTTAGATCTGATTTTGATGAGATTGATGCAAATCCTACCTTACAACAATTTATATATAGCTGGTGATGTGGCAGAGTGTGTCAACAGCTCTTTTACTAAACTCATTTTTATGCTAAAACCAGTAAGTGAGTGAGACAGTTTAACGTCACTTAGAAACACTTCTTTAAGTGTCCTTTAGAAGTTGGTACGGTGATACCACCACTGTTTACACTTGCTGGTAATGGTGTTAGTATCTACACCGAACGTCGCACTCATAGCAACAAGGAAGTTATATCCATTGAACTATCTCCCATGTTGACTTAGAACAGTAATTTAGTAATATCACAGGAAAGCTAAAAATGAAACAAAATAGTTAGAAACAAACAGTAGTCACTATATCCCAAACACTTTCTAGTTTTTTTAATATTAATATGTTACAAAGACATGTGAAGACAAACAAGTGCTTTGCTTAGCTGTAGATTAATGGAATATTGTTCATTTACGATATAACAGATACATATACACATACAAAGTAAGAGCAGAAATTATGAATTATGAATACAATCATGACAATATTTGATGTTTGTTTTCATTCATTTTCTGTAGCATTGACCAGAATCATGCTAGTTCTTAATGCTTTCTTGGAGAATTCCTTATAAATGTGACAACACCAAGTCATTGCTTTCACAAATCTTTTCGTTTGTAGGCTTGTAAACACGATATAATAAGTGAGTGAGTGAGTTGGGTTTAACGCCGCTTTTAACAGTATTCCAGTTATATCGCGGCGTGTCAGCTTAATGTGGGAGGAAAGCCCGAAGTGATGCAGGTCTCAGACATTTACCATTTCGGCAAAACCCACGAGCACGGGTAGGGTGCTGACAAACCTAGAAACATAATCTGGGCAAACCGGGATTCGAACCCACAATCATAGGTTTCTGGTGTGCCCAAGAGACGCAACTCTGCACAGCGAATTGCTGCGCCTTAGACGACTGGGCCACCCGTGCCCCCCGATATAATAAGTAATGCAGAGGGGAAATCATTAGTCTGTGTAAATTCAAAGTAAAATTCAAATGAAAATCAGAAAATGCCTAGCAAATCCATCCTGGAGGCTTTAGCCTCTAAAATATTGTTATACCAAATAACATAGTTATTCAAGTTCACACAGCTTTGTAGGGATTATTAATCGTATGGGTATTAACAGCTGATTAACGTTGGACAATCTGTGTGAAATATGAAAGGGCAAATAAAGTGAAAAAATTGATTGAGGTTTTTTTTCAAATATCAATTGTCCAATATATCTTAAGTCAATTTCCGAGGGGAAAAAAATCATTACATTGGTACAAAGTACTTAAATGTCCAAGCAAAAGTACTGAAATCAGACGCTCCATAATTCACCACCCCTCGATATGATTTGTTGATGTCAACCCACCCATTAAATTTACATGTCGATTTATTTGTCACAATAAGGGCCTGAAGAGTTTAGTCATCACCTGCAGCTTCTAAAGTCTGTGGGTTCTGATGGCAGCCTGTCAATATATATTTTATTTCAAACACCGACCCACTGTTCAGGGTCATATATTGTGCTTCATGACAAAATCATCTTTGGTCTAGTGGTCAGGCATCCTCTGGGAATATTTTCAATGAACGGAAGTCCGGTCTTAATCATGAACTTGTATCAGGCAAAAGTCAAATGCCGACCCCTATTAGAATGGGGAATATACTGTATATCAACCTGTGCATTTGCCACAGTGGAATACTGTTTCTTGTCTGTAATTACTTTTATAGCCCAAAGCATACTAAATGATTAATATGTTCAGTTACGATTTGATTTATATTTTTGTCCTTTAAAGGATGCTTTCCTAGGACATTTGATGTAACTCTGTACAGTTGGATACCATATATGTTCGAGTCTCTATCCCGATTTCATATCATTATTACGATTACATCATTCGTATCATGATAACATTTTAAGTTAGCCGTCTGTTGTCTGTAGAGCAATCGTAAAAAATTATCTTAGAATGGTGGTGGTGTCTCTGTGATGCTTCAAACCCGCTTAGGTTCTGAACTGAAGTCAGATTTCAGTCAAGATCGCCCACTGACTAACAATGTCAAAAAGAAAATTGACATTTTCACTCGTGATGATTGTGGGGTACCTAAACTTATTGAGACTGTGAAATTTTGACCGGAAGATACAAAGATTACCTGTTATACATGTCAGCCATCATTTCAATTTCGAGATCAGCAACTAGTTTCATCTGTGCATCGTTAAGATTTGCCATTTTTGTTGATGTTTGTGTACAATATGCAGTGAGATTGGACAACACACGTGCAGCAAGGTTACAACATGTAGTAATTGAGGGTGATCTCCCTTATTCTCAATCAACGATAACCAATGGAAAGAGAGCTTTCTTGTAAGGTACAACCAATCGTACTCCCTGTACTATATCGCTACTCGGTAAGGAATGCCAACAAATGTTTGGTGTCAAGTTTGTTTTGTTGTTGGTCAAAATAACTTTGTCATCATGTAAGTATTGACTGATTTGGAAGAAATCGATTCTGTTAGCCCAATATCACCTTGTTCTAATAATCGTGTATATCACAATTTAACAAAAATGGCTGTGTGTTTAGAGGAAATGTGTATTAATCATGGAGAGTCCGAGGCCAGGAAACGAAAATGAAAGTTTAGAATTTCCATCTTGAGGTTTTGTGTGGTGTGATTCAACATGTGTTGGCAAAAGGCAACTTTGATTTTGTAAATGATTATGACGGAAACCTTATGTTGATCATGTTACTGAAGAGTAGACATCGCTGCCTTTGTACAATGTTCACTTTTCAACCCTCTGATTATTCACTCGATCATATCAAAAGTAGGAATGACTTTCCCTGCAAAATAATGTTCCTTATAAATTCCATTGTGCCTGAGAAAAGAATAATTCAGTGACAACTTGTTTGTTTGTTTGTTTAAAGCAACACTAGCAACATTCCACCTAGATGGGGGTGTAAATAGAGTAGACAATCGAGTATGGATTAGACAATCCAGTGATTGATAGTATGAGCAAAGATCCATGCCACCACCCGGGTATGTTGACACCAGGGCTGTTATGATTCACTCGCGATCCGGGAATCGAACCGTATGGATTCATGAATTGAATTCGTTATTCATGGCCTCTAGAATCAAATATTTAAGAATATGCAATCATGTGCATTTACATACCCTGTACCTTAAATATCCATAAGAACATATTAATTATTATATGCATAGATTTCTTCCAAGACAACACTCTTATAATGGATATAATATATATTTGATTTGAGAGTATTGTGGTCACTGGTCCTTGTCGCAATTGAACAGATACTAGTGCAGTATATAAATGTATAATATATTAATATTTAACAAAACATGTCAAATAATGTATGTTGTTATTGTTTCACTGAATATAACAAATAATACATCAGCTGCTGACATGTTATTGTATTCATGATTTAATAATCATATTTGTTACCCTATATTCGCGATACAAATCGTATTCGCCACATAGTGTATTCGTTGCAGCCCTAGTTGACTACACTATTAATCAAGCCTGGGCTCCCTGGTCTGTTTGTGTTTTGTTGTAAGCTACTGTCAGCAATATCCTGCTCACCTGTACATAGAGCCAGATAAATTAGTGGTTGACATTATGAACAACACTGTCAGGTATGATAAGACTCACAATAAACCAAGTCTGACCAAGTCAACCGATACCTTAAGAGGCCTCTTATGACAGGCATAGGATGATGGGGGCCTATTTATAACATAATCCTTACAGCATAATAACAACATTCATTCATGTCCCATTTGTGTCAAGTTTGGTGTATGTCATGTCAAACATGATGCTATTTAGATATCAGGTGCAGATTCCGATCTATTGCAAATTCTAAACATGTGCTGTCCACAAACCACCCCTGTGGTCTAGTGGCACAATGTCCATCTGGAGACCAATCACTGGCCACGTCATACAAAAAAACCCCATTAAAATACGGTGCTTGTTGTTACCCTTCCTGGCACTCTGCATAAGGGGCTAAAACAAGGACTGGTCCACTTGGTGTCAGTATACTGTGTCTGAGTGGGGCATTCATGTTAAACTGCAGCATGGTACCTCATTGGACTAGCACTATAAAATCTGCATTAGTCTGGACTAGTACAAGCAGCCACACACACGCACACACACACGCACACGTACATGCAAGTCACTGAATCTTGAACTCGACGTTAAACTGATGAGTTGGCTGTCCAGAGTTTGTTAAAATTTATGATGACACTTATGGACAGACATGTACTTTGCTGTCCCTGCCCTAGGTTATATATCCAACATAGTAAGGGGAAAGGGGAAGAACTCATATACACCACTGTCGAAACTCAAATATTTGATCAACTGCAACAGGATATATAATTCTCTACAGTAAATAAAAACACAGACCAGCACGACATTCTTCCTGAACATTTGATGTTGGTTGTATACATATGTTCTCCAAACTGAACATATTGCTGTAGACAGTTTAAGCATGATTGTTAGTACTAGTAGTCCCACAACTGCATTATGCAATGTTTTTGCAAAGTTTTGTGTTCATCTTTCTTTCAGTCTCATTAAAATCAGATATTTTTCTCCGATTTGATGCCCCTGCATTCAGATCCGAGGACGCCTCCCTACCAATCTAAATGGGTATTAGATCAATATTTAATCCTTGATTATAGTCATCAGAACATCCAGGGGTAATACTTGACATGTTTCTAAGAAACTGATCTCTTGGCATATGTCAAGCACCAAACAATCAATATGAATGTTCCGAAAAATGTTATTTACAATGTATTTGTCTACCATCCCACCATAATGACATGTGCCATGTATTTCTCTGACAGGTCACCTGTAGACGGAACATTTGACTGAAAAGCAACAAGCTAGCCAAGTGACGATACTCTGCGAAGAAGGGAATAGAGATTCGGAGACCACCATGGCTGACATTGCCACGGAAACCAAGTATTGCTCCAACTGGTAAGTATGTCGATTTACATATGAAGTAAAGAGGAAAGAATGCAAATTTTAGATTAGAAGCACTGGATAAGCTAAGGTGCTTTTACATTCAGGAATGTATCTAGGATTTCATACGACGTGCCCTTGGCAGGCAATTTTGGGGAGAAAATCTATTTGTCAGTGAAATACAAGTCACCTGTCCAAAGCTGTAATGGTAGTTATTACTGTATAAAGTGAAATGGATAGTTGTCATTCAAATTTGGGAATATTTACTGACATTTCCTATGGACTTGGGTCAGAATATCCTCTCAATCTCATTAAAATCAGATCTTAGTTCTCGCTACCGCTAAACAAAGATCTGAGGACATCCCATTACGGGTCAGTCAGACCGACCTTGCACGATCTTTGACCGACAAATGGAATGACCAATCAGAAGGCAGCTTTCTTGTGGTTTACGGCACTAGTTTAAAATTTGCAACTACACTTCGAAACATATTTTGACAAATTCTCGATTACAAATTTGAAACCTGAACAAAAGAACATTCTGGAATGGCTAATAGATGGTCTAGATTGTATGGATTCAGTCGTTAAACCCGTAACTATTGATCGGAGTTAAAGTTTTTCGAGGTTGCATGATTGGAAATCGCATTCCGACTGTCACTTTCATAATCTGGTAAGCGATGCTCTGATTGGTCGGATGAAAGGTCGTTCTAACGTGACCCCTAATGGGATGTCTTCAGATCTTTGTTTAGCGGTAGCGAGAACTGAGGTCTGATTGTAATGAGATTGATCGTCCTCTGAGCAGGCCTAGACAATCCCTGTCATAGTCAATACTTCTGGGGTTTGCACACACTATGTCCTTCCATCGCCTGTGAATAGGTTACATGGCAGCTTTACGGTGTATTAAAGTCACAAGATAACCTGGTTCCGGCAAGTACTCAATCAGTGACAGTGACAACGGGTGCGCTACACTGTAAATCAGCCCAGTACTTTCCCTGGAGATTGAGGAACATTGTGCATGAGAGACTGTCAAGTACTGACAGTGGATTTCTTTTTGGGGTTACTTGTACTCTTTATTTTTTATGAAGTTTTTATTTATGTTCTATATATTTTAATAATACATGGTCACAGCTAACAAATATATACTCACCGCCAAAAGAAATGTTAATACCATACATGTTGGCTTATCATGTAAATCACATGCAGCATATCGTAACACTGGCAGTACTTGACTGATTGTTAGTTTTGTAATTAGGTTGCACACATTGGAAGCATCTCTTCTTAACATTCATACTTCTCTATATGTTTCTACGGTTCATGTTTCTTTTGGTTGTGAGTATACTATTGGATGTAATCCAGGCTCTTAAGAAAAGGATAATATCCAAACTCAATGTTCTTTGAAAGTGTTTTACAGCGTTAGAAATCAGCTGCTGAATATTTAGCTGTACATACAGTGTTTCTATGTAAATATGACGAAATGTCATAACGAACCTTTCATAAACCGCATAATCCATTCCACTCATGGAGACCCAGGTTAGAATAGGTCTTCAGCAACCCATGCTTCTTGTTAGAGGCGACTAACGGGATCGGGTGGTCAGACTCGATGACTTGGTTGATGCATGTCATCATATCCCAATTGTTGGATAGATGCTCATGATGTCAATCACTGGATTGTCTGGTCCAGACTTAACTCTTTCAACACCGTAGGCCGGTTATCCGGCCAAGAAGCATCAAGTCCCCAGACACCGCAGGCCGGTTATCCGGCCAAGCCGTAGTCACATCAAAATAGTATATATTTTTATGGACCTACCTGTAATGTCATTCATTTATTAAATCTATCACATTTCACAATGTCTGAAATACATATTCCATTTTAATTTAACATTTTTTATCGTTAAATTAAAAAATTATTCACTATTTCTCGCGATGTTATTGAAAATAAAATTCTCGGACACACATTTCGACAACGGGTCCACATCGAACACGTCAAAGAGGAAAATAAAGACGTTTTAAACAAATCTTTAAATATATTATACAAAGTAATAAATAAAATCAACAAAAACATATCTAAAATTAATCAAACTTACATCTATATTATTATTTCCATCTTTTCATGCGATCGCGTGTAATGTAAGTCAAATGACATCTCGGCTTTCGTCGCCTTGAATTCTCGGCTCGGACACGATGTTTAATGCTAAAATATATGCATGAAAAATCTTTGTCACAGCTCGTAACCTAGCACGATACATTCACGAAGTTCCATATTTTTAATATATATCGTGATTTCCTGCTCAAAACGTTCAGAACAACACGATTTAACAAAATTCTTTCGCAAACTTCTGTAATTTATCGAACACGAGCTTGGTATCACAGCTGTAATTTGATTGGCTGCCTTAGGTCACGTGTTCAAAATTGACCAATCACGAAACTTGTAGCAGATTTCAGCAAGAAAGCGTCATTAGAAACCAATTTCAATCCAATGAAATCACTTGTTATAACTACGAAAAAAAACCAGTCGATGTTACGAGCGTGTAGATGAAGGAATAAGCTTTCCAGCGATGTGTCATATGCCATTCTTCGACGCACGTGTTATTCATACGAAACCTCGAAAACAGGGGTATTTCTTCATTTTACTGAGCGGACAGTCGCTGTTATCGGGAAATGGGCGATCACAGAAACTATTTATAATTCTTTTTAAAATGATTTTCCAATTACATAAACAATGAAAATAAAACAGAAATAGGTACGTGGATATTATGAAATCATATATTTGCCGAAAATCGTCAAGTTTTCGCTTCCTTGGTCCTTAATCTGGATGTTAACAACGTGTTAGCGTACATTTTTTATTTACAACGAATTTAATTAAGTTGTAAATGCATTTTTTTAAATAATGTGAAAAACATAACTTTCATAATTATAAACCATAGGATCAGACCTTTCAAATGGTGTATAACATGTAGTAGCAAATATATTTTACAAGCAGGTATTTTCTTTGATAAATGTTGGCTTCATCTATCACACAAGAGTCTCTGGGAACTCGGTGTCCCAGCAGTAAACACTTCTGGTTGACTGGTGTTGAAAGAGTTAATTATTTACAGAAAGACGTGCAAAAACTGGAATAATGCTGAGTGCAGTTTTAAACAACAAAAAAACAAATAAAACAAAATATAATCCATTCTATTCAATTTAATATTTTGTGAAAAGTACATATCACTTTTCAGGAAGTGTCAAAAATGTAAACATGACTTGTTATCAGAAATTTAAAAAAGCGAATATGAGTATGACAAATTTCATTCTGATAATTAAAGGTTTTTTCACCTCTGTCATCAATCATGGCTGAAATACTGCTGATGTGACTTTAAATTTAAACTCCCCGCAAAAGCATAAATGTTTCAAAGTTGTTTGGATTGTTTGACAGCAAGAAGGACATCTCTGCAGCCAACTTCACCATGCATGAGGTCCACTGTCGGCGCCACATCGTCCTGTGTCAGCACTGCGATGACCCTGTTCCCCGGTCTGAGATGGAGGACCACTTCAGTGAGCACCATGCCAAGGTCTCCTGTAGTCAGTGTGGGGAAGAGCAGGAGAAGACACAGCTACAGGAGCACATGGTGAGGGGGGAGGGGATAGTCAGGGCTGAATAGTGAGTGAGTGAGAGAGTGAGTGAGTGAGTTGGGGTTAACGTAATAATGCAGAATAAGTATACAAATGTAAAAAATGTTTAAATTTTACTAATTTTAATCGTATTTAAGTCATAAGTCAGCTTAATGTGGGAGGAAAGCCCGAAGTGATGCAGGTCTCAGGTTTATCATTGGTGAAACCCACCAGCACGGGTATGGTGCTGACAAAGCTAGAAACATTATCAGGGTGAACCAGGATTCGAACCAACTCTGCACAGCGATTTGAGGTGCCTTAGACGACTGAGCCACCCATGTCCCGGCTGAATAGAGAGTACTTATGATAAGTCTGTGTGGGGAGGACCAGGTGAAGACACAGCAAAGGGAGCACATGGTGAGGGGGGTGTCAGGGCAGAATAGAGAGTACTAATGATAAGTCTGTGTGGGGAGGACCAGGAGAAGACACAGCAAGGGAGCACATGGTGAGAGGGGTGGGGGGCTGAATAGAGAGTACTAATGATAAGTCTGTGTGGGGAGGACCAGGAGAAGACACAGCAAAGGGAGCACATGGTGAGGGGTGTGTCAGGGCTAAATAGAGAGTACTAATGATAAGTCTGTGTGGGGAGGACCAGGAGAAGACACAGCAAGGGAGCACATGGTGAGGGGGGTGTCAGGGCTGAATAGAGAGTACTAATGATAAGTCTGTGTGAGGAGGACCAGGAGAAGACACAGCAAGGGAGCACATGGTGAGGGGGGTGTCAGGGCTGAATAGAGAGTACTAATGATAAGTCTGTGTGAGGAGGACCAGGAGAAGACACAGCAAGGGAGCACATGGTGAGGGGGGTGTCAGGGCTGAATAGAGAGTACTAATGATAAGTCTGTGTGGGGAGGACCAGGTGAAGACACAGCAAAGGGAGCACATGGTGAGGGGGGTGTCAGGGCTGAATAGAGAGTACTAATGATAAGTCTGTGTGGGGAGGACCAGGAGAAGACACAGCAAGGGAGCACATGGTGAGAGGGGTGGGGGGCTGAATAGAGAGTACTAATGATAAGTCTGTGTGGGGTGGACCAGGAGAAGACACAGCAAAGGGAGCACATGGTGAGGGGTGTGTCAGGGCTAAATAGAGAGTACTAACGATAAGTCTGTGTGGGGAGGACCAGGAGAAGACACAGCAAGGGAGCACATGGTGAGGGGGGTGTCAGGGCTGAATAGAGAGTACTAATGATAAGTCTGTGTGAGGAGGACCAGGAGAAGACACAGCAAAGGGAGCACATGGTGAGAGGGGTGGGGGGCTGAATAGAGAGTACTAATGATAAGTCTGTGTGGAGAGGACCAGGAGAAGACACAGCAAAGGGAGCACATGGTGAGAGGGGTGGGGGGCTGAATAGAGAGTACTAATGATAAGTCTGTGTGGAGAGGACCAGGAGAAGACACAGCAAGGGAGCACATGGTGAGGGGGGTGTCAGGGCTAAATAGAGAGTACTAATGATAAGTCTGTGTGGAGAGGACCAGGAGAAGACACAGCAAGGGAGCACATGGTGAGGGGGGTGTCAGGGCTGAATAGAGAGTACTAATGATAAGTCTGTGTGGGGAGGACCAGGTGAAGACACAGCAAGGGAGCACATGGTGAGGGGGGTGTCAGGGCTGAATAGAGAGTACTAATGATAAGTCTGTGTGGGGTGGACCAGGTGAAGACACAGCAAGGGAGCACATGGTGAGGGGGGGTGTCAGGGCTAAATAGAGAGTACTAATGATAAGTCTGTGTGGAGAGGACCAGGAGAAGACACAGCAAAGGGAGCACATGGTGAGAGGGGTGTCAGGGCTGAATAGAGAGTACTAATGATAAGTCTGTGTGGGGAGGACCAGGAGAAGACACAGCAAAGGGAGCACATGGTGAGGGGTGTGTCAGGGCTAAATAGAGAGTACTAATGATAAGTCTGTGTGGGGTGGACCAGGAGAAGACACAGCAAAGGGAGCACATGGTGAGGGGTGTGTCAGGGCTATATAGAGAGTACTAATGATAAGTCTGTGTGGGGTGGACCAGGAGAAGACACAGCAAAGGGAGCACATGGTGAGGGGTGTGTCAGGGCTATATAGAGAGTACTAATGATAAGTCTGTGTGGGGAGGACCAGGAAAAGACACAGCAAAGGGAGCACATGGTGAGGGGGGTGTCAGGGCTGAATAGAGAGTACTAATGATAAGTCTGTGTGAGGAGGACCAGGAGAAGACACAGCAAAGGGAGCACATGGTGAGGGGGGTGTCAGGGCTGAATAGAGAGTACTAATGATAAGTCTGTGTGGGGAGGACCAGGAGAAGACACAGCAAAGGGAGCACATGGTGAGGGGGGTAGTCAGGGCTGAATAGAGAGTACTAATGATAAGTCTGTGTGAGGAGGACCAGGAGAAGACACAGCAAAGGGAGCACATGGTGAGGGGGGTGTCAGGGCTGAATAGAGAGTACTAATGATAAGTCTGTGTGAGGAGGACCAGGAGAAGACACAGCAAAGGGAGCACATGGTGAGGGGGGTGTCAGGGCTATATAGAGAGTACTAATGATAAGTCTGTGTGGGGTGGACCAGGAAAAGACACAGCAAAGGGAGCACATGGTGAGGGGGCGTGTCAGGGCTGAATAGAGAGTACTAATGATAAGTCTGTGTGAGGAGGACCAGGAGAAGACACAGCAAAGGGAGCACATGGTGAGGGGGGTGTCAGGGCTGAATAGAGAGTACTAATGATAAGTCTGTGTGAGGAGGACCAGGAGAAGACACAGCAAAGGGAGCACATGGTGAGGGGCGTGTCAGTGCTATATAGAGAGTACTAATGATAAGTCTGTGTGAGGAGGACCAGGAGAAGACACAGCAAAGGGAGCACATGGTGAGGGGGGTAGTCAGGGCTGAATAGAGAGTACTAATGATAAGTCTGTGTGAGGAGGACCAGGAGAAGACACAGCAAAGGGAGCACATGGTGAGGGGGGTGTCAGGGCTGAATAGAGAGTACTAATGATAAGTCTGTGTGAGGAGGACCAGGAGAAGACACAGCAAAGGGAGCACATGGTGAGGGGCGTGTCAGTGCTATATAGAGAGTACTAATGATAAGTCTGTGTGAGGAGGACCAGGAGAAGACACAGCAAAGGGAGCACATGGTGAGGGGGGTAGTCAGGGCTGAATAGAGAGTACTAATGATAAGTCTGTGTGAGGAGGACCAGGAGAAGACACAGCAAAGGGAGCACATGGTGAGGGGGGTGTCAGGGCTGAATAGAGAGTACTAATGATAAGTCTGTGTGAGGAGGACCAGGAGAAGACACAGCAAAGGGAGCACATGGTGAGGGGGGTAGTCAGGGCTGAATAGAGAGTACTAATGATAAGTCTGTGTGGGGAGGACCAGGTGAAGACACAGCAAAGGGAGCACATGGTGAGGGGGGTAGTCAGGGCTGAATAGAGAGTACTAATGATAAGTCTGTGTGAGGAGGACCAGGAGAAGACACAGCAAAGGGAGCACATGGTGAGGGGGGTGTCAGGGCTGAATAGAGAGTACTAATGATAAGTCTGTGTGAGGAGGACCAGGAGAAGACACAGCAAAGGGAGCACATGGTGAGGGGGGTAGTCAGGGCTGAATAGAGAGTACTAATGATAAGTCTGTGTGGGGAGGACCAGGTGAAGACACAGCAAAGGGAGCACATGGTGAGGGGGGTAGTCAGGGCTGAATAGAGAGTACTAATGATAAGTCTGTGTGAGGAGGACCAGGTGAAGACACAGCAAAGGGAGCACATGGTGAGAGGGGTGTCAGGGCTGTATAGAGAGTACTGATGATAAGTCTGTGTGGGGAGGACCAGGAGAAGACACAGCAAAGGGAGCACATGGTGAGGGGTGTGTCAGGGCTGAATAGAGAGTACTAATGATAAGTCTGTGTGGGGAGGACCAGGAGAAGACACAGCAAAGGAGCACATGGTGAGAGGGGTGTCAGGGCTGTATAGAGAGTACTGATGATAAGTCTGTGTGGGGAGGACCAGGAGAAGACACAGCAAAGGGAGCACATGGTGAGGGGGCGTGTCAGTGCTATATAGAGAGTACTAATGATAAGTCTGTGGGGGGAGGAACAGGAGAAGACACGGCAAAGGGAGCACATGGTGAGAGGGGGGGTGTCAGGGCTGAATAGAGAGTACTAATGTGTGGATCAGGTGGACACAATGGATGCCATTGATGATTTGTGGTTCAAAATAGAATTCCAACTGTCAGTTGTTAGGTAGTGGATTTGGCTGGACATTAGACATTAGATAATGAGACAAGAAAGATTCTTAGTAGGCTTGTAACTCAGTGGCCTCTCACAGACTGATGGTAAACTGGTTTCCATTTACCCGTGCTTGTCATGTCAAAGTGTGGTGTTGTGGGTGGGTTGGGGAGAGAAGGTAGGGCTGAGACGAGTCTGAATTTACTATCCGGGTACCCACCCACCCCTATTACCCAACCCTACCCAGGTACTCACTGTAGGTCTTAAGAGATAGGTACAAAATGTCCGATTGGGCATTTTACCAGTCCAGGCCCTAAGAGAAGGTATTAGGGATTGGGCTAAAATGTGGTTCAGCTAAAATGTGCCTGTCAAAGCCCTAGTTACGAATGTTGCTTTCTTTCAGGAGGGCGCCTGTAGCAAGAGGCCAATACGTTGCGTCTACTGTGAGCTGGAGCTGCCTCGGTGTGACGTGAACTCCCACCAGGACTACTGCGGCACCAGGACGGAGCCCTGCCCAAAGTGTGCCCAGTTCATCATGAAGAAGGACCTGCTTCAACACGAGGCCAGCAATTGTGACTATCCAGCCCCCAAACCCGCCACAAACGGCCATGAGGGGGATCGGGATAGAGACAGATTTGTGGACTTTCCCGAATATGGTTATGAGTTTGCGGATGCCGGGTTTGACAATGCGTTTGCAATGGATGAACTGTCCAGGATGATGGAGAACACCAGGATGCAGGGGACTCTCAACTCCCAGCTTGATATTCCTGGGTTCGGTCGGCCGAGGAATGTTCCGGGAACACAGGCCAGGTCGTACACCAATAATAACACCACACGCACCCGGAAGAGCACAACCAACAGAAAGTCGGAACTGAATAGACAGAGGCAGAGAGGTACTGTCGGGGTTTTCTATCAGGCAGGGAAGTTGAAAATTACATAAATTAAGCATCGGGTTTGTATGGGTCATTGAATCCTGGAGAAGTCATGGAACTTTCGTTTTGAGTTTTCCAGTCCTTAAATCGATTTGGAAAAGTCATTGAAAAATAATATTTTTATGCCAGTTTTTTTTATTTCTGATGATCAATCAGTGACAGGCAAATAAATGCTTTGTTCAAATGTGATAAAGTTTGAATTAATTAAGTAAATAAGTTTTGTCGTGATTTATTTCGATGGATAATTTGCATAATACCCTGGAAATGTGTTTTGCTAATCATGCTAAAAGCGTTTGAACCCTGTGTAAAAGTTTATTCAAGTAACTGTTTAACACTTGAAATAATTCCAGATATTGCAGACAATATTTGGTTATTAATTATGGTAATAATGCTTTTATTCTGTCTTTGAATTAAATAAGATGACATGGTCCTGCCTGGAACCCAGGTAGATAGTTTAGTAACACATGTGTTGCTACAGTTTCGGAGCCGGATCCTGCAGATGATGAAGACGTGGATGAGGACCTGATGCTGGCCCTGAGGCTCCAGCATGAGGAGGACCAGGACATCGGACACCTCATACGCCAGATTGAGAAGACCTCGCCACCGGTCCAGACCCCGGTCTCACCTGCTACATCCCCTGCTAATGTGAACACCTTCCCTGATGGTAGGTCACCTCACCACCAGTCCAGACCATGGTCTCACCTGCTACATCCCCTGCTAATGTTAACATCTTCCCTGACGGTAGGTCACCTCGCCACCGGTCAAGACCCCGGTCTCACCTGCTACATCCCCCGCTAATGTCAACACCTTCCCTGACGGTAGGTCACCTCGCCACCGGTCAAGACCCCGGTCTCACCTGCTACATCCCCCGCTAATGTCAACACCTTCCCTGACGGTAGGTCACCTCGCCACTGGTCCAGACCCTGGTCTCACCTAATACATCCCCTGTTAATGTCAACACCTGTCCTGACGGTGGGTCACCTGTCTCCTCCGCCACGTCCCCCGCTAATGTAAACACCTGTCCTGACGGTGGGTCACCTGTCTCCTCCGCCACGTCCCCCGCTAATGTAAACACCTGTCCTGACGGTGGGTCACCTGTCTCCTCCGCCATGTCCCCTGCTAATGTCAACACCTGTCTCCTCCGCCATGTCCCCTGCTAATGTCAACACCTGTCCTGACGGTGGGTCACCTGTCTCCTCCGCCATGTCCCCTGCTAATGTCAACAGCTGTCCTGACGGTGGGTCACCTGTCTTCTCCGCCATGTCCCCTGCTAATGTAAACACCTGTCCTGACGGTGGGTCACCTGTCTCCTCCGCCATGTCCCCTGCTAATGTCAACACCTGTCCTGACGGTGGGTCACCTGTCTCCTCCGCCATGTCCCCGCTAATGTCAACACCTGTCCTGATGGTGGGTCACCTGTCTCCTCCGCCATGTCCCCTGCTAATGTAAACACCTGTCCTGACGGTGGGTCACCTGTCTCCTCCGCCATGTCCCCTGCTAATGTCAACACCTGTCCTGACGGTGGGTCACCTGTCTCCTCCGCCATGTCCCCTGCTAATGTCAACACCTGTCCTGATGGTGGGTCACCTGTCTCCTCCGCCATGTCCCCTGCTAATGTAAACACCTGTCCTGACGGTGTGTCACCTGTCTCCTCCGCCATGTCCCCTGCTAATGTAAACACCTGTCCTGACGGTGGGTCACCTGTCTCCTCCGCCATGTCCCCTGCTAATGTCAACACCTGTCCTGACGGTGGGTCACCTGTCTCCTCCGCCATGTCCCCTGCTAATGTCAACACCTGTCCTGATGGTGGGTCACCTGTCTCCTCCGCCATGTCCCCTGCTAATGTAAACACCTGTCCTGACGGTGTGTCACGTGTCTCCTCCGCCATGTCCCCTGCTAATGTCAACACCTGTCCTGATGGTGGGTCACCTGTCTCCTCCAGTGATCAGATCGTATGGGTCGCTATGCACAAACTATGTGTGTGACCCATTTCTTTGGGTTGTGACCATGGTGATGCTGGGTGTGTTCGGGTTAATTGTTTTTTGAACTGGAGACGTTTTGAAGCACGTTTCCACACAGGATCGAAACAAGAGAGAAGAAATGCATAGTGTGAAAAAGGATAAGTATATAAATATAAAATATATTTGAAAATTTTCTATTCTTCATTGTAGATGATGACTTAATTCCCTGTGAATTTTGTGGCGAGCCATTTCCTATTGACATCTTGGTGCAACATCAGGTAAGAGATGATAGTTACTTCATCAGGTAGGTGATGGGCAGTTTGATTCGGCCATTGTTTGTAGTAGGCAGAAAACTAATTTAAACTCATAAGCAATCATATAGAAGAGTGCAGGCAAAGGGAGATAACTCTACCATTAAACTTAGCGCTAAAATGATCATAACTCCCATGCGTTACATTGACTTAGGCCTTTTCTTAGGGTGGGGAGACGTTGCAATAAAAACCATCATTTAAAGATAATACTTTTAATCACTTCAGAGGTGAAAATCTTTTGGATAGAATATGAAAAAAAATATTTCTGGAATCTTGCTACTCAGTAATGAGACATCAAAACTCACTTATATGCAATAAGAATGGCTTCTGCAATGATTTACATGACATTGCAGTGTTGACACAAAGGGGAAGTAACTCCAGACACATCCTGGTACCTTGTCATCACAGAATTGTCTATTTTTTTCACCTACTGAACTGATTTGTTTGAAGCAAATGCTAGTGATACTGAGAGGTGGAATCTGATTGGTCCATAGGAGAGGCATAGAAGGGACATAACTCGTAATAACCACTGGTGGCGCTATGATCAAGCGCAGGAATTCCAGCCTAGTTCGGCAAGGGTGGAAACTGGACTTTTAAAGTCAGTTAACTCTCTTGCCTCGGGAAAATGGTAAAATATTTGTTACCATGTTGACATTATCTGCAAAATGATGAGAGAGAAGGTTTTACCTTTTCACAGTCTCCCTTGTTGTCCAACCGTCCCTTGTCAAGGCTCTGAGAGCCAAGCTGGCATAGTGTTCTAAGATTTGGTGCCATTTGTCACAATGTGTTGTACCCTGACAATGCTTGTTTGTGTACAGAGTACCTGTGACCCGTTGTCCACTGGCAACTGGAACGAGGACACCAGCTGGAGGGGGGAGCGGAACAACGAGGTGGAAGGGGGTTCGCGAGGAAGGGGCATAGCAATACCTGTGATCAACAACCTGGACAGCCAGTGGACAGCGCCGGTTCGGGAAATCCCCATCCAGAGGGAATGGTAGGGACAAAGTCTGTGGGTGATATCTGCATTATAATCCCACCATTCCAAGTGGAGTGGTATATGGCAGTTAGAACTGTACAGTATTTCTGGTATACTGATATACCATGTATATATACTTCAATCTGATTCATTTTTTCATGTTCATTATTATTTATATCATTTAATCTAAAATCTACCCAGAAATTCATTCACTAATCATGTTTCCCCTCCATATTGACTGACAAAACAGCAGAAACATTGAAGTGATTTTTTCTCTCATGTTGTTATCTCCCCTGTATCCATGACAACAAAATGGCGGCAAGTGACCATATTTACTCTAGTATGTAGAAGCTAGGATCTGCATGTACAATCAGTGTTAATTATTGTCAATCACTTTAGTTCCCGATATATCGCAATAAGTATCATAATACATTGCAATACAAATTATTTGCCAATAATGGCAACAGCTGTTCCATCAGACTGAATAATTTTAGAAAATGGTATTTAAACTTTTTGGAATTAATTTCAGATGGTAACTTAGGATCAATTGATTTTGTTGGTTCGATAATTTTGGGTGAGTGATGTTTTGTGTTGTGTACATTTCAGGGAGAGCCCACCTCTCACGCCCCCTGGTGACTTTTTAGATGAGGCAGGGGAGGTAATTCTTCCATGCGAGTTCTGTGCGGAGCCTTTTCCTTATGAACTTCTTATTCAACACCAGGTAGTAATTTATTGAATCACTTTTTTAAGTTCAGTTTAGTATACATTATCTTGACATGGGTAAATATATCGGGGTGTTGGTGTATGTTGGTGTGAACAAACTGGAAAATTGCAACATGGTTTTCAACTGAAAAATAGATTTGCATTAATGTCTCCAAGATCTGGAATAAGGATTCTGCTGAGAATATTAACTGACATTGACTGAGTTTGAGTTCACAAAGTTTTACTGCATTAGAATTGAACATGCAGACCAGTGTTACGCAATTTGTTTATCATGATTATTAAAAAGACCACTCATGTTGCTCTTTCAAAATGTAGTGAATATGCTAGCGACAAATGTGGTAAGGATATTTTCATCCAGGAAATTATGTCTACTAGCCAAATAGTGATAGCATATAGCAATATCCTCCAAAATGTTTGAAATTCTACTAGCCTATAGGATACCTGTAACATTAACAACACTAGTCCGGTCTAGCGAGATAATACTATTAACCCTAGTGGTAGAGAGTCCGCCCGGAGAGCGAAGGTCTGTTAAAAGATGGTACTTGTTGTTACCCTGCCTGGCACTTGGCATCAAGGAGCTAAATCAAGGAGTCGGCTCGGAGTCTGTGTCTGTGTGTCTTTGTTGGGTATTCATGTTAAACTGCGGCTAGTACAAGCAGCTACACACACATGTGAATACACGTCGTTATATAAGTGCAATAATCTTGGACACTCTGTTAAACCCCATTTCATCTCATCTCTTTGTTCTTCATGTTCTTGGTAACCTTGTCAATAAACACGCGCGTGATCGCGAGAATTTCATGTTGACATAGAATCGTCAAACAAAAACAAATATGACTTTTAAGGAGTCAAAGTATGTCATTTATGATCTACGTATCCATTCTCTGTCAACTAAAGTTCGTTTCAAGGCGTCAATAGCGGTATTCTGACCGTGGTTGCTGTTAATAACGGTGAGTTGTGCGATCTTCCGATCGCTTCACACACGATTTCGCCGAAATTAATAAAAACAATATTAAAAGGAATTTTTAATTAAATTAATGAAATAAGTTACAAACATAAATCCAGATATACAAAGAACACTTTTTATAGCCAGACAGTGTAATTACATGATTAATTTGCGTACTTCAGTATGGATTTGTTGACATGGTATTTCCGGTGTTACGTGCTCACGGTAATGTCTTTCCATGGGGGAAAAAAACATCCAAACTCATAATTCGTGTATAATGCGCAACCCCTTCTACACAGCTGTGTTTTTTGGAAAAAAAAGTGTGCACTATACTCAAGAAAATACGGTAATAATTACAAACAAAACACTGCTGACCCATGTAGAGAACATGCCAAGTACAGCAACAGCAGTCCTGGTGAATAAATAAACAAACAAACAACATAGGTGGAACCTGTGTAATATTTGTCAGTGACACAAGCTATGTCATTTGAATATGCAATATTTAGAATTTCCTGCTTTTGATTTTTGGAAGTTAGATCACATGTCAAGCAGTTGAAGTTAAGATCTGTGAAGATCCGGGGAAGAATAAGTCTTCAGCAATCGTATCCTGATTGTGTAGATCAATATTGTTCTGTATTCTGTAAAGGTTTATAACAAATGTTGAATTTTTAGTCTGTGTGTGACCTCAACCCCACCATGACGCCCCGGGTTCAAACCCCAGCAACCCCATCACAAGGAAAACCTCATTTGCGGAACAAAAACCTCCTGTCGCTAACTGCCCAAGAAATGTTGATGGGTGAGTCAAGGTCACATCGGCACCAAGGTCTTCCAACATTCGGTGAGGACTCGGGAGATGAGATCATCGACCATTTGCAAGGATCAAGGAATGGTGGAAGGCCTCGCAACAGTGGTGCTCGGAACAACACCCCAAGTTCCAGGTCTGTTGCTAGCAAATATGGTGCAGCAGTCAATCGTTTTGATGAACATTTGACGAAAGGGTCAAGGCCATCCCAGAGGTCACGTGATGATGTTAGTGGTCGGACATCTAACTCAGACAGGGCTGGTGGGAGAACAGGAAACTCCAGACGAGGCAGCGAGACCCGGACTCGGAGTACACTGGACGAGTTGCTGAAGGAGCCCGATGCCGACAACGACCTTCTAGTCCCTGTAGGAAGCTCAAAGAAGAAGGCAGCCAAAAATGAGGACAACTTGGTTAAACGTGGATCTACATCAACAGGTAATGTGTGTGTTGATCACAGGTGTCATCAAACAGAGTACCGGCTCTATAATATAGGTCGAAAGAGTGCAGATTCTGTGATAAATAGTACATGGTGTTTGATAAATAGTACATGCTGTATGATAAATAGTACATGGTGTTTGATAAATAGTACATGCTGTATGATAAATAGTACATGGTGTTTGATAAATAGTACATGCTGTATGATAAATAGTACATGCTGTATGATAAATAGTACATGCTCCATGATAAATAGTACATGGTCTATGATAAATAGTACATGCTCTATAATAAATAGTACATGCTCTATGAGACCCGTGAAGATTCCGGGGTAGAATAGGTCTTCGGCAACCCATACTTACCCTAAAAGGCGACTATGCTTGTCGCAAAACTAACGGGATCGGGTGGTCAGGCTCGCTGACTTGGTTGATACATGTCATCGATCCCAATTGCATGGATCCATGCTCATGATGTCAATCACTGGATTGTCTGGTCCAGACACGATTACTTTACCGACCACTGTCATATAGCTGGAATATTGCTGAGTGCGGCGTTTAACAACAAACAAACAACATGGTCTCTATGATTAATAGTACATGGTCTATGATAAATAGTACATGCTGTATGGTAAATAGTACATGGTCTATGATAAATAGTACATGGTCTAAGATAAATAGTACATGCTCTATGATTAATAGTACATGGTCTATGATAAATAGTACATGCTGTATGGTAAATAGTACATGGTCTATGATAAATAGTACATGGTCTAAGATAAATAGTACATGCTCTATGATAAATAGTACATGCTTTATGATAAATAGTACATGCTCTATGATAAATAGTACATGCACTATGTCAGATAGTCCATGCTCTATGATAAATAGCACATGCTAGCAGCTCACTCACTCACTCACTCACTCACTCACTCACTCACTCACTCACTCACTCACTCGTGTTTTGTAGGTGCCAAGAAGAAGCTGGCTACCAGCACCAGTGCCTCTGCCCGCGACGTGATGCGGGAACTCAACCGTCCAACCAATCCCCCTTCAAACAGTCACAAGCCCAGTAGGAGAAGGTAGGACTGACATCAGCAGTTTCATGTCATTACAACGGAATTCTACATGTTTTCAATATGAGGGTCGTAAGTCCCTTTATGCATGCTGGAGAGGCGATCGGGGGGTCGCAGATCCCTTTCTGCAAATTGTCGACATTTTGGTGTTCCTCCAGTGTTGTTTGAATGACAGGTTAGCTGCCACCTACATTCAGGGATACTCCACGTCTATTTCCACATTTCAACGACTCAAAGCAAACGCTGTCACGATCTTTTGTGGCTAAAATCTTGGCAGCATATGCAGTGATAGGCACTGCCAATAGAGGGCTTCAAAACCCACATTCTTCTCATGTTGTTTGTCCTTTTCTGGTGACTGACACAAAGACAAAATACAATACTACTAAGTGTGCACTAGTTGGTGGACAGGCGGCTCCTTGAAACAAGAGTTGTCGTACTTACAATAGCGACCGCCCCCGTGATCTGGTGGTAGAGTGTCCGCCCAGAGTGAGGAAGGTCTGGGGTTGGATCCCCGACCGCGTCATACCAAAAGACGTTAAAAGATGGCACTTGTTGTTACCCTGTCTGGCTCTCGGCATAAAGGGGCTAAAACAAGGACTGGTCGGCTCAGAGTCAGTATACTTGTGTCTAAGTGGGATATTCATGTTAAACTGAGGCATGGTATCTCAGTGAGCTAGCACTATAAATCGGCATCGGTCCGGACTAGTACAATCAGACACATACACACACAAAAGAATGAACGTTGCTATAAAAGTGTAATAATCTTGGACACGACGTTAAACCCAATTTCACCTCACCTCACCTCACCTCACCTCACCTCACCTCACCTCACCTCACCTCACTTACAATAGCACTTGGTTGTTTCCTGGAGAAGCTTCTAACACTGCACTTACATAGCACGACATGGTCTTTCCTTGTTCATGGCTTTGTACAGTTATCAGAGGGGACATCATGTTACTTATTTCAGCATCCTCGGTTACTTGTGAATCACTGCTGATTTTGTAAGGTATGTCATGATGTTCATTGGCATGGATGGCCCTGTTGTCTAAAATTCTGCATTTCACTGTGCAGAGTTGCATCCCTTAGACGCACCAGGAACCTACGATCATTAGTTTTGTCAACACCAAACCTGTGTTCGTGAGTTTCACCAAAGTGGTAAACATCTAAAACCAGCATCACTTTGAGTTTCCCTCCCACATTAAACTGACTGTGATGCAACTGAAGTCTGTTTAAAACAGCATTAAACACAACTCACTTACTTACTTTCAATTGCTGGTTTGGACCTGTGAAGATCCGGGGTAGAATAGGTATTCAGCAACCCATGCTTGACGCAAAAGGCGACTATGCTTGTCGTACAAGTTGACTAACGGAATCGGGTGGACAGGCTCGTTGACTTGGTTGATGCATGTCAGCGATTCCAATGGCGTGGAACGATGCTCATGATGTCATTCACTGGATTGTCTGGTCCAGACTCGATTATTAACAGACCGCTGTCAAATAGCTGGAATATTGCTGAGTGCGGCGTTCAGCAACAAACAAACAATTGCTGGTTTGCTTTGTACAAACTCAAGTGCTTCCAGTCTGAGAAAGCAGCACTATTGCTGACAGTGGTTTAACCCACCTATTCGACTCCATGGGGATTCTGGGTTACAATTGGTCCCCCTAAACCTTTGCTGATTGTAAGAGTCATCAATGTGTAGCGGCCATAAAATTTCCGAGTCTCGTGATGGGATTCAAACCATGGACCTTCTGATCCAAGGTCGGACGCCTTGTCCACATGACCAAAGAGGTTAACCCCGTCAGCAAGCTGACAAGGTAAAGAGGGCATCTTTGGATGACTCCACGCCCTGCTACATACTCCCCCGTCAACAGAAGGCACGTCCCGGGCCGCATAGTAGGGTACTGAGGCTTATTTTGCTCAAATTTAATATGAAAGTGCTCAGCCCCACGTTGGGCGCCAATGTAGCGGCCATAAAATTTCCGAGTCCCGTGATGGGATTCGAACCACGGACCTTCTTATCCGAGGTTGGACACCTTGTCGACATGACCAAAGAGGTTAACCCCGTCAGCAAGCTGACAAGGTAAGGATGTCATCTGTGGGATGACTCCACGCCCCCTGCTACAAATGGATCAGGTGGTTAGACTCGGTGTCTCGTTTCTTACATGTCATCGTACCCCCACGGCATGGATCGTTGCTATCGTATCGAATGCTGGATTGTCTGGTCCAGACTCAATTATTTACAGACCACCATCATGTTGCTGGAATTCTGCTGAGTGCGGCGTTAAACAACAAACAAATGAGATCGGATAAGGCTTAAGATCGTGTGTAACAAAGGGCTGTGGAATTAATTATCAATGTTCTTCTATTCATTATTCCATGATGTTTATAATTCCTTCGACTACCCTACCTCCACACTCCGGCGCAGTCGGTGACTTATAACACTACTGCCACAGGCTAATTTGCATATCACGTGATCAGACTTTTCTCTTGTTTGTAAACACACACGCTTTTTCAGAAATCAGAATAGAACGGACTAATGCAAGTATTTGACGGGGCTTTACATATGTTTTGCATAATTATATAGATATACTACTACAACTGCGACAGTGAGTTGCATGACAATACATATTTACACATAAGAGTTACCGTATCGCTAGCTCTCTGTAGGGATTCGATGACAGTACAAGGAGCCATACCACCAATGTAAGCATAGGATAACTACGCAAATAGAAATAGTTTTTCACTCCCTCATTTAGGATATTTTCTCAATGAACCATTCTGTGTTTATCTATATGTGTAGACTTGTAAAAAATGAAACAGATGGAACACATATCTGATATCTTGAATGGACTGTGTAAGTTGTGACGAATCATCACATGGCGCTGGCTTGTGGCAGATGTACTATGTATTGGAGAAAACACGCTCATGAGGTTTTGGTAGACAGAGCATACCCTGGGGAGAGGGAAAAACCAAGAGGGCGAACCGCGTTTTTTTGCTCTGTCTACCAAAACGAAGGAAAAGTGTTTTTCCATGCTTATAAACCGAAAAAAGAAACTTAAAACATTTATCAACATTTTTATGTTTCGAACATACTTTCCATGAACCTTAGGAAACGCGCGTAAAATATCAGTTGCTGGCGTACGGATCTTGAAAAGGACATTCTAAAAACCAGTGAGGCTTATCAACACCTCTGTAGCCTCGTGGTACACTCACTGGGCTACAGATATGAAGGTTGCGAGTTCGATCCTCGGGAATATAAAGAAAACATTTGTCATTTGATTTTACATTTCATTACATGTTACAATCTGAACGGAAGTTATATTAATAAAATACCCAGGACATTATATAAAATCCCTGGGATATTATATAAAATCCCAGGGACATTACAATGTCCCTGTTTATGAGATTAAAACCGACTGGAAAGTAAAACCTCACAATAGGTCTTAATGCCTATAGAAAGAAGTCTCTTACTTAATAGCTATCCCAATGAATAGGTTTATATCTTGAATGGACTGTGTAAGATGTGATGAATCATCACATGGTGCTGGCTTGTGGCAGGTGTACTATGCTGGTCGCATGGAACTCTGGGTAGAAGAGTGCCCTACCTCAGCGAAGGATAGGGTTTTACTTTTAGATATGTTGACAGTGAAGAGGACGTCTGTTGAAAAATTATGAAATTTAAAGGTGTGATTCTCAACCTGAATAGGAATTTAAGGCTATGATGGAATAGGGAAAGAATTCCTAGAATGACACATAATGATAACTGTTGTTTGATTTCAGAACAAATGGAAGCCTCAATGATGATAGCACCCCACCATTTCAAATCCAGGCTGTAGGTCAACCTCGTCCCAGACATCGCACGACCCAGGTGTTTAATCCTGAGGTCAGGGGTCCGAATAGTGAAACCAGATCTCGGAGAAAGGTGAGAGTAAATCTAGGGTTAACATTATTACAAGTTGTTAACTATAAGTGGACAGTATTATTGTGTAGCAGGCCAATAAGTCCTAGGTTCACCATGACTCAAGACATCTACATGTTTGATCCAGTTTGAAAATACATATTCTATTTCCTTTTTATCCCCCGCCGCGCGAAAGCGCGAAGCGGGGGATATAGTATTCACGACCGTCCGTACGTCCGTCCGTACGTCCCACCTGTTTGTTGCCGCGATATCTCAAGAACTAAACACTGGATTGTCTTCATATTTGGAACTATGGTGTATATACAGACTCCGCAGACACCAGTCGGTTTTGGTGACCTTGATCCCATTTTCAAGGTCACAGCAGACAAATCTGCTTTTAGAGTTGGAAAACGGTGTTGCCGCGATATCTCAAGAACTAAACACTGGATTGTCTTCATATTTGGAACTATGGTGTATATACAGACTCCGCAGACACCAGTCGGTTTTGGTGACCTTGATCCCATTTTCAAGGTCACAGCAGACAAATCTGCTTTTAGAGTTGGAAAACGGTGTTGCCGCGATATCTCAAGAACTAAACACTGGATTGTCTTCATATTTGGAACTATGGTGTATATACAGACTCCGCAGACACCAGTCGGTTTTGGTGACCTTGATCCCATTTTCAAGGTCACAGCAGGCAAATCTGCTTTTGGAGTTAGAAAACGGTGTTGCCGCGATATCTCAAGAACTAATCGCTGGATTATCTTCATATTTGGAACTATGGTGTATATACAGACTCCCCAGACACCAGTCGGTTTTGGTGACCTTGATCCCATTTTAAAGGTCACAGCAGGCAAATCTGCTTTTGGAGTTAGAAAACGGTGTTGCCGCGATATCTCAAGAACTAATCGCTGGATTGTCTTCATATTTGGAACTATGGTGTATATACAGACACCGCATACACCTGTCAGATTTGGTGACCTTGATCCCATTTTCAAGGTCACAGCAGGCAAATCTGTTTTTGGAGTTGGAAAACGGTGTTGCCACAATATCTCAAGAACTAATCGCTGGATTGTCTTCATATTTGGTACTATGGTGTATATGGCGGGGGATATTTCGTCACTCTGTGACAAATACTTGTTATATCACTGTTGTTTTGTTTGTTTGTTGTTTAACAATATTCCAGATATATGACTGGATTGTCTTGGTGCTTGCTACTTATTCTTCTCAAGGGGCGGTCGGGTAGCCTAGTGGTTAAAGCGTTCGCTTGTTAGACGAAGACCTGGGTTCGATTCCCGACATGGGTACAATGTGTGAAGCCCATTTCTGGTGTCCCTCGCCGTGATATTGCTGGAATATTGCTAAAAGCGGTGTAAAACCAAACTCACTCATTCAATCTTCTTCTCAAGGTTATCTACAAGATTTTCCAAATAAGAGGAATATTAAATTTATTGTAAAGTTATCAAATTTATACTGATGTACTGATGACTGTGTTACAGCCTCCCACTCGGAGACCATACGAAGAGGATGATGATAATATATGAAGCCCATCCAAGATGCCAATCCAGCGATGACCTGTCAGCTTCTTAGTAGCAAATATTTTGCATTTTCCTGCGTTTAGTCTTGCAGTCGTGTCCAGGAGAAGTTGAAGGTCACATTGCCTCCCATTGTATGTCCTTGTCAGTACTTCACGGGTTGGTATACACTACGTTCCCTAACAAACCCTTTTGTCTTTAGTTGGTTTACAGATTTGACTCAATGCATGTCATTGTACCCCAATTGCATAGATCTATATTCATGATGTCAATCACTGGATTGTCTTGTCCAGACTTAATCATTTACTTACCGCCGTCATATAGCTGGAATATTGCTTGGTGTGGCCTGACCACCTGATCCCGTTAGTCGCCTCTTACGACAAGCATAGTCGCCTTTTACGGCAAGCATGTCGGCCCAATGTATTCATGGGAGTATGAGGTGAATGGGGTTTAATGTTGTGTTGGAGATTATTGCACTTTTGTCAGTGAGTGAGAATGGTTTTGACGACGCTTTTTGCAATAATCCAGCAATATCACGGCTGGGGACACCAGAAATGGGCTTCACACATTGTACCCATGTCCGGAACCGAACCCGGGTCTTCGGTGTGACAAGTGAACCCTTTAACCACTAAGCTACCCGACTGCCCCATTGCAAACAGTCTACTGACTCTGAGCCAACCAGTCCTTGTTTTAACCCTTTTATACTCAGTGCCAGACAGGGTGACAGCATCCTTTCCTAAGACCCAGACGGGGATCGAATACTGATCTCCTTTCCGGGCAGACACTCTATCCACTAGACCACGGAGGCAGTCCACGGGTGTTGGGAACGTAGTGTATACAAACTTGTGCAGAATGACAATGTTAGGTTACTGCTGGTCAGACAATGGCTGCTTCATCATTGATTAATTAACAGTGTGAGCTATATCAGCACAAAATCTGTCCCCTATGGGGATTCTTGGGTAGAATATGCCCCAACTATCCCATGCTTGTATAATAGGAGCTAAAAAGAATCAGGGTGCTGTTCTTAGCGCTAAGGTGGTCGTAACTCCTGTACCTTAACATAGAAATTTTGCAGTCGTAGCGCTACGGTTGTTGTGTACAACGGCACCCAGGAGGTCAGGTTCAGTGACTTGGTTGAGCGTATGTCATTATGGCCTGATGATGTGATCATTCCTGTGCCAGGGATTTATCTAGACCTGATCAGAGGCCAATATTCACATTGGCATTAAGAATATCCCACTTCATGTTAATATCTAATGTGATGGCTTTATAGAGGTAACTTGTATATCACTGGAAACAGGACCAGTAAAGAGAAAGAGGCTTTAGCGCTTATATTTACATAATTGCAAGGTTAAAATACAGAATTTAGGAAAATAAGTTTTAAGAAATCCCAAATTGAACAAAATGATTTTTTTTCCTACTTTGCCTGTGATTGGCGCTTGGTTTAGAATCCTTGAAAAAATTATGGATGCTTAGATTTCTAGTCAAAGCAGTAATGTTGCAGACATGAATTGTTGCTCATAATATCAATCAGTGGTTTGTCTGGTCCAAACTAGATTACCTACAGGCCATCATCATATGGTAGAACATTGCTGACTGGCATTAAATAACATTACACACCTTAACGAATGTCTGGTAGTACCTATCTTGACGGGTGCAGACATATGATATCAGTGACAACTATGTGAGAAAGGATGTTCCAAAGTCATGACCCAACACTGACTGTAAGTGGAATTCAGTGTACTCGGTCAAATCTCAAAGTAGTGACTGGCTAACTAGAAACCACAAGTAGATACTATGTGTTTAGTCCATGATTTGCCAAATAACGAGATTTCAACTGTTCTCGTATTCTGTCAAAATGTCACTTATGACAACAACTGTCTACAAAAATCTTCTTGTCTGTAAGTCAAACTTACAGGTCAGGCAAGATCATCTTCCCGAGGCAAGAGAGTTAACTGACTTTAAAAGTCCAGTTTCCACCCTTGCCGAACTAGGCTGGAATTCCTGGGCTCAATCGTAGTGCCACCAGTGGCTGTTACGAGTTCTATGCCTCTCCTATGGACCAATCAGATTTCACCTCTCGTATCACTTGCATTTGCTTCAAACAAAACGGTGGCGCCCCGTCAAGATGATCTGATCGATAATCAAGATCTATATTGTGATAAAACGAGTCTCACATCACGGAGTGCATCAAATCATGTGAGCACCTTGATTAAATACATGAAAAGATTTAGAAAATAACTGTTGACAACGAGTTGGCGGTGCACATGCTTTGCAAATCCTCCAATCGACCGAAATCTGCATGACAGTTATGAACCGGATTTTGATTTCGGAGCGCGATTGTGATTGGACTATGCATAGCCTCGTTAGTCCAGCCAAAATGTAACTCCATAATACCAGCCTAGTTCAGCAAGGGAGGAAACTGGACTTTTAAAGTCAGTTAACTCTATTGCCTTGGGAAGATGGGCAAGGTGAGCTTGGCAGAGAGCATTTACCGATATAGGTCTCTGGGCTTGATAAATCTACACTCCGACTCAGCTGCACAGCCTAGAGATGAAGATCATTAGACACTGTGACCATCTCATGTTGGGGATAGAGGTTTGTTTGTTGTTTAACGCTGCACTCAGCAATGTTCCAGCTATATGACTGTGGGGATAATGATTTGTCTGCCAGTGCAATGATTGGTGTCCTGGTGTCCCCCGTGTGATTTTGCTGGAATGTTGCTAAAAGCGGTGTAAAACAATACTTACTCACTCACCCACTCACTGAATCGATTACACCTACATGGACATCATAAAGTAACAGTATTCCTGAGATAATGATGTGATTCTTTTACCAAACTTAACATAATTTTGGTCCCTCCTTATATTATACAACTCATAAGAAGCTCAAGAACACCTGATTTTGTCATATGACTATAGTTAATCTGTCATGGCGGGTGGGTATTGTGACAGCCAATTGTGGGTGTTCTTTTACTTGTTTTGAGTCGTATACATGAAAGTCCCCCTCTTGGGATAAATTCTGCCTGAAATAATAAGATGTTACCACATTATGTGACACTCATTTCAAAAATGTAAAAGAAAACACTACATACACGAGTGCTGTATTTATATTTAATATATTAGCAGATGCTTTTTCTTTAGTGCTACAAACAAATTATTTAATTTCTTAATTTGTAGGGGGCACAGGTGGCCCAGTCGTCTAAGGCGCCGCGATTCGCTGTGCAGAGTTGCGTCCCTTGGGCACTCCAGAAACCTATCATTGTAGGTTTGAATCCTGGTTCGCCCCGATTATGCGTCTAGGTTTGTCAGCACCATACCCGTACTTGTGGGTTTCACTGAAGTGGTAAACGTCTAAGACCGGCATCACTTAGGGCTTTCCTCCCATATTAAGCTGACACACCGCGATATAACTGAAATAACTGTTAAAAGCGGCGTTAAACCCAACTCACTCACTCTTAATTGTAAATGTTTTCCTACAAATGTTATAAGGTTAACCATCTTTGATAATTTTTCCTAATGAATTTGTTAAGATGACATCCAGTAACTGGAATAAGTTTGATCAAAACAAGGCTGTGAACATTTCTCAATGGAGCGAAAACCCAAATGCCAAACATTGTATTGTGTGTGTTATGATGATCACTGTGTTATTTAATCTGAAACAACTGCTGGTATATCAGGCTTCTGGTCCCTGCTCCACAAAGTGCTCTTCATGCTAAGATGATCATAACTCCCATACTTCTAAAGAGACCCAAGACAGTCGTAGCGCTAAGATCACTTTATGGAACGGGCACTGACATTCTCAGTATTTGCGGCGTTATTTATTGTAAACCTTAAAGTGTTATCATGGATTTTATTCACTGATATTGAACAAGAAAGTTGCAAAGTTTGCTTGATCTAACAGAGCCCTTGGCCCTGTTCCAATAAGCGATCTTAGCGCTAAGATGATCGTAATCTTCGGTTAACCTAAAATCAAAACACAAATAAAAAAACAGGGCCCCATTTCAGGAAGCTATGTTTGTGGTAGGCCAGTCATTACTCCCATACCTTAACATAGCCTAGCGACAGCCATAGCTCTATGATTGCATGGCTGTGGGTCCTTGTATAACCTGACTATATAAGCCATGACTATCATAAGTCTGTGTTAAGTATGGGAAAAACGATCAGCTTAGAGCTAAGATAGCTTTGTGGAAGTCCTGGCTTTTGAATTTCTGTTAATTTTTAGGTTAATCGATACAAATGATCATGAAACTTGTTGCATATTTTCTACCCAGTATACTGGAACACAGAAAAAATATTGCAATACTGATCTTTTAAGAAGAGTATTGCAGTATGCTGGTAATATAGTAATGTCCTATGTATTTGTACTGTTTACTTGTGAAACGATCATGTGGCCAGGCTGACAGGGAATACTCATGTGATTGGTTAATTATGATTGTCCCTAATCCAATAAGAATGAGTATTTCATGACAGGCTTTAAGGTAAAGCTACCTGAGAAAAAATCAGTTTGGTTTTGTATTATTTGACAGTCATTTTAATCTGGGGAATTTTAGTCCGATTTGATACCTCTTTGCATGAAGATCTGACACCTCCATAGGCTATACAGAAATGAGATGTTCTTGTCTGAATCCTTGTTGTTGATTGGAGAATTTAGAAGCCTCAGCTCTGATTGGTTGATTGGAAAGTTCACCTGACCCGACCTTGACCTCCTACGGAGGTGTGGTCATGTGGTCATGCAGAGACGTATTATACTGGAGTAAAAATCTGATTTTAATGAAATTGAAATGCAAAACTTATAAATGATAACTTTTTGAAAAGATACAGAATTAAAAAATGAAATTGAACTAAACGTATTGTTTACCATATCATCAATTACAATTGATTGTAAATTTATGATGCACCCATTCATGAGTGCAATGTAACACCCTAATGACACACATGCTGCCCTGTCTGTCACAGTGAGTGATGGGACTCTGAAATAGATGAGGTTTGTGATGTATTTCAGGTTCAATGTATCTATGCAAGGTTTATACAAGTGTTGTATTATTGGAAAGATTTCCGACCGTAACCCCTACTTCTAATCAATCTCATTAAAATCAGATCTTAGTTCTCGCTACCGCTAAACAAAGATCGGAGGATATCCCATTGCGCGAACTTAGACCGACCAATGGAATGACCAATCAGAAGGCAGCTTTCTCGTGCTTTACGGCACTAATTTCAAATTGGCGACAATGCTTCGAAACACATATTTTGACAAATTCTCAATTAAAAATTTGAAAGCTGAACAAAAGAACATTCTGGAATGGCTAATAGATGGTTCAGATTGTAGGGATTCAGTCGTTAAACCCGTAACTATCGTTTGGAATACCCTGTGTTAAAGTTCTCGTGGTTGCATGATTAGAAATCACATTCCGACTGTCACTTTCATGATAAGGTAAACAACGCTCTGATTGGTTGGATAAAACATTCCGACTGTCACTTTCATGATAAGGTAAACAACGCTCTGATTGGTTGGATAAAAGGTCGTTCTGACGTGACCCCTAATGGGATGTCCTCAGATCTTTGTT